GTATTTATGCTGGTTTGCGTCTTTGAGAAGCCTTCGTATTATTAACGGTTCTTAGGGTATGTCGTACTTATTTCTATACACACACTGGAGGGGATATTACATATAGACAGCACAGTGACGATTTTTGCTGTGGACTGCACAATACTCTTCTCCGTACTCCGAGTGACAGACATAATCGCACTGTTCAACCCGTGCCAAAGCGATCGGCACTATACCGCATTAGGACTAGTACTAACCGTCCATTCTCTTGATTCTCCCACACTCGACTTTCTTCTTCTCGTCTTTTCTTCCCTCTGCCAGAATCATCTCTGAACGTCTTCTGTTCATTCATTTCCTCAAAACTATCCTTATCTTAAATTTAGTCGCGCGTTTGTTTGACGGCCCCAACGTCGTCAAATGAACCTGCATCCGTTTCACCATTCTGATTGCAAGGTATGCTTTTATTGTGCTCACGGCATGACGGTGCTAACTCCTCCAGCATTGCCTCTTCTCACTGAAGAGGTCACCCGCTAGATAAATGGTGTTCAAACCATTCACCCATCTCGCGCGTCAAAGTTTCACCAAAGCTTTCACCCATGGTTATGCTCAGTCGGTAGTTGCGGCGTCGCAGTCGTCCTATGCGTCGTCGACCACCTTAAACCAACTCGCAAACCAACCCGCCAAACTCTCCCGTACCCAACTCCAGAATGTCTTCCAACCCTCGAGTTCTTCATCTGGTGCAGGAGCAAAGGCAAGTCAGGGTGGAGGTTCGGGTGATTATGGCTTAGCGGCCTACTATGCCGCCTGGCAACACGCCCAGCAAACTGGTGACGATAGCGATTGGAAACAGTTTCAGAATAAACAACGAATTGGCTGGAAACCGAACCCGAACGAAGTCGTAAATTTGAAGAATGGAGAGGACCAGAACCTTCCATCCGACGATTTTCGTGAATCGCCCCGCGTTAACAAAGCTTCCGCCAACGAGGATGTGAGCGCCAAGGTGGAGGAAGCTGTGGCCCGAGAAATTCAGATCCAGGAGGAACAGGCACAAGCGGAGGAAACCGCTAATGCCAAGGATGACTCGGGTGTCGAGGCGTTTCCCGACCTCCCAGAAGAGGAGGCGGCCATCTCCAACCTCGCTTCGGACAAAGCACGTGATGCTTCGGACCGGATTGTTGAGTTGGCTTCGGGTAACAAATACGCTGAGATTCCAGCTGCCTTTGAGACTCTACTCAAGGAGGGATTGACCCCCACGGTGAATGCTTACAATGCTTTGCTGGAGGCGGCTATTCGGCTCCATACCGATGTTTCTCAGGCCATTCCGAAAGCGCTTGATGTCTACTCGGACATGCTTCGTCGTAGGGTAGTACCCGACGAAGACACGTACCGGACTCTGGTTCAGTTATTCGTTACCCGCGCTCACGATGCCATCGAGGCCAAGGGAGCGCTGGAACACGACCGAGTTCGCTACGGTGGAATGGAAGAACCCGGCAAGTTCATGCTTCACTCGAGTGAATTGGAACATGATCTGCTTGTGGAAGACCATTCCCTTGGTATTGCCCTGAAGCTCTTCAAGACTGCGATTACCCGCCACCCCAATCTGGTATTCCCGTCTGACCTGTACCCGCGTCTGGTTACCGCTTGCGCAAAGGAGGGCAAGGTTGAGGATATGGTTCACATCTATGCCCACATGGAAAGCCACAAAGTGACTCCTCATGCCTCGATTTTTCCGTCCATGATTGAAGCTTTTGCCTCGATGGGAGATCTGCAGAGCGCTGTCGAGTGTTACAACGAGTACCGAACTTTGGCTGTTTCAGACGACAGCGGTGTCTTCAGCGTTATCCAACGTCTGGATGGTGAGGTGTATGCGGCCGTGATCCGGGCATACCTGTCTTGCGGCAAAGAGGAGGCTGCCCAGCGCTTCCTCGAGCGTATTCGTTCGTCCTTTGAGGTGGCCGAAAACCGCGAGGTTCGTCAGGGAGCCGTTGAATCGGTCATCGCACATAACGCCACGGTCCGTCACTATCTTCAATCGGGCCAGCATGAGAAGGCTCTTAAGGAAGCCGAGGCACAGTTGAAGGACGAGGCATTGGTTCAAGCGATGGCAGAGATCTGTGTTGCGGCGGCCGACGCTGGGAGCATTCAAACCGCCACTGAAGCATACGATCACCTCCCGTCCGACGAAGCCCGCCAGGGATCCGCGGTTTCAATGCTGGCGTTGCATGTTCGCCAAGGCAATGTGCCGGCGGCCCGGCCCTTCTGGCATCTGCTGACGTCCGCAGGTCAGGCAACGTCGGACATGGTTCAGCCGACGACCATGTATTCGGTCGCCCTGCTGAAGAGTGGCCAGATCGACGAGGCTCTAGTCGAGGCCCGCAATATGTTCGCTCGCATCCGCTCCGCCGTCCCCAACATCAACAACAATCTTGTCGCCTCTGTTCGTGAACAAATCAACGAATCTATCGACCTCATCGGCCGGGTCCTGATGCAGAAGATGGGCCCTGCCATTCCTCCTCAGGCGGCCATGGTTCTCCTCTGGTCTATGGTCGAGAATGGAGGATTGTTGTCGCCAGTGGCAGACCACGCGGTCGCTAGCCTCGGTCCCATGGCTATTTCTCAACTCATCCCTCGCGACCTTCTTCTAATCCTTCAGGTCCAGGCTGGTATGCTGATCAACAACCGCGCCATGCCCTTTGATGTCTCCCACCAGGTCCGTTTTGCCCACTTGCTTGAGGTTGCCATGTCCACTGGCCTTCCACTGGATCAATTCACTACTGGCCTCGTTGACCAGGCTGCTTCCAGCCTGTTCACCTGCCGTCCTGATGTGGTTCAGCGCTGGCATGATCACCTGGGTTTGACGTCAAGCCCGTCGTCCTTCGTCTCCGACCGTCGCACCCCGGTATCGGAGCCTTCCACTGGGATGAGCTCCATGCCTGAAGACTCTTTCGACCCTTACGCTTATACCACCGACTTCCGTGGATCTGCCCTCATCGCCGATCAGTTGGAGAGCACCGGCCGTCTCGAATCTCACTTGAACGATGCGTTGCTCCGTCTCAAGAACATGCGCCGCACTGGACGTCACCCTCGCTACATCACCTACGCCAAGCTGATCACTGCTGCTGCCAAGGTTAACCGCGTCGATCTAGTCAATGAGATTTGCTCCATGGCCCGACGTGATGTGCCACTTACTGCTCAGTACCACGCGGTCAAGTACGGTTGGGTCTCGATTTTCGATGCCATGGTCGCCGCCTGCCTCACCCTTGGGGACCGCAAGCTGGCTTCAAAGTTCCACCAGGAGCTTCTGGATCTTGGTGCTGCTCCTTCGGCCAACACATTCGGTCTCTACATCACGACGCTCAAGGAATCTACCAAGACGTTCGACGAGGCTACTGAAGCTTTGAAAATCTTCCACCGTGCCGTCGCCGAAGGTGTCGAGCCGACCTCTTTCCTGTATAACGCGCTCATTGGCAAGCTTGGCAAGGCCCGTCGGATCGATGACTGCCTGATTTACTTTGCTGAAATGCGTGCCAACAACGTCCGCCCCACTAGTGTAACCTATGGTACTATCGTTAACGCACTATGCCGTGTCAGCGATGAGCGCTTTGCCGAAGAGATGTTCGAGGAGATGGAGTCGATGCCCAACTACAAGCCCCGACCGGCCCCGTACAACTCGATGATCCAATACTTCCTCAACACCAAACGCGACCGCAGCAAGGTGCTGGCCTACTATGAGCGCATGCAGTCCCGCAAGATTGCGCCCACGATGCACACCTACAAATTGCTCATCGATGCGCATGCTTCTTTGGAGCCGGTCGATATGGCTGCCGCTGAGAAGGTGCTGGAGACAATCAAGTCGACTGGTCAGCACCCCGAAGCGGTTCACTACGCATCCCTCATTCACGCCAAGGGCTGTGTGATGCACGACATTGATGCAGCGCGCGAGGTCTTCCAGTCTGTTGTGTCAAGCGGCAAGGTCCGTCTGCAGCCTTGTTTGTACCAGGCCCTCCTCGAGGCGATGGTGACCAACCGTCGGGTGCATGAGACTAGCGATATTGTCAAGGGCATGGCCGATCGCAAGGTGGACATGACTGCTTATATTGCCAACACTTTGATCAACGGCTGGGCTGCTGAGAGTGACGTTGCCAAGGCCAAGGCTATCTATGACAGCATTGGCATTAACAAGCGTGAGCCCAGTACCTACGAGGCCATGACCCGTGCTTTCCTGGCTGCTGAGGACCGTGATGGAGCCTCTAGCATTGTCAAGGAGATGCTGTCCCGTGGATATCCTCCTGCCGTGGCCAACAAGATCCTGGATCTGGTTGGAGAGACTACCGCAGTTAATGCTGCCATCTAAACTCATTTCTTTATACCATTTCTTTCTAAATCTTTTCTAATATGTCTGACATCTGTCACCAGGGCTGGATCCCTATTTTTCTGTTTCCAGTCCGATGGCCTTTGCATAGGCATTTTGGGAGGTAACATTCGGTTTTCTCTTTTCTTCACGTTTGATATCCTTTGGTTTTGCATTCAGCGAGCGGGGCGATAAAAAAAAATGGCGTTATAGGTTTTGATTTCAAAAGAAAGAAAATGACTATATCTGGTTTTATAATGATGGCGTTTGCATGTATGTATACCACGGGTTATGTTTTTCTTTCTCGTTTTATAGACGACTCTCAACTCCTCTTCAAGGATGGAAATATATGCATTTGCTATCCTCAATGGTTTACAGTGAGTCTTGATTATTCAGTAGTCTTACTCTCATGCCGTCTGCATAGAATGGAGTAGTATGGCTAAAAAGGTAACACCCACCCGCTAACCCCGCCGCATTCACATTCCGATTTCTTCCTCTCACCACCACCGCGCAGGTTGAAGATATAGTCTCTCCTTTATACTCCTATTATTGTTAATTACAGTATATGTTTATTCTTCGTCGACCAGTCGGTCGCATCTACCCTCATCGCATACTATTGCAATCGCACCGTTTCTTCTTAATGACGTCCGAATCAGCTCGCAAGACCAGCATGGGAGCAGACCACGATCACGAGTCCCGGAGGCCAAAAAAACTAATCTGTACATTTCAAGAGGACGATTAATGATGGGAGAGAGCCAGGCTAACAATAAACCCAAACAGTCGCCCCAGGAGACATCCAAGCAACCCCCGACCTCAAAATCTCATCCTCCGAAACCTCCGACCCCTCAGCGTCCGGCTCAAACCCCCACCCCTCTGCCATTCATGATGCCGTCCAAGAACAAGAACAGGAACAAGAAACCCTCCGCTCCGAAATCTCAACTCCCGACTCAACCACCGAGCAACAACTCGTCTCCCACCCGTCCCGCGCCCACCAGTTCATCCGCAATCCCCCATTAACAATTTCTCAAATCCACCCCTCCAACCCGCTCCATCAGTTTCACACCTGGTTCCGCGATCCGAGACTCACGCCGTCGCTTGCGCCGGAAACGTGTACGCTTGCGACGGCGTCGCTGCCGTCGGGACGGGTTAGTGCGCGGATGGTGTATTTGAAGGAGTTGGACGAAAGGGGGTGGGTTGTGTATAGTAACTGGGGGAGCAGGGAGGGGAAGGGCGGGCAAGTTTTTGGTGCTGATGATGGGGAAGGGCTCGACCATCTGAGGAATAAATGGGGTGCGTTGACGTTCGCGTGGTCGACTGTTGAGCGACAGGTGCGAATCGAGGGTCTTCTGGAAAGACTTACCCGTGAAGAGAGCGAGATGTACTGGCGCACACGAGAGCGTGAGAGCCAAATCGGCGCATGGGCGAGCTGGCAGAGTAAAGTCCTCTGGTCCGCTGAGCCAGACACCCTGCTTGAAACCCGCCGGCAGAGTCTTGCCGAGAAACCAGAGGTTCCAGCGGACGTGGACGAGACGGATATCCCAGATGGGCGTGCTGTGCTAGAGCAAAGAGTAAACGAGGTGAGGGAAAGGTTCAAGGATATGGAGGAGATTCCGCTGCCACCGTTCTGGGGTGGTGTTAGGTTGGTGCCGGAAAGTGTGGAGTTCTGGCAAGGGAGGAAGAGTCGGTTGCATGATCGGTTTCGGTATGTGAGGGTACATGAGCGCGATGAGGAGGATGGGGAGTCGTTGTATAGGTGGAGGATTCAGAGGCTTTCTCCGTAGTTGGGCATTCTAGAATAGAGTATTAGTGTATAGATATATCTCTATTCGGTAGCCATGACAAATCCCCGGATCGTCGATCAACTTCACGTCACGTTTCCTGTTCAACTACATATCAATACAAACATCTATATACAAAGGCTCAATTAAACCACTATGGCTCAAAAGCAACAAGAAAAACAGCAAGAAAAGCAAGAACAGCCGCAACAAACCCACCAACCACGCTGGCTCCTTCTAGCCATCGCCAGCGGCACCTTTGCCGCCATGAATGGGGTATTCGCCAAATTGTACGTCCATCATAGATAACAACGGGTGTATACCGATTGCTAATAGTAAATAGAACAACAGATACGCAAACCGCCTCTCTGACAAAATTCCTAAATCCCAATGGCAATTCCACGCTGGAATTGGTTATCCGGGGTGTATGTCTCCCTTTCCCTTCCCATCCCTCAACCACTAACCCATACATACCAAGCCAACCCCAAAACAATAACTAACAAAAACAGACCTTCCTCGCCTTAAACATGCTCAGCAATATAATAATGTGGGCTCTTTTCACACGCGCCCTCACCGCATCCCCCTCCACAACCAAAGTCTCCATTACCAATACGTCGGCGAATTTCCTGGCTACGGCGATGCTGGGGATGCTTGTTTTTAAGGAATCTGTTGGTGGACTTTGGTGGGTTGGGGCGGGGATGATGGGGGTTGGGTGTATTCTTGTGGGGATGAGGGATGCTTAGTATTCCTTTTACCTGTGCTGGTTGTGTGTGGTATGGGAAGTAGTGGGTGGTATGAGGATGCCAGATCCTGGTCTAATATTGGTGTGTATGTACTATACAAGCGAAAGCAAATAGCAAATAAACAAGGTAGTAAAGTTTGCTGCTGTATTATCGTCTCTCTTCCAACTCAACAAGTCCCTCATCATCCTCCGTCCCGTCCAGTATACGATTCGTCTCGTGGGGCTCAAACCCATCCGCACCCGGTCGAGCACGTGTAGTCGCATTTGCAGACGTGGTCTGCCACCAGGGTAATTTCCCGCGTATCCTCTGCATGAAACTCCACACCTTATCTTCCAGTGACGGGGCTTCTGGGTTGCGCGCATTTCCATTTCCAGGGCTGTTGTCCCCATACGTATCAGGCCCATTCGTCGCTGCCAGGGCAAGTTCCTCTGCTTCGACCTTGAACTGATACTTCAAGCAGTCCTTGACAGTGACCAGGCCCATGATGCGGCCGCGGTGCTCAACGAGGATAACACGGGGTCCCATTTTCTTGAAGATTTCCATTACCGTTTCGAGGGGGAGACGCGGGTGGACAGTAAGCGGTGTATGATCGACATACCGGCTGAAGTCGACATGGTTCGCGCCCACGCTTGACTGGATCCCGTCGAATGTATCGTTGTTTCTCGACGATACAGATGCCCTCCGGACGACCGTTGCTTCCGCAGCTTCCTTGGTAAACACGCACTGTGCATTCGGCGCAAGAATGCCCTCATTCCGCGCGCGATCAATAGCATATCGCAGCTCTGTACGCCCGATGTATCCAACGAGGATCTTATTCGTGCGGTCCTCGACGATCGGGAATCCTTGGAATTTATTATCGCCTAGAAGACGCTCGGCTTCGCGGACGGGAAAGTCAGAGGCCGGGAGGGCTACTGGGTCGGCAGTCATGGCGTGGGAGACGGGGACGTTGAAGACGTGGTCTTCTTTGTTGTCGAGGAAGGGGAAGCCGTTGGACCAAATCATGCGGTCTGCTATACCACCGTTGCCGAAGCGGTCGCTTACGGCTTTGGTTACGCCCACAACGATCTAGGTGGTTAGAATGTAGTGGCAGGTGAGGTTAGGATTGACTCACCATAGTGGGAAGGATGTAGGTCAGTGCCCCAGTGAGCTCGAACATGATGACAGTTACGGAAATAGTCAAATGCATGATCCCACTGAGGGCTGCGGCTGCACCCAGGAAAGCGTATGTTCCTGGCGTAATACAGGGAACATCAGGCTCGCAGTTTGCGAAAAAAGAGGAATCCGGGAAAGATTCATGTAGGGCCTGGACGAGGATTCCCACCAGACGACCAAACGATGCACCGATAGCCATCGACGGCACGAAGATACCAGCAGGCACTTTGCAGCCGTAGGATATGATAACCAAGAATATGCGAAGGAGAGTCGCAATGGACAATGAAAGGACCATGCCCCATCGGTTCTTAGCACTGTTCATCGTTAGAGAATTTGCAGAATGATTTGACCACGATACTTACTCGCAAAGACCGTTGTAATCGTGAGCACCCTCGCATTCCCGGAACAGAATTTCCATCATTTCCGTCATGTTTATTCTCAAAAACATGTTCGGGAAGCAGAGAACAGCCGTTATGCCAGCCAGGACTACAGATTCTGTGATGGGATATTGCGACAGGTACTTCTTCCTGAATGCCTGAACATGGAGGTTCCATTTGATCACGAATGCTCCGTATAGCCCGCCAAACACACCGAGACACACGAAAAATATCAACTCGAAAAAGTGCCAAGTGCGGTCGTATTGGACCTGGAACATGACCAACTGTCCGGTCCGGAAAGGATTCATTGCAGCCAGTACACTTGTCGCAACCAAAGCGCAGAAGTAACTCCGCCAAAGAGTCTTGAGAGGAAAGTACGACGCCATTTCCTAAGACAGTTAGCATTGCCCACTCATTGAAACGGTAGAAGCGCACCTCTAGCGAGAATAAGACACCTCCAATCGGACTGCCAAAAGCCACCGCTACACCAGCAGCAGCCGTCGCCGTCAAGACCTCCCGGGTCTTGGAAGCATTCTGCCTATACTTGCTAAAGAAGCGCGATATAACATTCCCCGTGCAGACGGCAAAATGCACACTTGGACCTTCTTTACCAACTGAAAGACCGGAGGCAATAGCCAATGGCAATCCGATGGACTTAATCAACAACGTCCACGCGCCCAGGAACCCCTTCATGACGAATCCAGCAATGATGCATTTTATCTCTGAAATACCGGATCCTGCAGCGTATGGCGCGAATGACTTGACCAAAGTTGCGGAGATGAAAGCAAAGAGGATCTATCGTCTCTAGTTAGTCCAGCCATCCAGGTTTGCACGGGGCGCAACATACCGCAAAGAAGAAATAGATAATATAGTTCAAGAACCAAAATGGCGTCCAGTGTTTCCATTCAGGACACCCACCCTCAGCGCCCCAGCAACAAAACTGCTCATTCAGGTAGAACCCAGTAGTACAATACCCCAATTTAACATCCGACAACCACTCCGTAATAATATTCAAAAGCGCTGAATTCAACCCAATTGCCGCACCCACAATTGTAACAACAAGCCACGCCTGACCAGCATCGTACGACTCGCTCACTTTCCGTCTCCATCCAAAGGCACCCTCATGTTCCCAAAACCCGAAGCCTTCTCGGCGTTTCGCTCGTCTCCGCGCTTGTTCGTGTACTGCATCTTGAACCCAGTCAATCGTTGTAAAGTCTTCGTAGCGCTTGATTTCGCCGATTTCTTCTGTTATCAGGGGTGGCTGGCCATTGTCGTTGGCGGAAGGTCGATGCGACTCGGCGGCGGGCGAGGAAACGGATAGGCCTGAGGTTCTCCTCCAACCCTGTCGCTCGGATGCGACTGAGGGAGAATGGATGGATATTGAAGAGGTACGAGTTGGGATCATACCATCGGTTGGGCATGCGAGGGGGGCATAATCATAATCGAGGTCTGCTGTTGCGATGCGATAGTTGTCGAGACGAGGAGCGATATACTGCCCGCCCACGTGAGTGAAGCTTTTCCGTTTTAGATAAGATGTGATTCAAGGTGAAAAAGAGTTGTAAGGGACACTTTCAAAATAATATGATATTTTCCTAGTGTTTGATAATAAAGAACTATTGTACCTTGGCGAATTGAAACAGTGTCTGGTACAGTAGTTGGGAGTTGTCCCATTGAGCGCCGAACGCGCTCCGCGATTTCTTACAGCGACACGACTTCCCGACAACGAAGCCACCAACCCATCCCAGTCGACTCACAATATCTTGCTTGTACCGATATTCTACGTGCTTTTTGTACCCAGGATTTCAAATATAGCAGCATGTCTTCCAAAGACGTCCCCGAACTCTCCGATGAAATCACCGGCCAGAGCGCTCTTCCCAGTGAGTGAAACCGCAAGAATACGTTTAGATACAAATCACTGACCAGTTCTTTCTACTACTGCAGTCTCTCGGATAAAGAAGATCATTCAACTGGACGACGATATCGTACAATGTTCGACCAACGCTACATTTGTGATCTCCGTGGCCACGGTTCGTCCTCGTCCCTCTTCCTGCTAAGTGGACTCTGGTTAATTATTCCCGATGCTGTACAGGAAATGTTCATCCAATACCTCGCAGAGCAAGGGCATAACGTCGTCAAATCCGAACGGAAACCACGAAAGACCATACAATACAAGGACTTAGGTCAGTTACTGACTTGACCTGATACAAACCATAACACGAGGCTAATACGCTACAAATAGCTACGGCAGTTTCCCGGATAGACAGCCTCGAATTTCTCTCCGACGTGATCCCCAAGACCACCACTTATAAGCAATTCAAAGAGAAGAAGGCGAAGGAGGGCCCCGTGAAATCCGGCGGAATCGAAAAGGGACAGCGCACACTGAACGGAACCAAGTCGTCGAAGCCGAAGTCCTTGAAACCGAAAGTGAACGGGGATTCCATGGAGCAGGATGGGCCGTCGATGGAGGAACCATTGCGGAGTTCTGGGGCACCGATTACTTTGGTTGTGGATCGGACTGTCGAGGGGGTATCTAAAGAGCAGGACCGTGACGTGGAAATGACCGATCAATGAAAGGTAATAATATCTGGGTATTGCATGGAGTTTGGTGTTGGGTATATTCGTTTGGTTGTTCTGTTTGGTGGTTTTGTGCGATGTGTCATGACTGCATTAGTTCCCTGGACTATCAGATTCTGCCGGTAGATTTCAATCAACAACATCCTGATAAAAAAGAAGAATGAAGCATTGTGTATAGAATGGAAAAACAGTCTGTATAGTCCTCTCTAAGAAATGCAGTGTGGCTTAGTCAGCCATCAGCCAATGAGCGCCCCCGTGATTCCGAAGCGAAGGCTCTGGTTCGACCGACTTGGTCCGTATGCCGTTCCGACTTCACCTCGAAAGAACTTCCTGACTTCATTCCCACCAACACCCCCGTCCATCTCCTCCCTCCCACACCCGCCACGACCGCAATTGTTATCCTCAATTGCTTTCCCCCCTCTCGCCCGTCATGGCTCTCTCCGCCGCTTCCGGTTCTATGCTGCGCGTTTGCGCTCGCCAGCAGCTGCCCACCACCTCCCGCGCCGCCATCGCCTCCTGCCAACAACAGAGGGGAGTCGCTTCGTCGTTCGACAGCCCCTTCGGCCCCGCCTCTAAGGACTCCACCTACAAGATCCCCGACTTCAGCAAGTACCAGAGCAAGAAGAGTCCTCGTTCGAACCAGGTCTTCTCCTACTTCATGGCCGGTACCATGGGTTTGGCTTCCGCTGTCGGCGCCAAGGCTACTGTTCAGGGTAGGTTTGATATGATTTTAGAGGACCCGAAATAAAGGATATCGAGAAAAATGGAACTATAATTGGGACGGAGGGATATATGGTTGTCGTTGTCGCACGGGCAGAGGGCTGATTGCGAATCCTACAGACTTCTTGGTGAACATGTCCGCCTCCGCTGATGTCCTGGCCCAAGCCAAGGTTGAGGTTGGCCTTGGTGCCATCCCTGAGGGCAAGAACGTATGTTTCTTCCGCTGGTTTTTCGTGGCAACGACGATCAATCTAACCTGTGAAATAGGTCATCATCAAATGGCGTGGCAAGCCCGTGTTCATCCGTCACCGTACCCAGGAAGAAATCGATGAGGCCAACAAAATCGACGTTGCTTCCCTCCGTGACCCCCAGGCCGATGAGGAGCGTGTGCAGGATCCCAAGTGGCTGGTTATGCTTGGTACGTTTGGATTGCGGATTGTAACGGAATCAACAACGCAAGGCTAATCTCATATTCTTCAGGTGTCTGCACACACCTTGGTTGTGTCCCCATTGGCGAAGCTGGTGACTTTGGTGGCTGGTTCTGCCCTTGCCACGGTTCTCACTACGATATCTCCGGCCGTATCAGGAAGGGCCCTGCTCCTCTCAATCTCGAGGTTCCTTCGTACAACTTCCACGACGATGATACCATGGTCATCGGTTAAACGATGGCGAGAAAAAGATATGGATTCGTTGATTGGGAACGATGTGAATAGCATCATAGACCGTTGGACACGAGAATGGGAAGATAGAAAGGTTTGTGTGTATGTTTTTGCATCTCTTCTTTCATGTCTTTTGTCAAGATTTGAAAAAGAGATCTTTTGTTTTAATAGGTATGGACAAAAATGAGCCGCATGTTTCTTTTTCTACCAGGTTATGCTCATAGAGCCTGTCTGTATCACAACCCTCGCTGTCTGTGGAGAGTCAACAGGGAGGGCTATAGGCATATATTCCTTACCGCGTTGCTTTCCTGATACCTACAGTACAGTCGACTACCCTGTCCTTATATATTTAGCATGCAAGTTTATTCCTTTTGTTCAATGTTCAATGTAAATGTATTTTTCATCTCTTCATCATACATCATACCCATAATCAACAAAAACAAGACAAAACATAGTCATTCAATCGTATACAACCAACCATCCATCCACTATCCTTCCACCCTGTCCAATTGTACAAGAAAGGGACTATCTAAGCATCTCTATCACTGGAAAGAAAGAAATATACAGTCATAACATGTGAAAACCTGATCTGATATGACACAATATGGCACAGCATGGCATACAAGATGGATTATAATATAAACAGGAAAGAAAAGAAACCAACCAACATACATACAACCTGTGGTCTTTCTTTTTTCTTTTGGTTCTTGGGTGTAAGTGGAAGGCCTACCGCGGTCGAATAAGCGCAATCACTAGACCCATAACCGCCGCACCGGCCGCAGCACTCTGCACGGCAACGGTGGTAAGATCATGCTGTGTGATGAGGATAAGGGTACGAGAGCTGAGAAGGTCGTCGAGGGTGCGACGCCACGAGTCGACAGTTGTAGAGGGAGGGGAGATGTGCGAGAGTTGGGACTTGCTGAAGTCGAGATAAGTCTGGTCTGTTTGTGTTGCTGCAGAGGCAGGGATTTCGGATGTTTGTTCCTGAACGGAGTCCTTGGTTTGCGTGGCGGCAGTGGCGGTAGCTGTAGCCGCGGCTGTAGCGGCCGCGAGTTGTTGCTGGTGCTCTTCGTAGGTGAGGGCTTTTTCCTTCTCCAGGGCTTCGATGACTTTTTCTTCGAAGCCCTTGACGAGTCGCTTGCGGCGCCAGGGTTCCACGCCGATTTGGAAGATGAGGAAGAGGAAGACGTTGACACCCATTAATCCCCATGTACCCCAGGTACTCATGCGGCGGATTTTGTCAGACCAGACCTGCTCTTCGTGGTACCGGGAGAGGATGCTTCTGCTCAATTTTGTCGCTGATTCTTCGGCTTCGCGCTCGGCTTTGGAGAGCGCTTCTTGGGCATCGACTTCGGCGACCTCGTTGGTGTGGTCGTTGCGGTAGAGGTGAGTAAAGCGCTCGAGATCGGAGGCGGACCAGGCGTGTTTCCGTTGGAGGAGTTCGTTGACTTCGCGTTGGGAGGTGGAGCGGCGGTTGATAGCGGATGCGTAGTCGTCTTTTGCTTCGCGGACGTGACGACGAGCGGCTCGAAGGCGTTCCTCTAAACCAATTGTCAGAGGTATTACCAATTCATATGGTGTTGGAAGACATACCTTGGGTCTCAATTTCCTTTTTCAATGCCTCAATAGACGAATACCCAGTCAAATCATTCAGCCGCTGCCCTGCCACGAAAACATTCGATTGCAAATTATCCATCATCTCTGTGAACTGCTTTGAATACCGTGACCTGCGGTTTTCCAGATACGACGGAAGGCCACCTCCCTTGCCATTGCCACTTTCGATATCCTTGTCCTTCTTTCCGTCCAAACCCTGCCTCTGCGCATGCTGTGCATTCTCAGCACTCACCCCGCTCGCAAATAAATCCCGTTGCTGACTCTCAGTATTCAAATTCGCATGCACATCATTCGACTTGGGCACGTCTGCTTCCTGCGGCAGCGTAAAAGCCAAGTTATGTTCCGAGCTTTCTTTTGGAGCCGAAGCCGGGGCTGAAGCTGAAGCTTCCTCAGCCTCCGCCTTTGTACCACCCTCCTTCACATTATTATTTCTTTCTGATTCTTGAGAGTAGAATCGAACATGTGAATGGAATTGACGCCGTCGACCAGCCGAAAATCCCAATATCAATTCATTATTCCCCTTGAGCAGGGCGCTCGGAGCAGCGGACGGAATGCGTATCGGACGGGTAGCGGTAGTAGCGGTGGTAGTAGTAGACCTCGACAACGTAGAGAGTCCCGGGGCCTTGAGCGACTGCCGGAGCAGCAATGGCATGGACTGCATGACCAGTGTCAATGGCCACGGCGGGATGCGAGTCAACCAGTTGCTTTTTTTATGTATGTGTTTTGACTCGAGCCGTAAGAACAGAATCGGGTGGAAATTGGTGGAGGAGGGATATTCCCGGCAGCTGAAAGCGGTGCGCAGCTGGCGTCGGAAGGGCGGTGGCGGTCTCTTTTCGAACTGAGCTTCAGCCCGACACGGCTAGTGGTTTTGATATTTGGAAATAGTGATGTGTTAGGAGGTGCTAACGAAGAATTATTACTCAGTGCAGCTCGCACAGTTCGCTATTTTGTAGGAAATCAGCCCTGGTGGCTTAATTGGTGATCGATTTCTGTGTCTTACCCCACATCAGCTTCGGATATATATCGATGGCTGGGCTTCAATACCCTACCAGAGTGAAGCAATTGAACAGATGCAGGTACCCATAATGATATGGATTGGGCGCCATGGATTGATCACTACAAATATACTATGGATGTCGAGACAGATAACAAACTCATGATCCCACAAATTCAATGAACAAGTTTAACGATAGGCCAACCACTCGATGGCAGCTATGGGAAAAGAAGGAAAGAAAGACACAAAGTGAAAGAAGCATCCGAGTGCAAAAACCATGCCGATACAACTCCAAATAATTAACCCGGAAACAAAAGGAAAAGAGCAAGCGAGTGAAGATACAAGGGTATTGTGAACTGGCCAAAACCATGTATGGGTATCCTTCATATTTCTCACCACTAGTACAAAGTACTTAGTCCTGCGTCTGCACCTTATGATCCCCCTTCACAGCCTCAGCATACGTAGGCGGAGCATGAGCATGACCCTCGCTGCTGCCCTGACCACCATCACCACCGTGTGGCTCATCAGAGTATGGTGCGGGAGCAGGCGCATTCTTGGAAGCTGGTGCACCAGGCTGGTTTCCAACAGTACCGTAGGTTCTCCCAGTAGGAAGGTTTTGGTAGGGCGCGCGGGAAACGTAGTAGTATGTCACGCGCCCTTGTTCAGGGTCCTGTCGCGAACCGCTCGAACCGCCAGGGATGGCTTGATAGTTGGGATCATCGTCATCAGGCTCCGGGTTTTTGATAATTATGTACCATGCGTGGAGGAGACCGGGGACGTAGCCGAGGCAGCAAAGGGCGAGATTGATGATTGAGTCGGCCGTGCAGATTCCCACCTTCACCCAGACTGTCTGAATTAGCGCCTGTGTTTCTGAATCGAGGTTGAAAAAAAAAAAAAAAAAAAAAAAAAAACAAAAAAAAGGCCAAAAAAAGGGAAAAAAAAAACCCCAAAAAAAAAAAAAAAAAAAGCAAGCATTCTTATCGCGATGCGACTCGGTATATCGAGTGAGCTTACCTGAAACAGGTGGGAAGAAGATGGCGAGAATTCCAAGGAAGAGATCTGAACCGCACATGTTTGCGACAATAGGGCAGTCACAGTCTTCAAGGTCTTTTACCACGCGAAACGTCGATGTGTATTGTATATCAGTGATATCGCTCTAAACAGTTAATTATGCAGCTGGTTGAAGCAAGTATGGGGAATCAAGAAGTTCTCCTGCGACGATGGCGAAGCGCAAAAAGGATGATGCCTTGCCGGTCAGATGACGTCTGGAGTCACCTGACCTCGCGGGGTCGTATACAAAGAGATCTCAATTGATATCGCTGATTTGCAAGGAAAAGATATTAATTTTTATCAACCGCTACGAATAAAAATCTTGAAGACTGGATTGGCTGGTTATGTCAGGTCCACCATGACATTTGGACGATCCCGATGTATTCTACAGAGCACCTTCTACTATTCGGCCCCGGACTGGACATAACTGTGGTAAATATATACTACTATGCTGACCCTCGGGGAATTATTATCTATGGATCGAAGTGACACATTCATCCTGGCATGGTCAGAAGAATTGCCACATTTTGAGTATTCTGCATTCCGCCGTGATATATCTTCACTTAAATTTTGGACCTGGAATCTTATATGGCAATGTTCATACATGAAGGGCCCTGATTCTTCTGCTTACTCTCCAACGAGACATGCAGACATACGGGCAACACTCTAGAATGAAGCGATGTAGGATTAACATACTACTACTGCAGGACTGTTCAGTTCATCCTGCACTGGGGCATGATCCACCGCGAAACACCACGATCTGTGGATGTGGAGTCATCCGGCGTGTTGGCGCATGTATCCTCCAGTAGGACTCTGTGACTGATGCCAGTATTCCGTACATACTCCGTACATACTCCATACATGCATGCATCCGGCATCTTGACTGAGTCTTCATCACTGCGATGCAGGTCTCACGTACAGAGTATGCCCAAATGAGACTAAGATAAAACTCCGAAACGGTGCGAAACGCCGAACCAGACGGCGCAATTCAATTCTTCGCACCAGCCAGGGGTCGTATTTTCGTATGCTTTTTGACCTCCAACTGCAGTTGCTGTGCCACATCACCGATTCGCCATGTTTGGTCGCCAGCCTCGCGTTCCTGCATATGTTCCTGGCCTTTGTCCGGTTGTTTACTGACTCGCGGGGAGGTGCTGTTTATCCCATTCTGCTCTCTGCAGTATCCGGAACAATCCCTCCAACCACTCAGGTTTCCAACCAACAGAGCGGCCCGTCGATCGAGCCTCTGTTCAGCAATTGGTGGATCTCCCACAACCTTACAGAGAGCCGGCGGACGTTTAATTATGATTAGCCTCTCGTTTAGCTCCATTTCCCCTTTGTGGTTATTCTGTTCGGTGAACAAAATTTCCCCATTCTCCCTGCATCTTTGGAGAGGATTGTCTCTGCATTGAATCAATTTCTCGATGGTTTCTTTGCTAGTCCTGGTCTGCACTGTGTAATTATAAACACACGGACTGCAGAGTAACCTGTGTGGTGTGTTGGTCGGTCTGCGATATACAAACCACGCCAGGCCCCCGTGACTTCCTCGTGGGTGCTTTTGGTTTAGACCAGAGGAAACAATCACCGCCATCGTCTCTCACTTCATCCCTCATTTCTTTTTCTCTTTAATTCCTTCCAAATTCCCTTTTTCCTTTCCTTTTCAGGGCATTAGTTGTCTTTTCTCCATTCCCTGAGTGGCCTTTTGTCAGGCCCTTTTCTCTAGCCACTCCCTATTCTCACTCTTTTTTTTCTTCCGCGGTTCTTGCTCGGTCGTGGGGAACCAGCCACTCGTTTGCTCTTCAATTGTCTTCTTCGCTCCAGACTCCCAGCTTTCTTTGGACCCGAATCGGGATCGACGCGCCTTTATACCGACCGGAGTGCTATTGTCGCTGGATTTCGTCGCCGCTCCCCCCCGAGACCGTGAATTGTACCAAAGTGAACAAGACCATGAATATTCCTTTCTCGCCATTAATTCGATAGTTGATCACCACTTCCTGCATTGGCGCCACTGACCATCGACGTCTCATAACCGAATCACTGCTATCGTTCTTTAATACGACCGTCGTGTGGCACAGCAATTTTCAATCTGGACTCAGCCATGTCCGGCTCTTGCATCTCCCTGTCAGGGTCGACGCTATGTCCCGCCTTCAATGGCTCCTCGATTTCGACCAGTTCCAGTCTTTACTCCGACTTGTGTGTTCACCCGTTCAGACTAGGTTGTTTGTTCTCCTGGCTGACTGCAACAGTCCCTTTATGCGAAATGTCTCGAGCCTCTCGGACTTTGACGATGCGTTGAGCAACTACGTCAATGGAACGTATATCAAGTCAAAGTACGTTTTATTGATAAAGTAATCAGAAGAAAGCCTAACTCATCCTGATTAGATACGAGAACTACCTGGGTTGCCAGGGAGCTAATCTCACCAACTCCAATGACTACTACGCCCGCTACACAACTAGTGCAGTTTGCAACGGCTTGGTTCAAAGCTCAAAGGATGACTGCAACCTATCCGATGACGAGTCAAAACCGCTTTGTGCAGACACTTGTGTTCGTCCCACCCCATTTCATATGCCGATCAATATGTGTACTAACAGGCGCGACAGGCCTTGATGGCGACAAGCGAGCAGGAAATCGTGGTCAATTCTGACCTGTGTCCCGGATTAAGCGACGATTATATGAGCCAAATTCGGTCCGACTTCACCGTGTGCGCTCTGCCGGCTGACTCGCTGACCGGTACCTGTATATCAGGAGCCGACAATGAACCTGATGAGTGCGGATATGGACCTAATGTGATGGGATTGTGTGGTTATTGTGCGGGGAGCTCTTCTAACTCGACCGATTCTTGCTGTACGAATGCGAATGCCGCGAGCCGGTGCAAAGACGTAACCGTGCCAACCACGACCGCATCCTTGCCGCCTCTCATGCCGTCCTCTTCATCTAATTCGACGGGAAACGCTGCTGACTCCCATCATGGTCTTTCAGGAGGTCAAATCGCGGGTGCTGTCGTTGGGTCTGTTGCTGGATTTGCGATATTGGTTGCTCTCATTGTATTCGCCCTGGTATGCCTACGGCGTAGGCGCCGCGCGGAGAGCGACACTGCTTTGAACCAGCCGAACCCGCAAAGAAGAGGCTTTGCACCGATGCAGAATCCTTCGGAAAACCCGGGAATGGTAATGATACCTGGTGGCCGGGTGGCTAGGATGTCTGCCCTGCGAGAAATGCCGAGCTTAACCTCCAGGCGCTCCCGTCGCACCTTTTTCGGTGGCAGCAGCACCAAATACACTACCGAGCCCTCCGAATCAGAAGCACCGAGCGCGAGCCCTGGAAGGATGTCGAGGCAGATTCCCCCCGTTACCGGTAAGCGACTTGGCTCACTTACGAGCAGCTCGTTTTTGGCTGCTACAAGTAGCGATACGTCTCCTCGTTCCGGAACAAAATTCTCCTCTCCCGAGGCATCAAGCCAATCTGAGCAGATGTCGTCTTTCCAAGATTATTACTCGCAGGATGATATCCACCCTGGTGACCGGGTCGCTGTTCTCTGGTCGTATCAGCCACGCGCAGGCGATGAGTTCTCTTTGGACCGTGGAGAAATACTGAAAATTATCGGCATCTGGGATGATGGCTGGGCAACTGGTGTACGTCTTTCAGAAAGTGCTGAAAATTATGATTTCAAGCATCGCGAACAGCGCGACAGTGGCGTGTCCCAGGGCTCGCACCTGATGCCTTCACCGGCTCCAACAGGAGATCTCAAGGCGTTCCCACTAGTTTGCGTCTGTCTCCCACAACACTGGAAGAAGATTATCGATGGCGCTTGTGAGGCAGACGGTGAAGGTTCTCCATGATTGTCTGCCCAACACGATTTGCACTTTGCGTTCAAACCTCCGTCCCCGTCCTTTAATCGACCAGGGAGCCTGCAGACTTCTTTACCACATGTCCGTGACCAAAAAAACTTTCATCGCCGTTCACATTCCCTTTGCATGATACCGTACTGAACGTCAGTCCGATTGTGATTTTTCTTTCCCTTCTGTCCTTACGAGTTGTCTGCAGCAATTCCCTCCATGCGCGTCAAGGCAGCTATAGCCGTACAAGCCGTGCTGGCTCTTTCTCATGAAGATGATGTGATGAGAAACCAGGGATGCTTGTGAGACGACTTATGCTTTTCAAGTTTTTATCATTCATATACCCCATCTTACGGCAATGATTTTCTGTTCTTTGACTAGATGTTTTTTCCTTAAATAATTTATGCTTGTTTTAATGTGGATTTCTGATGCTTTCTTTTTCTTTGAGTACATATCAACCTGTGTACATATACTTAGACCTCAATCAGATACTGGTGATACTGCTACTAGTTCGGAGTTGGATACTGTTTCTGTAGAACCCGAATTGTTACCCGGCTGCGGGGGAACCAGATGCTTTACTAATCCACTCAGTGCCCCTCACAAACAAAAGGAACCAGGAACACAAGTCGTTAGTCTTGAGTGAGATCACCTCATCGAGACCGTATATATTCTGTAACTATACCTGTTCTTCCTAACAGTTATCACTATTCAAATATCCATCGAACACAACAATTGAACAACTACAAAATGGCTTCTCCGAAGATCATCCTCTACACCTATCACGGATGCCCTTTCGCGCACAGGGCTCATATTGCCCTGAAGGAGACAGGCCTTGACTACGAAGAGGTCATTGTCGACATCAAGAAGCCTCGTGAGCCCTGGTATCTTGAGATCAACCCGGTACGTCACCTTAGGCTAAACCTCTGAGCAGTATCTCTAACTTTGAATCCAACAGCGCGGCCTCGTCCCTGCTATCTCCTACAACGGCGAGATTCTTATCGAATCGGCCATTGTCGCGCAGTTCATCGCTGATGCCCACCCCTCTCATCTCCTCCCCCCGTCAGGCCCTGCAGAGAACGCTCTTTACCGCGCGCGGGTGAGCCTCTTCGCCGACACCTTCAGCAGCAAGGTCATGCCGAATGTGATGGCTGGTGTCAGAGCTGCTTCGCAGGAGGAGCGTGAAGCAGCCGGTGATGCGTTGGTTGAAGCTGTGGCCAAGGAGATTGAGCCGTTGTTAAACAATGAAGGCAAGGGGCCTTTCTTTGGCGGGAGTGAGAAGTTGACGTTTGCCGAGGTGAGTTTCCTTCCCTTTTATCTATACGCTGGGCCTCTTTTCTGTTGCTTGGAGATATATGCTGACAAGCGCAGGTCCTTACCGGTTCATTCCTACTCCGAATCCTGGCTTTTACGAAGCCGGAACATAACCTGAACAGCACCAGAGTCCCGGCCTTGCTGAAGGAAAAGGCACCCAAGTTCTTGCGCTGGGCGGAGGCCACTGTTGCTCAAGAGAGCGTCAACTACATCTGGAATGAGCAGGCAGTGGTGGAACACTCGCGGGCCAAGTTTGCGCATAAGCCGTGATGTAGTACTCCATACGGAGAACAAGTATAATAATAGGCAATTGATATAGGGCCATATCCCTGTTCTAAATAAATGATTGCAGCCTGACGTGATGCTCGAATCGCCGCGTGTTAGGGAAAGCCGAGTTCCATGGTTAGAGCCCCGTTGATGACAACAACGCAAGGAACTCATGACAGCCGGCCGGATGTTTTATGTCCACGAGGAATGCTGGCCACGTGTGCATCGAGTACATTCTTATATTGGTCGTAACCATCCACTCAAGATCACATACATAAATCACCGAACGGACTAGAGTACATAGAGAACTGCAGAATCAGGGGACTCGTGTCGGCATAGTCACGTGCGGTATCTCCCCACCATCACCGCATCCAAAGCCGCAAAGCACAACAACCAAAGCCCCTCTATCTCTCCTCCATCTCCCTCTCACTTTCACCTTTCCCACCCGTCCAGGAAGAAGATTTGCGAGTTTGTGAGTTATACACTTTTCCCCCTTTGTTACCCTGAATATGCCCCGTTATATTATACCCTGGATTCAGGTTCCGTGTTTAATGTCCCCAGACGAAAAGGGGAAATGTATTGGTGGCCACTTGACTGACTGGCGGTCCCATATCGTGTGGACATTTCAGCGCAGGTTATCGCTTCCTATTCTCCTCTTAAAACGCCTCTAGCCTTTTTCACCCCCCGCCGGGTTCATATTTTCGGTTTCTTTTTTTCCTGTTTAATCGAGATTCACACTACAAGTGGCAACTATGTCTGTACGTTCAGACCAGTGCTGCCCTTCCCCTTTTCCTGCTGACTGCGGAGTGTGCCCTTGGGTTTTGCATCGGCTAACATTTTTTTTTTATTGCAGCTCGCATCTGGGTACGTTTTGATAAACTCCTTCATATCCTCGTCGCCCGCCATGCTGTCATACTCGCCCGAAGGTGTCATTTGCTGACGAAGAGTTTGTGACTAGTGTTTCCGTCGGTGACGATGTCGTCGGTGTGTTCAACGAGTTCCGCACGAGCGCAAACTCCAAGGCGGACAGAATCAAGTTTGTGATCTTCAAGATCTCCGACAACAAGAAGGACGTTGTCGTCGACGAGGCCTCGACGGAAACCGACTATGAGGTCTTCCGTAACAAGCTCGCGGATGCCAAGGATGACAAGGGCAAACCCGCTCCTCGCTACGCTGTCTACGATGTTGATTACGAAATCCCCAATGAAGGCAAGAGGTATGATATGCAACACTCTGGTTGGATGGGAAAGAGTCAGTTACTACGACAAGAAGATGAAAACTGACACGTTGCTTTTTCTTATAGATCCAAGATTGTTTTCATCGCTTGGGTGCCCGACGATGCTCCCACCTTGGTAAGTGTCATTTCCTATGGATTGTTGCTCAAGAAGGCAACCCGGCTAACGTGGGCAATAGTGGCGCATGGTCTACGCCAGTACCAAGGAGGATTTGAAGAGGGCGCTTAAAATCACCAGCGAAATCCACGCCGACGACAAGTCCGACATTGAGTGGAAGACGGTCCTTTCTGACGCGAGCAATAAGAAGGCTGCTGGATTGCAAGACTAATGGTATCGGCTGGGCCCGGGCCATGTTGGTGCGTTAGAGCAGACTTAGATGATTGCGCAGCACCGCTCTGTCGCCGTGTTTCGTTTAGTTCCTCTTCTCCGGAGTAATCCAATTCGCAATGAGATCCCCGTTTGCTCTGCATACACGTTAGCTGTCAATATGAAATTGTAACGACTTTGGCTGTTTTCGCTAGATGGCTATATTTCTTCCACGGCCGTGTATACAGCTGGTGAACTCAATGGAAGGGGACATCTAAATGTTGTGACTCTTTTCTCCTTTCTGTACAGAGTACAATCCTCTAGAGTAAAAGGAAGGGTATGTAGTTGTTTGCCTTTGGGTCAGGGTAGCTATCTATCGTATGATAGCCGGAGAGAACCGGATCCCGGCGGGCATTGTTGGTGGTGAACTTTGAGCACAGTACCAGCACAACAGGTGTATACCAAAGACAATAACCTTAACAAATGAATATATAGTATATGAACAGCAGTATTGACATATCGAAATAATCAGTATACATACTACTAACACTGACATCTGGTGGTATATGAACAAACAAACCCCGACGGGTCGGGTGGAAGCCCGCGGGCCAATAGAAACGCCGCCAAAAACGGGACTAAGCTCACAGTCCGCCTTTCGAAACCTCAAACCACAGTCGACCGTCTGCTCCTCGCCTTTCCCCCATCGCGAAGCCCCTCTTACGCTTTTTATTCGGAGACTTCATACACCCTCCGGGGAAGGTTGATATTCGTTGGCCTCTGAAGAGCCATTCTACTCATTTTTTTCAATTGACTCAGTGCGCTCCCTTTTTCCGCACACACAATGTTCCTTCAATCCGCCACTCGGGCCGCTGCTCGCAGCTCGGCCATGCCCACCACTGCCATTCGTTCCTACCGCGCCGTCCCGAGCCCAATGGTCTGCCTTAATGCCCGTCCTCAGCCTGTGCAGAAGGCCATCGCCCCTCAGCAGACCCGCGCTTCGTCCGAGCATGCCATCGCGAACCCTACCCTCTCCGGCATCGAGAAGCGTTGGGAAGCCATGCCTCCCCAGGAGCAGGCCGATCTGTGGATGCAGCTGCGTGACCGTATGAAGGTGGACTGGCACAAGATGACTGTGCAGGAGAAGAAGGCTGGTATGTGATCCTGGTATCTGGAGAATTTTTTTTTCTTTGAGGGGTGTTGGTGCTGATTAGTGTGGTTTGATAGCCTACTGGATTGCTTTCGGTCCTCACGGCCCCCGTGCCCAGGCTCCCAAGGGTGAGGGCCTCAAGATTTTCTCCAAAGTCGTCCAGCTTGTTACGGCTTCTTGTGCTGTCTTCTACGTTATCCACCTGTTCGGCAAGCCCATGCCCCGGACGATGACGAAGGAGTACCAGGAGGCCTCCAACGAATACGCTAGGGTATGCACCTCACTTATACCCCTATATTGCATGGATGGAATAAAACTAACAACCAACAACAGCAAGAGCGTATCAACCCCATTCACGGTATCAGCAAAGAGGGATACGAGGGCGAGGGCTTCGTCCAGAGCGCTCCGGCCGAGAAGGAGTAAATTGGAAAGACATGAGAATGAGGAACAAGTGCTACGAGCATCCATGATATTGGATGAGCAGTTTTCTTCTCTTCTGGCCGTATATCCCGTCGCATTGACATACGCAACAACAACAACAACAACAACAAAAGACCCTCGTTACTGGAGTGGTATTTCCTCTTTCCCGTCACAAGGAGCCCGAAAATCTGTGTACTTCGTACTGTGCAATAATCGTTTAAATTTCTTTTGTAGCCATAGAGCATTGCATTATGTTTCTGATACACGAGTAGTACTTGTATAGAGGCTGGTTGTAGTGTAGCTTTGAGCTAGACTGTAGGGAGTAATTGCTCTGTGCAGAATGCGTCATAGCGTATCTCCGAATATTCCAAGTTTTACAGATATCAATCCTTCCTAGTTCTGTTTCTACTCCGTAGATGGTCTGGAGTATTAAAATGCAGTATCCGGGGTGAGCCGGATGTGGAGGGAATAACCACACAACAAAAGCAACTCTATTCCTAGGCATTGACAGATTTACAGGTACATACAAGTACTCTATAAAGTACGGAGTAGATGTATATCATAGCTAAGCATGTCATTAAAGAGCCCTCAATGCAGTACAAGCTGGTAATACAAGCGAGCTCCGGTACCAACAGCTTCATCACTATGGCGATATACAATACAGTCGGTGACAAGTTGCGGAACACACGTCAGAGATTTCCGAGCGTTCGTCCGAGCAGGAGTATTTGCCAGCAATACAGGTGAGTGTACATAGTACCATGTAAGATATTTGTATTTTATTGTATATTATGATGTCTCAATTGAGCTTATATTCTGGAATTGATTGATAATGACTACAGAGTATGGTGTATGTTGACCAGGTACGTAGTGGTAGCTGTAAAGTGGCATGGTGGGAGAGAGCTCCGATACTCGGTGGTATGACGGTATTGTATTTTTACATTCCCTGCATCCGGATTGTGCGTTTTAGCCGGCATCTACTGATTCTATGTTCACAACAGCACTTGGTATGATAGAGTAAAAATAAGAGAAAACAATTATCTATTTTAGAGAACAGAACAGACAATCACATATTCATAGAATACTATAGTATAAAAAACCACAAGTAGTGCTGGTATGCTTCGCGTCGGTACATCACGGGATCGTCGGCAAAACCGCCCCGGAAAGGCTAAGGGCCACACCGTGTGCCCGTCTCTCTCTCGTTCCCTCTCTCACTCTGGCCAACCTCACTCTTTTCCTTTTTCTCTCTTCTCCTCCCTCCCCCCCATCTCCTCCCTTGACCTTCTCATCCCCATCTTTTTTTTAATACCCTCTTAAACACCCGTCATCATGTTCAAGAGGTAAGTTAATGCCATTGTCTTTTCTTTCTTTTTTACTCGTCCCTCTTGCCTTTTGTCTTGGGTCTCGCTCACAAATTTCTAGTGGTCTCGCCCGGACCTTCGGGAGGGCTGCTTTTGCCCGTCCGGCCCCCGTCGCTCGCCGCGCTCTCCAGCCTCGCTTCCCCTCTCTCGCCAGATTCGCCAGCTCTGAGGCCATCCAGGCTGGAAAGATTCACCAGGTCATTGGTGCCGTCGTCGACGGTATGTTGTTGGTCCTTGTGTTACCGCCCTGCCTTGCTTTTTTTGCCGACGGCTCGACGGGTGTGGGAATTGGGATGGATGGACGCGCAAAAAATCTTTTCTGGCTACAATTGTCTACAACAACCACGTCAAATCCATTCCAATTCTCGATTCCCGGATAAAAATGCAATGGCTTGAGTTTCATCTGGTCGAATTCTGACGTATTGCAGTGAAATTCGAGGGTGAGAAGCTCCCTGCCATTCTCAACGCCATTGAGACCGAGAACAATGGTCAGAAGCTTGTCCTCGAGGTTGCTGTATGTATAGCCATCATTTCCCTCCGTTTTGTCAGTTGCTAACGGTACCAGCAACACATGGGTGAGAATGTCGTCCGTACTATTGCTATGGATGGTAAGCTTCCTTTGTCCCGGTTACCCAATCGGGTTGTCTGCTCCCTTCCCATCTGGGGTTTGACAATTCGACATCCCAATTGAATCGAAACTCACCATCTCAGGTACCGAGGGTCTCGTCCGTGGTGCTGCCGCCCGCGACACCGGTGCTCCCATCACCATCCCCGTCGGCCCTGGTACTCTCGGCCGTATCGTCAACGTCACTGGTGACCCCATTGACGAGCGTGGTCCCGTCAAGGCCACTACCCACCTTCCCATCCACGCTGAGCCCCCGCCGTTCACCGAGCAGTCCACTGAGGCTGAGGTTCTCGTCACTGGTATCAAGGTTGTCGACCTGCTTGCCCCCTACGCCCGTGGTGGTAAGATTGGTCTCTTCGGTGGTGCCGGTGTCGGTAAGACCGTCTTCATTCAGGAGCTGATTGTATGCCCCCCCTTTTTTTATTTATTTATGTTTATGTCTACATTGCTCTAACGAAAACAGAACAACATCGCCAAGGCTCACGGTGGTTACTCCGTCTTCTGTGGTGTCGGTGAGCGTACCCGTGAGGGTAACGACTTGTACCACGAAATGCAGGAGACTGGTGTCATTAACCTTGACGGTGACTCCAAGGTGTCCCTTGTGTTCGGACAGATGAACGAGCCCCCAGGTGCCCGTGCCCGTGTCGCCCTTACCGGTCTTACCATCGCCGAGTACTTCCGTGACATCGAGGGTCAGGACGTGCTGCTCTTCATTGACAACATTTTCCGTTTCACCCAGGCCGGTTCTGAGGTGTCTGCCCTGCTGGGTCGTATCCCCTCTGCCGTCGGTTACCAGCCCACCCTGGCCATTGACATGGGTATCATGCAAGAGCGTATTACCACCACCACCAAGGGCTCTATCACCTCCGTCCAGGCCGTCTACGTGCCCGCTGATGATTTGACTGACCCTGCCCCCGCTACCACCTTCGCTCACTTGGACGCCACCACTGTCTTGTCCCGTGGTATCTCCGAGTTGGGTATCTACCCCGCTGTCGACCCTCTCGACTCCAAGTCGCGTATGCTTGACACCCGTATCGTCGGTGAGGAGCACTACAACACCGCCTCGCGTGTCCAGCAGATGCTCCAGGAGTACAAGTCGCTCCAGGATATCATTGCCATTCTGGGTATGGACGAACTTTCCGAGGCCGACAAGCTCACTGTCGAGCGTGCCCGTAAGCTCCAGCGTTTCCTGAGCCAGCCCTTCACTGTCGCTCAGGTTTTCACTGGTATTGAGGGCAAGCTCGTCGACCTGAAGGACACCATTGCTTCTTTCAAGGCCATCATCCACGGTGAGGGTGACGACCTTCCTGAGGGTAAGCTTTGTTCTCCGTATTTAACCGCTTAATGAATTATGCTAACTTATATCAGGTGCTTTCTACATGGTTGGTGACTTCGCATCGGCACGCGCCAAGGGTGAGAAGATCCTGGCTGAGCTTGAGGGCCAGTAAATGTAATATTGTTGTGTTTTGAGCGCCCCTTTCTTTTTTTATTTAGACATGGACTTTCTTCCATGTTCCGTTTTCTTTTGATGGATGTACAGTATACTCGATCTAAGAGAAAAAGGGATTTGAAAGAAAGCTGTTCCGAAGAACAAAAAAGAAGGAAAGAAAGGAGCAATACGTTATGCCCCCGACCCCCAACCAACCCTCTTATTGTAAGCCTGGATGGAAGTTCTCCAAGCTTGTGTTCTATTATGTGTTCGGATGTAAGTAACCTAAAATGACCACAGTCAGCCTCTGATACCCTCTGGGCTGGGACAATTGTATTATTCTTTTGTTATGTTTTGTTAGTAGTCAGTTCAATGTACGAGTAGTGCTTTATCATGCCTCTTTCCGTGTGAAAATAGGTTTGATAGCCGTGGTTTGAGGTTGACTATAATGGACGAATAGATATGTTTGTCTCGGTTCTTAATCGGAACTCCATAAGGGTATGTTGACTCGATTAGCTTTCTTCTACTGCGCTATTCTAAACTACTAGAAGTGCTCTATGGCCACTCCCAATACCGTTGCGAGTCTATGCCCAGAATTCATCTCCACGGTGCTCATAGATCTAACTAGGCCTGGGCGTCCTGTACATTTACTCGGAATGAAATCCTTCACGCTGGACGATTGGACGGTCTCGTCCGGGTCGTTCTCTATAGGCATAGGTTGTTCGCAGCCCTCAATGCCGATGTCTCTCTGGCCACAGAGTCGGAACAGTGTACACTGATTTAGCAAGCATCGCCTGGACATATCGTCGGCTATCGTCTATTTATCCTCGGAGCATAATGGTCTCGTTAGAAACCTAGTTGAAAGATCAGCAACAAGACAAAGAAACGCGTGTGATCCTGGAGTTGTGCTTAACAGTCACCCTGCCATGAATGCCAGCCAACCCCGCTAACCAACCCCGCCGCTACAGGAAGAAGTATAGCAGTAGCCATCCAGTCACATTCCCTCTAGGCACTTGCATGCATAAATGGCCAATCCATCGCACAGTATCTCTGGCAATGAAGTCGGTGAGCGGCAACCAACGGCAGAAAAGAGGGGGGCGCCAAATTATACCGCTCCACCGCTCACCGCATGCGGAAATCTTAATTTTTTTTCGAATAGAAGCCCTTCGTGTTGGATCCTCTTTTTTTTCTTCCCTCCCCCCCTTCTTCCCTGGCAATTGCTAGCCAGGGAAATTGGGCTTGTTTATTGAAGATTCGGTCAAGATGAAGTATATTCTTGTTTCCGGAGGTGAGTTTTCACCTTTTTTTTTTCTCGGCTTTGCGTTGAGAATTGTGGTTGTCGAGTGTGAGTACTGATCTTTGTTCAGGTGTTATCTCCGGCGTGGGAAAGGGCATTATTGCCTCGAGCTGTGGTCTTTTGTTGAAGACCTTGGGTCTTACTGTGTCGAGTATTAAGGTCGATCCTTATCTGAACATTGATGCTGGTCTTATGTCGTATGTACATGTGCCGTTCAATCCAATTGCTCAAGTCGAGTACCGTGCTGATCATTTCGTTTTCTAGACCAATTGAGTTCGTATCCCAACACTTTCGAATACTGTCCTAGGAAAACGAAGTTAACATAACAAAGGCACGGTGAAGTCTATGTCCTCGACGACGGCGGTGAAGTCGACCTCGATCTTGGAAACTACGAGCGCTACCTTAACATCACCCTCTCGCGCGACCAAAACGTTACAACCGGCAAGATCTACCAGCACGTTATCGAGCGTGAGCGCCGCGGTGACTATCTTGGAAAGACAGTTCAGATTGTGCCGCACTTGACGGACGCTATTCAAGATTGGATTGAGCGCGTGGCGCGGATTCCGGTGGATAACTCGGGTCGGGAGCCGGATGTTTGCATTGGTGAGTATTCTGGTATATCACCTGTGTTTGGAGTATAAACTAAACTTCGTAGTTGAGTTGGGTGGCACGGTTGGTGATATCGAGAGTGCTCCGTTTATCGAGGCTATGAGCCAGCTTCAGCGACGGGCTGGGCAGCATAATTTCCTTCAGATTCACGTCAGCTATACACCGCTGATTGGTTCAGAGCAGAGTATGTTACTCGGAAATAGGTTTGGCATGGCACGAGCTAATGAATGCAGAGACGAAGCCGACGCAAAGAGCTATCAGCGATGTCCGCAGTGCTGGTCTCCGGCCTGACCTGATTGCCTGCCGTTGCGAGACTCCTCTTGCCGAGAGCACTATTCAGAAGATCGCCAACTCGTGCCAGGTCGAACGCGACCAGGTCGTTGGTGTGCACAACGTCACGACCACCTACCAGGTTCCCATCCTCCTCGAAAGCCAAGGGTTCCTCAACACCCTCAGTCGCATCCTTGAAGTTCACACCATCCCCAAGCACCCCAAGCTTGTGGACTACGGCAAGGCCATCTGGCAGGATTGGCAGGGGCTTGCTACAAGCCAGGATCAGATCCTTGGAACAGTAACGATTGCCCTTGTCGGCAAGTACACCAGTCTCCACGACTCCTATCTCAGTGTTAGCAAGGCATTGGAACATGCCGCCATGCACTGCAAGAAGAAGTTGGATCTGCTCTGGATCGACGCCTCCAACCTTGAAGAGGGTACTCAGGAGTCCTCCCCGGCCGAGTACTACAAGGCATGGCACGCCGTCTCCACCGCCAACGGCATTCTCGTCCCTGGTGGATTCGGCCTCCGTGGAACAGAGGGTATGATGAAGGCCGCCCGCTGGGCCCGCATGAACAACATCCCCTACCTCGGTGTCTGCCTGGGCATGCAACTTGCCGTGGTGGAATACGCCAAGAACGTCTGCGGCATGGACAAGGCCTCCAGCGCCGAATTCGACGAGACCTGCGAGCAGCCCATCGTCGTGTACATGCCTGAAGTCGATAAGACCAAGATGGGCGCCACGATGCGTCTGGGCAAGCGCCGCACTGTCTTCCAGCCCAACAGCGAATGGTCGCGCATCCGCAAGCTGTATGGCGAAAAGCAGGACATCTGGGAGCGCCACCGCCACCGCTACGAGGTCAACCCTGAGATGGTGGAGACCTTGGAGAACGCTGGTCTGCACTTTGTTGGAAAAGACGAGACAGCCCAGCGGATGGAGATTGTCGAGCTGAAGGACCACAAGTGGTACGTTGGTGTGCAGTTCCACCCCGAGTACCTGAGCCGTGTCCTTGCTCCTAGCAAGACGTTCCTTGGTTTCTTTGCTGCGGCTGCTGGATGTTTGGAGAGTATCACAGATGTGTACAAGGACCGTCATGATCTTAGCCACCAGAGTGTTGAGATTGCGACGGAGGAATCTGCTTAGGCGTTTTCTTTTTACTTATTATTTTTTTTTACTGGTGTCATGATTCGGTGTTCCGGAAAGAAAAGATGAAATATGTTTGGGATAGAGTTTTATATCATCTGCTTAGGAACGAGAATGCATTAGTTACTTCATATAAAATGGCCCCCCTTTCAAACAAGCAGCAACAATTCGATAACACATGGAACCCAAAATCAAGCCTTAACAAGTCATCCAAATCAACGCCTGTCATTCCAAATCTTAGCCAACCCTTTCTCAAAACACAAATAACATTATTCATCGCAGTCACTCCTGCACAGGATTTGGTTTTGGTTCTGCAATTGCTTTTTATCTGGTGTTGATGCGGGATTTGTACTTTATGGACTTGTAAGTCCTTGGGTAAGTCGAGGGTGATGGTGATAGTGTCAGTGAGGTGTATGTATTCGTCTAGACTGTGTTCTGCTTATGTATCAGCATACAATCTGGTATCACCATCGGCAAGACAACAGCGCATACATAGAATGTGTCGTAAAGGACCTCGAGAAAGCGGACAGTTGGACGATAGGATATCTGGTATTAACACTATCCGCGAAGTAAACCACGCACCTAGTTTTGTGTCGTGATGTTTAAACTTATAGAAATCGGAATGAACTGGTTGAAGGACAGAAAGAGACGAGAGAGGGAGGTTCTATGGACTAGGGCCAGGCAGAACATGTTCTATATGCCTAGAATGCTCTGTCTGTATAGTAGTGATAGGGCTGATGCCACTGTCAAGGATGGGGGATGCCTGTGTACAAGTCTGCACGCAAACACCTGATATCCTAGTCAAGATTGGGGGTTGCCTTTTAGTAAAATAAAAGGAACAATGAAGGTATAATTCTGTAGCCCAGGAATAGCATATTCGAATAACTTCGAATTCAAACCGTCGACATCAATCAACTGCTTCTTTTCGTCTCTTTACGGCCCCGACAACAATTGATTACACTGCCCATTTCCAGCAAGTGCTTCCAAAGACCAGCCATGCGGATTATACCAGGGCAACGCTGATGCTGATGCTGCTTTGGTACTAGCAGTGGTGGTAGTTGTAGAAGTTTTGATTGAAGCAGTAGTACTAGCAGTAATACTAGAATCGAAAGTAGAATAAGTCCCAGGGTGCAAAGGAGCTTGACGTTCTTGCACACGAATGAGGTCCTCGACAGAGACGACCCAGTCTATGGCCATTTTTTTTTCTTTTTCTTTTTTTTGGTAATGTGAGTAGGACCGTTATTGTATATGCGTTAGATGGTGGGTGATTTTTGTTGAATGATTGAATTGGGGGGAATTGGGCTTCTTATACCCTGAGGGATAGGCAGAACTTATGATTGCTCTTATGGTCACGTTCACCCTGGATAGATGTTTGTCTGATATAATGACCACTTCATGCACTGTCTGGTTGATGATGAATAGAAACGTCAATTTCTATCCTTATCCAATTTCTTAGGACTAGTATAGTGCCGCCTCTCTATATCAACTCAAATCCATACACATCACGACGCCGGACTAGGCGGCACTTTCCCATCTGTCCAATTCACAGCCCTACTCCCCAACTCAAACTCCAACTTCCCCCCACCCTCAAAAATATCACTCCAATCTACCCAGCTCTTCTTCCAAACATTCCCATTAACCCTCAACCCCTGCACATAAACCTCCTCCCCATCACCATCCTTATCACCACCACTCGCAGTAATCTCCAACGTCTTCCCACCCCCCAAATCAACAGTTAACGACTCAAACCACGGCGCGTGGACCAGGAAAATCGTCTGACCAGTTATCGGATACAGGCCGATCATGTTCCAGAGGAGCCAGGATTGCATGGCACCGGCGTCGGAGTTTCCGGGGAGGCCGGATTTGCCAGTACTGTAGTTTTCTTTGGCGATGCGACGGGAGCGGTGGGTTGAGAGGTCGGGGCGCGAGATGTAATGGTAAAGGTAGGGGATGTTGAACATGCTGTTACATTTTTGTTAGCAAAGGCTGGGTACATAAGGGAGTTAGGGGGCGTACGGTTCATTGGTAGGATCGAAAATCATCCCCGAGTCAGAGCCGTCGGCGCCCGGTGTGAACATGGTATCTAGTCGGTTAAGGACGGTTTGGCGTCCGCCCATTAGCTCGATCATGTGTTTTATGTCGTGCACGGCGGCCCAGGTGTATGCCCACGAGCTTGCTTCATAGTATGGGTCTCCCCAATATCCACTGTCATTGAGGGGATCCGTGTCAATAAACCCAGACGAATTGCGCGGGACCACGAACCCCTTGAATCCCAATGAGGTCTGGTTAGAGTTGAAATGATTCCGCCAATTCCTCGACCGATTCAAATACTTCTCTGCGTCATCAGCTTTGCCCAGCCCAGAAGCAACCTGATATAATCCAAAGTCATTGCACGAGTACTCCACAGCCCTTGTGACAGCCCGACTATACTTTGGCGTGATATACCCCAACGCTTTCCAATCCGGCAACGCCCCTCGTCCCTCTTTAGTCGAGGAGTCAGGCGCCATAGAATCAACAGGTTCATTCGCGGGCGTGACCTCCGCATCTTTCAACATGGCCTTGTACCCATCTTCCCAGTTAACCGCACCACGGACACCTTTCACATAAGCATCAGCAAGGATATTGTCTGCATTGGAACCACCCTGCGTGCGGCCGTTGTAGTTTGACGAGCGGGCATCGGGGAGGTAGCCTTCGTAGCGGTAGATGTCGATTAGAGAGCGCACTTGTTCTTCGTAGGCGATTGGTTGGAGGATTTGAAGGAGAGAGGTTGTGCAGCGGAAGAGGTCCTGCGCGTATCAGTATATCCCTAATAGGTCTTCAAAGAGAAGGGAGGGGATGTACCCAGAAGGTAAAAATATCTTGGTAGTATGGCTCGTTGGAAGTCCAGTTGGGGTTCTCGCCTGTTTGGTTTGTTGGGATCAAATGCATGAAGTACAATGATGTATAGAGTAGCTGCAGACTCGTATCGTTTGTGTTTGTCGTGGTTATTTTGTTCAGTACTTTGGTGTTCCATTCGGACTTTGTGTTTTGCACAACTGTGTCCAGGTCTGTCTTTGCTGGGATCTCTTCCTGAACGTTGCGACAGGCTTTGGCGGTTGAAATCCAGGAGATGCCTACTCGTGAGGTCACCTCGGATTCGTCGAAAGAGAACACAGCACCGACGCGTTTAGAAGTAGATGTTGACGATGCAGTTCCGCTGGGTTGCTCGACGCTGCCATCCTCATCTGTTCCAACGTAGGTCTTGTTGCTGGTGATCGTTGTGTCGAAGTAACCACCTGACAAACAGTTAGCCACCATCAAGGCAGTAGAAGGGGGATGACTCACAGAAATAAATCGTCCAGTCCGGCGAAATATTCCATCCATTATCATAAACACCCTCTCCCTCATAATGCCCATCCCTAAAAACACTAATATTCCCACCCTTATAACTCTGCCCAAGCCCCTGTCCCCGAAATGACGGCAAAACATGCGCCACATCAACAAGCACCTTATTCCCCTCAGAGTCTTTAGGGAAACCATAACGATAAATCCCCGCACGCTCTGAAGCCCCAAGCTCCACGCTAACACCGTCTCCCGTTTTCGCCTTATAATATCCCAATTCGGCCTCATCATCACCGTCTCTCTCCACAGTCAAATTCGACAAAGGATCCTTAATACTCTTCCCGACTAGCGGAAGCTGCGCGACGGTCCCGTATTTAGGGGCGCCGCCGGTTCCCTGCTCATGCATCATGCTGAAGCCCGAGAAGTTGCCAGTGGAGAGGTAGCCGGAGTAGGCGTCGGATTTGGCGTCGTAGAGGTCTGGGCCTAGCTTGACCATGCCGAATGGGCGGGCAACGCCGGGGAAGTTGTTGCCGCCGCTTTCGGAGCCCATGCTGTTGCTTGTTAGTTTGGATATGAATATGTATGGTTGGGGGGTTGGACTGGGCTGGCTTACAAGGGGTCCACGTGAGAGGATAGGTCGGCTGCGGCAGCCCATGCTATTGGAGACAAGGCTAATGCAAAGATAATACTTCTGTAGGCCATGGTGGACTGTTTGTCATGTCAATCAGCTGTATGTAGTTTAAAGGGGTTGTTCAGCTTTACGGTAAACGCAACTGCGAACCGGCCCGACAGCTCCGGACCTTTGACAAGCTGTATCCAGTTGTTCAAAGAGCGGATAGAGAAGAGTTATTTTGACAGCAATTTAAGAACATAAATAAGAGATCTACGCGAACGAGCGAAATGACACTAATAGATAGCGCGGAGGCAATGAGGCGGGATCAGCGAGTTCCACGCCCAAAACGAAGGATTTGAAGGATTCATAACAATTGGATTTAATTGGGCCGGATACTATTCGGGTGTATAGGAGTATTTTGGCCCCAATGAATAAATATGAATATATATCGCAATTTAATGTTCAGTGCACCGGATATTTTGAGGAGCGCATCCGGAAATGCGGTGTTGAGAAGTACTACGGAGGACCTCGTATTTATTTCTATGCAAACTAACAGGGTTGAGTTGTTGAAGGGTGCATAGCCATCTTTAATGCGGATTCTGGCTAAGATCATCAGGGGCAATAATCCTTGATCATATCAACTTTGCATGGCCGTTACGCAGATAACCCAACCATATATATTTTATACTCAAGACTACGTTCTGCATACCTTTAAATAAGCACCGGCACATCGAGAAACCTTGTGTTAAGCAAAGGGAGCGATGTAATGGATGTGTCGTTGTGCATCTTGGTATCTATCTTTAAGATCTTATTCTGACAGCATAATATGGAGGTTGCGGTCAACCCAGGCCATTACTTCGGCCCCGACGATGTACGCTAGGGTCGCGGTCCAATGTTAATGCTCAAGTTCTAGAGCTTGGTGCTTGACCTGGAAATGCTTTGTTTGCTTGTGACCGGGCCTACATTCAAGGATTGACCAAATCTGCATGGCTTGCTGTGCGGACGGTCCCAGATGGCAACGTTAATTTTAAACCATGCCTATCCGATGTACAAGCATTAAGCTGCTCAACTCTGATAGTGCTATAATCCATAGCCTCATTTGGGCCTTAAGCTCAATGGCTTGCTGGGCATTTTGGCTGGAAGAGCCCTAACTCTGCTACCAGTTAGGTAAGATAATATAAGATATGCAAGCTACAGGAAACTTGTCGTGGAAGCTCCCGGGACAAGATAATACACGAGCTAGGATACCCTTTTCTCTTCCTTTCACAGCAATGCATATTTTCACCTGTTTCACGAGGCATCAGTATACACCTTCCTGGCGGTGATATCAGACTTACTATCACTACACCAAGAAAAAGCATCTATACAGCAAAACAAATGACCGAAAAGAAGCCATCTAGACAGAACCTGGTCTACCTGTCCTACCCGATGGAGACATGTTCTACCCGTTGTAGAGAACTATAAAAACTCTCGTTTCACCAAAAGCGACTTTCCACTAACAAGTATCTCTCGCATCATTTTACTACTGCTATATCCCATCTTATCGTCACTATTACACCAACACTATTACAATAATAAAAGCAAGCCTTACTTCGTCTCCCTCGACGACTCTCATCGCATGCAGACTCAACAGCTGAAATACCTTACTGACACTGATCCCTCACCACCTCTTATTCGTCGTACCCCTCCTATTACCACTACTGTTACCGGAGCAGAAAAACCCTCTCCGTAGTGTAACCTACGTGGTTGGTCCCGAGAAACTAAGTGGATAACCGGAATCATGATGACAATTGTCTTCGTGGGAGTGGTCGTGGGTGCCATCGTGGGTGGAGTCGTGGGCTCGAGGAATCACCAATATCCGGACTACAGTCCGTTGCAGTACCAGCTTGTAGATAACTACATGGGGGCTGATTTCTTCGACAAATTTAATTATTTCAGCGAAGTGGATCCTACGGGGGGCACCGTTGACTACGTCGATCAAGCAACGGCCCAGGATCTGAACTTGACCTATAGCACTGGTGACTCAGCCGTTCTTAGGGTTGATGCCTATAATGAAGCCACTGAACGTGGCCGTCGGTCTGTCCGCATCGAGTCAAAGGTGCAGTATGACCATGGGCTGTTCATTTTTGATATCGCCCATACACCAGTTGGCTGTGGCACGTGGCCTGCCGTTTGGCTGCTAGGTCCCGAGCATCCTTGGCATGGTGAGATTGACATTGTGGAGACGGACAACCTGGCTCAAGACGGGAACATCGTGACTCTGCATACCTGGGAAGGCTGCAGCATGGAGGGCGTCAAACGGAAACAGACCGGGAAGAAAACAAACCTGAATTGCGGTGATGGCGACGAGACTGGATGTGATGTCCAAGGCAAACCAAGATCTGATGGTGAGAAGATGAATAGAAAGGGCGGGGGTGTTTATGCCTTGGAAATGCGAGACGCTGGCATCAGGACCTGGTTCTTCCGCCGCAGCAAGCTCCCGCATGATATCGCGAACCCAGGAAATGTTCCGGATCCATCGTCATGGGGACGACCGTTGGCTGATTTCCCTAACACGAAGTGTGACATCGAGTCGCATTTCGACAACATGAGAATCGTTGTCAATATTGATCTCTGTGGTGAGCAGGGTGCTGATCCGAAGCTCTATACGGAGAAGTACCACTGTCCGGGGAATTGTACGGATTTTGTGAGAGGCAATCCGGAGTATTTCATCGATGCGTACTGGGAGTTCAAGGGCTTCAAGGTGTATCAGGCCGAATGATACTCTCTTGGCAGTTAAGTTGTTTGATTTGTGGATATTTGGATCGAAATTCGTGTTGCCATTTTCTTTTGCTGAAAGTTAGTTTGAACTAGCTTGTTTGGTTATATTCTAGGCCTGGTATCTATGCATTGGTAGATCTTTCTCAACGAATTGATTTGTTTTAAAGATCGCATCCACAACTGACTTTCTTCTTGCCATATGTAGACTGTGAAACAGAACATTGTTGGGATCGCGGCCATTGTTGTTCAGGAACCGTGGCCTCCGATGGAATGGCGCATTATCGAAGTTCCTGCACGCAAAGATTTAGCCCTGGCGCACCCGGCGTAATGGTTTAACATCGTGATTGCTGGTTTCAATAACCGAAAGCAATTAACACGGATTATTTAGCGTACCTTATGTCCGGCATTTTTAACGCATCATGGCCACGCGGTAGACATTCCCTCTCTAATCCCAAAGAGCAAGAAGCGTACACCTCAACTAGGAAGTCGATAAAGGCCGAAAGAGCACTATGCATAAGCGCAGTATCTAGAAATTGAGCCGCAGCACTGGCCAAAACAATAAATAGCAGAGAAACCAGATAACATGACCAGAGCTGTACTTGTATAGCCACAGGATGCAGTGATATGAACTCGCATGACTGGCACGACTGGTTCAGAAAAAGCAAAACATTCCTGTTCGCTATTTGGAAAATTCCCGGGAGGGTCTTGGAGGAAATTCTCTTTCATAGGCCCGCTAAAACAGGTACTAGAAACCTTGTTTCTAGACTTTATTCACTCGAGACATCGGCGGAGTCTATTGAGCTTATTGAGAGATAGAGTTGTGGGCTCTATTGATATCAACTTGGAGCATAGTTGCCGCACTCGCGTGGCTCACATGGATTCAGGTCCGGTTTTTGATTCGATACTTTTCTTTGCTTTTTTGGTGAATTGTCTCGGTGGAGAAGCAGTTTGCATGGTACAGTGAGTTGTCGGGCCAATAGGCAAAGATAGAGGGAAATAACTTGCTGCAGATGCTGTGGGGAGTTGCACTAATTCAGTGAGTCGTAATTTTATAAAGTTCTGGAAATGAGATTTTGGTAATTCGGAAGTGACTGGAAATAGAATTGCGAGGGGCACTTAGTTCGGTCGTACATGTTTTAAAACGGCCCGGTTGTCGCCAGGCGATGGTTTGAGATTTTGTCTGCGTTTCTGCGGTCCTTTTATTTGACTAAGTGAAGCTTCAGTATGGTGTTTGGCCGGCACTTCTCGAGCCTGATAGCTCTTCTGTATACCAGCGCGGGTGTTCTAGGGCACCCGGCTTGCGAGAAGGCTCCGGCTGGTGACTGCACATATCCATCTCTGATCAATGCAACATCAGAGCAACTCCAGGATGGTCTGAATAAAGGATGCTTCACGAGCGCTGATTTAGTCAAAGTATGCTTCCGCCAATAGTCCTAGCTCGAATGGCTAACTGTTGTAGGCATACGTGGAAAGAATCCACGAGGTCAACTCGACACTGCACATGGTGCTAGAAATCAATCCAGATGCGATACAAATTGCTCAGAGTCTTGACAAGGAGAGGAAGAATGGCAACACTCGAGGGTATGTCATATTTCCCCTTAGTGATGTGGAATAAGCAAACTAACAAGAATGACTACAGACCACTACACGGCCTTCCGATTCTGGTCAAAGACCTGATAGGCACAAACGACAAAATGGAAACGGCTGGTGAGTATCACCATTTCTGTTGTGCTGCTCACTGACATATTGTTCAGCCGGCTCGCATGCACTTGTTGGCGCAAAAGTACCCGAAGACTCCACCGTCGTGGCCAAACTCAGAGAAAGCGGCGCCATCATCCTCGGCAAAACAAGTCTCTCAGAATGGGCGAACTTCAGATCATCAGATTCATCTGATGGCTGGAATGCGAGAGGAGGCCAGACATATGCCGCCTATATTCAAAACCAGACTCCCAGTGGAAGTTCTAGCGGCAGTGCCGTTTCCGCTGATTTGGGCCTGGCTCTAGCAACGCTTGGGACGGAGGTATGTCACCTATCAGCCTAATGAGGGCTATATGTGCTGATTCTTGCTTTATCGAAAGACGTATGGAAGTATCCTGTGGCCCAGCGAAAAGAGCAACATCGTCGGAATCAAACCAACCACCGGACTGACCTCACGGCATATGGCTATTCCAATTAGCGAGCGTCAGGATACTATCGGACCCATGGCCAGAACAGTGAAAGATGCGGCAATGGTCCTGCAGGCTATTGTTGGACAGGATCCCAAGGATAACTATACTCTGGCCTCGCCATTTGCAACTGGTTTTCCGGACTATGTCGCGGCGTGTAAATCATCCGGATTGCAAGGAAGACGAATCGGGATTCCTCGCAACGTTGTTAGCCATTATGGCGGTAAAGACAACCCCGTCGTATCGGCATTTGAAGCCACCATCTCGGAAATAGAAGCCGCAGGAGCAACTATCGTTGAGGACGCCAACTTCACGGCTTATGAGGAGTCCATCTATTCACAAATGCACAGCAAAATGACGGCTTTGGATTTCATCAGTAACATCGCAGACTACCTTTCCGGCCTGAAAACGAACCCAAATAATATTTATTCCCTGAACGATATCCGGCATTTCACACAACATGAACCCCTGGAAGATTACCCAGATCGCGACACGTTCTTATGGGACTTGACCCTATCTGTAGGTCTCAACAACACATCCCCGGAATACTGGCCAATGTACCAGGAAGTCCTCAGAGTCGGTGGTGATGGGGGTATCCTAGGCGCCCTCACGCGGCAAAACCTAGATGCTGTCATCTTACCCACTGCAGTCGCTCCTGAAATTCCAGCCATGGTAGGCTCACCAGTCATAACAGTCCCACTTGGTGTATTGCCAGAGGGAACGCCTGAATTAAAGGACCGCGGAGTTGTGTACAGTGCTCCTGGGATTCCATTCGGGATTAGTTTCCTGGGAGCGAAATGGAGTGAAGAGCAGCTGATTGGGATGGCGTATGCTTTTGAACAGAGGACGTTGAAGAGAGATCAGTTGCGACGCATCATTGAGCCAAATACGGAGTTGAGGGATGTCTTATAGACTTAGTAGCTAGTCCTCGTTACTTGGGAAATGCCGGCTCATTGCTTGGGGAGCTGTTCTGTACATAGAGGTAATTTGCATTCTGCATTGCATAATAGCATGAGTTAGAATATAGAAACAGAGTACACACTTATTCCATAACTGATCGTTGTAGCGAGAGTAGTTGGCAGTTGTCGAAGAATAGCTGCGTGATGAAAATGGTTTAGTGCGGATTGATTTTCTAATCGATAAGGCTACCCCCCGCCACCAATGCTTTCACTTTCCACCAGAACAGTTCCAATTGAGAGAATCACCATATTCATGACTTTACCACGATAAGCACATCCCTACATAAGATGGAGAAACTCGAAAGCACATGCGCATCATTGCGTGCACAAATAACTGCCACAGAAACCAGATTGGCGGGGTTGCGACGCGAGCTCGAAAGCGCAGAAAAGGCCGCCATAGTAATTAGGAAACAGGAGGACACAAAGGCAGAAGAAGGGAACAAGGGTCGCGAGACGAGGACATGGCCGCTTCTGGGGGAGGAGTATCGGCGCTATGGGAGACAGATGATCGTGCCACAGCTTGGGCTTCAAGGTGAGTCAAAAGGGTGCTATATGCTTGGTTGCGCCTTCTAACAACCACTCTCTGCTACAGGCCAATTGAAACTTCGATCATCGAGAGTCCTGATTGTTGGCGCCGGAGGGTTAGGATGCCCAGCTGCGCAGTATCTTGCCGGAGCCGGAGTTGGCACATTGGGCCTGGTCGACGGGGACACGGTCGAGTTCTCGAACCTCCATCGCCAGGTTCTACATCGAAGGAGGACTGTTGGGAAGTTCAAGGTGGATAGTGCGATTGAGTATCTTGAAGAGTGGGTCCCACTAGCTTTACAGACTTCTGGAGTAGGTGATGCTGACCATCGTGCGCTGCTAGATTAAATCATCACTCTACATATATCCCCCACAGAGCACACCTTACACCTCAAGACGCACCTGAGATCTTCAAAGACTACGACTTGATTCTAGATTGTACAGATAACCCCGCAACCCGTTACTTGATCTCGGATACTGCAGTACTGCTTGGGAAAGCGCTGGTTTCCGCCTCCGCATTGCGAACCGAAGGCCAGCTTATGGTCCTGAACAACCCTCCTCGACCTGCTGGAGACGCGACTGGAGGACCATGCTACCGATGCGTTTTCCCGAAGCCACCCCCGGCGAACAGCGTTGTCAGTTGCGCGGACGGTGGGATCCTTGGACCTGTGGTGGGGACGATGGGTCTTTTGCAGGCGTTGGAGGCGATCAAGGTTATTACTGCCAGTGATGATGCACCTCGTAATCCCCCATCACTTCTCATATTTTCTGCATACTCCTCGCCACAGTTCCGGAGTATCAAGCTCCGCTCCCGCCGGGCGAACTGCGCTGTGTGCTCCGCTGAGGCTAGCGTATCGTTGGATACATTGAAGTCAGGGTCAACCGACTACGCATTTTTCTGCGGGACAGCAACCCCTGAGACACTGCTCTCTCCAGAAGAACGCATTTCACCGCAAGAATATCGAACAAAACATCCTGACACATTCGCGCCTCAATCGGGACCTACCCCTGCCGCAGATGACAAGCAGCACACAATAATAGATGTCCGCGAAAAAGTCCAGTTCGACATCTGCAACATCGACCACAGCATCAACATCCCAATCTCGAGCATTCTCTCGTCTCGCCCAGCTCCGGCTGAAGAGGATGGGACCCCTGCTCCGTTGCCTACCTGGCTTCCAGAGAACATCACTTCTCCAGATTCCACTGACCCTGTATATGTCGTGTGTCGTCTTGGGAATGATTCGCAGGTTGCCGTGAAGAGGCTTAAAGAACTTGGATTGGACCGTGGAGGGCAGAGATTCATTGGTGATATACAGGGTGGACTGCATGCCTGGAGAAGACAAGTAGATCCGGAGTGGCCTGAGTATTAGCATCGTATCACACGCAAGTAGAATAGCACGTATGAATAACGAATGTAATCTCCAGAGGGATAGATAAAAATTTGGACAAGTGTGAAAAAAAAAAAAGCAAAAAGAAACTCCCCGACTGGGAATCGAACCCAGGTCTCCCGCGCTTGCAGTTGTTAAGCTGACAAGCGGAAATCATGACCACTAGACCATCGAGGACTTGTGATGGAAAGACTTGCAATATCATAATTTACAAGTCATTTAATGTGAATGATGGTTTTGTCAGTAGTTCCACGCCCATGTCCATTGATATTAAGGTTGTTTCCCAGTGAGCACAGTAGCAGTAGCCGCCACGGAACTCTGTTTTCAAGCTCAAGGCCGGCTCCGGAGAGATGCCTCGGGATTGCTCAAGCTTGCAGCCGAATGAAAGAGGGCCGAAATTAAGAATCGAAGTATCGCCAAGTAAATAGTGTCCGGTATTGACTCAAATCGTTGCCACTCCATTATACACCCGTTCGTTGAAGAATTCCCGAATTGCATGTAGTGCATAGTGTGTGGTGAGTAGCCAGCCCTTCCTGTCCATCAGCAATTATATATAAACTCTTCCAGTCACATAGTAATTCCCAACCGACAGGCCATGTTGGAATAACCTCCAATTTCCAAGCTCTCGGAGTGGGTCAGTGTCGGTTTCCTGGGCCGAGAACCGACTGCCGTTCGCGTCTCGTAATGTTCCGATCTCTACGGCTCCAGGCAGTTCTTTTCTTTGACTCACACCGTTTTCTTGAATAAATAAAAAGGGTTTTATACCGTGGATTTCCCCTAGGAATAGCGATTGCGTAGGGGGCTGTTGAAACAGGATTCGTTTGCATTCATTGACAGTAGCAGGTCCACGGATCGTCCCTCCGCTTGGGAGCGCCGTTTTCACGCCAAAGTTTTTGCGCCGTCGCAGTTTTCTCCTCTTTCCACCAGCAGTTTTTTTCTTCATACTGCTCTGCTGGGTCGCTGAATAGCCGCGATAATTTTCTGGTATTTGACTGCGTGATAGAAGCAGAGTGTTCGATATAGCAGTCTGGTTGATTGCCTGGCGCAATAACATCATCGCTATCGGGTCACGTGAATCAGAGGCAAAGCATGCGTCAAACAAACAGATAACAATAGCAATTGATTGTGGGATTTAAAGTGCTTTACGACTGGACGCTGGCAATATGGTTTCTAGGTCCAGCTCATTTAGCGATACGGATCCTCCGATCCAGTTCAACACGCCGAATCCGCCTGTTGATATGGATGATACGCCCAAGCCTAGGAAGAATTATCTGAAGACTTTTTGGGGCAAGGTGAAGCGAGGATGGCAGAGGCTGGAATTGGATATCCACACGGTGCTGCAGATGATGAAGTGAGTTGCTTCGATGTCTCGATATGGCCAGTGCTAACATTATTATTCAGAGGCGCTATTCCGCCCACAATTGCTCTTGCTATGTAAGGAAAACATCCATAATCGAGAGAGGCTGGAGCGCAGCTAACACAACCAGGTATCAAGCCGACTCGGTATCCGCAGAATTCACCACCCTCGGCTACATGGTGGCTATCATCTCCGTCCTCGGATTCGCCATCATGCCTCGGGCCAAGTTCATCCAAATGATGCTTCTTGACGTGCTAGCAGTTTGCGTAGCAATTTCAATCGCCCTGCTCATGATGTACTGTTGTATCCATTCACGACAGCATGCGACGACAGGCTACCGGACCGCGCTTGGAGCTTACAATTCGTCTGCATCCGCTGTCAGCGGCGTGTGGCTTTTCTTTCAGACATTCATGGTGCATTCTCTTCGTGCCAAGTTCCCGCAGTTCCAGTTTCCGGTTATCATCTATTCGATTATTGCGGTGGTTACCAGTACCTATGCACCTCAGTTTACGACAATGGCTGCATCAATCAGTTTTGCTACGAGACTCCTAAAGGCGTGTATGACGGGTTTGGCGCTTACAACAGGAGTTTCTCTATTTATTTTTCCTCTGTCCACCAGGACGGTTGTTTTCAAAGAAATGGCAGGATACATAGGAGGGCTGCGCGCGGCTCTCAAAGCACATTCAAATTACCTTGAGACCCTCGAACGCGACGACATGTTCGGCCGCACAGAGACATTCGATGAAACAGTCGAGAAAATGGGCAAAAAGGGAAAGGTCTACAGCTCCGAAGCACAAGCCATCCATGCCGCAGTCCGGAAAATCACCGAGCTCCACGGAAAACTCCATGGTGATTTGACGTTTGCCAAGCGAGAATTTGCCTGGGGAGAACTGGGCCCTGATGACTTGCAGATGACTTTCAAACAACTGCGCAAGGTTATGATTCCGGTTGTCGGCATTGGATTTATCGTGGATATTTTCCAGCGTCTTTCGGAATACAACAAGTGGAATGAACCTATTGATCCGAATGCAAATGATGCCCCGACTGATGCGATCCGCCGACGGGTCGTGCAAGAATGGAACGATATCATGAGGGCGGTTCACGACCCGTTTGCTTCTATGATGGAAACCATCGACGAAGGATTACAGCATGTTTCCTATACGATGAGATTAACCAAGCCACCGAAGAAGAAGGCTGCTCCTAGTCCTGCAAATTCTGACATGTCTGACAACAAGGATGGGGTGGATATTGAGGCAGAGGCCGGAAAGGTTGAACCCGGCGAGAAAGGGTTCGCAGAGCATTTCCAGCGCAAGTTGGGTGAATTCCGGGTGGCCAAGAAAATTGCATTGCAGACTTGGGCTGAAGAGAAGGGTCTGAAATTACCGGATAACTTTTTCGATCATCCCTCGTCTGTGGAGGATATTGATGATCTTCCTGCAGACGTCACGGGATTCAGCAGGGATAGAAACCGCCGGCAGCTCTATCTGTTTCTTTTTGTACGTACCATGGCCTGATCACATATAGGAAATGATACTGACCAATGCAGATGGAACAATTGCTATACGCATCAGGACAGACAGTTCTGGAGTTCGTCCAATTCGCCGACGAGAAACGCGACAGCGGCAAACTGTCCAGGACACGTCTCATCGTCCCAGGAGGAAAACGCATGGCTAAATGGCTCTCGAGCATTTTCCATGTAGGCGACACCCACGAAGACGACAACATCGGCGACATCAACACCCAAGGCAATATCCTGCAACTTGGAGAGGCGTACAAATTCCGAAAAGACCCCGAGCATCTCCCACCCCAAACCGCTTTCGAAAAAGTCGGAGACAGAGTGCGCATGTTTTCCTTCATGTTACGCTCAACTGAATGTGCCTATGGCTTTCGAGTAGCGTGTGCGACTATGACCATTGCCATTGTCGCTTATCTCTACGATACGCAGGAGTTCTTCGTCCGGCAACGCTTGTTCTGGGCTATCATCATGGTTAATCTTAGTATGTCACCTACGTCGGGGCAGAGTATCTTTGGTTTCGTGCTACGGATCCTTGGCACTATACTCGCCATGATCGTCTGCTTCCTGTCATGGTACATCCCCGATGAGCACACAGCAGGAACCTTGGTAATCTTCTTCATTTTCATATCGTGCGCCTTCTACGTTCCCATCAAGATGTTCCGCTTTCGAACCATTGGAATCATCACCATCATCACAGCCTCAATGATCATCGGCTACGAGCTACAGGTCCGCAAGGTTGGAGAGCAAGTCGCTACATCCAACGGACAAGCATACTACCCAATTTACCTCCTCGCGCCCTATCGACTGGCGACTGTGGCAGGTGGTATCGGGGTTGCGTTTATCTGGACCTTCTTCCCGTATCCCATGTCGGAGCATTCCGTGCTTCGACAGAGTCTGGGAGCTTCGTTGTATCTTCTGGCGAATTACTACTCGCTTAATCACGAGACCGTCTCCGCACGGATTCGGGGCGACGAGGGTGACATGACGCTCAAGACTTCTTCTGGGCGTAGACTTGAGAAGGCACGGAATCAAGTATTCTCGAAACAGATGCTGATGTTGAATGGTTTGCGGACATACTCCGGGTTCTTGCGATGGGAGGTTCCAATTGGAGGCCGGTTCCCTAAGAGGCGATATGACTCGATTATCAATTGCATAGAGAAGTATGTCCTCACCTATCTTCAACACAGTATGCGGCTTTACTAACTGGGCCAGTATCATAAACTACCTGTCTTTGCTAGGCTACGCCTCTGAAGTCCTCTCCAAACTCGGCGCCGAAGAGTCCGAATCTGCCTGGATCCACGACTTCAAGGCTCTCATTACTCAAGCCCGCATCACGACCCACGAAATTACATCTGTTCTCTGCCTCCTTTCAGCTAGTATCACCAACCGCCAACCATTGCCTCCTTACTTGAAGACGCCCAGACCGTACAGTTTCTCAAAACGGCTCGAGGCGCTGGACAAGGATATCCTGAGTATCAGACATATGGCTGAACCGGGGTATGCGGCGTTTTCGGTGCTGCAGATTTCGACGAGATGCATTGTGGGTGATGTAGATCGGTTGTTGCGGTATGTCAAATCAAACCTACGGAGCAGAATAGACGTCGTATACTGACTCAAACCAGGGATGTGAAAGCATTGGTCGGCGAGCTGGACTTCTCCTTCCATGCTGTCAGCACCCGCGACCCCTCGAAGTCGTCGATGAACGTCACGAGACAATCTATGTATGCATCGGGACTGTCGAGAGCTTCTTCGTTCCGGGATAAAAACGATTAGTCGGTTATAGCATCTTTTTTTCTTGTTGTTTTCTTTCCACTTGGTTCCCCCGCTGCCTGGATGATCCTGGTGAGGCATTCTTGCTATTGATCCTCCGCCTGGCCCCCCTCTCATTGCGCCATCCCCTTTTCGCTGTTCGAAGTTGTAATCTCGGAGCTGTCTCCATTAGATCATATCCCGAGAAAAGAAAAGAATATGAAGCTTCAGAGTGGGCTACACAGAAATTTTCAGTGTCGCAGGTATCCTGTTCAAGGGTGAGGAACTTGCTGTGCCATGCTCTTTGTCTACATGCATACTATTGTCGACAGAACACTTTTCTGGCTGTTGTGTTCCATTACATGTTTTTGGTATCAGTGCAACAGGATCTACCACATCCCACTTGGTCCACACTACTTTCATTAGCAACTGGAGTTGTTGGTGGGGATGGCATGCACCACTCGTGACCAGCGATCTGTATCTTGAGTGAGACTATACGCATGGCATCTCAGCTACAGGAACGCGGTTGGAATATACTGCTGCGTTGGCTCCCTGGTCATGAAGGCATCTACGGCAATGAGTGTGCTGACGCTCTTGCAAAAGAAGCTGCCAACTCCTTGGCTCCCAACGCCGCGGAGGAAGTAACTTTCATGGCCAGCACTCAAAGAATCCTCCGCATAGAAGCAGCCAGTGCATGGAAGAATGAATGGACTGCTTCCACCCACGGGAGCTCCCTCCGCCATTTATGGAAAGAGCCTTGAAAAGCACTAATGCAACTATACCAAAGCCTACGAAGAGCCGCTGCATCAGTCCTCATTCAAATGCAAACTGAGAAGATTGCGCTGGTCAATTATCTTGGTACCTTTAAGACTCTGGAGTCGACTGAATGCTCCTACGGACGTGGCCTTCAAGATACACTCCATGTTCTCCTCCCTGTAAAAACCAGGCAGGACTCCGGATGCGCCATCTTACACAGGGGTCAAAGGGGGGGGCTTGGATTACCGGGCCTAATTTAACACGGCCAGACTTGGTACCGAAGGCGGTGCGATTTATGCCTGATACAGGCCTCCTAGGCCAGTTTCAGACTCTACCAACTACATACCGAGCCACAGCAACGGACATGAAGCAACCGACAGCATAGCGCAGCCAAGGTTATTGCAGAAGTAGGGACGGAAACGAGACAGTATCCAACAAGCCCATGAATCTTCGTGGCCACTGGAACAGCAGTACGAAACCAGCAGCACGGGGCATACAAAATGTGGAATAACATATCAAGATATATGTAGAAAAGCGACGATGTACATAGCGATTACCATTACGGCGGCTTACCTGGCCGCCCCGCAGGACCTGCCGCCATTCAGCCTACAGGGCTGACAGATGCGTATATGAATAATAACAATAACAATAACAATATGTTTAAATACAGGAAAGACATACACCGCATCTTCAAGGCTTATCAGTTGACAGATTGGCGATGAATAGGCTGGCACGCAATTTGGTAGCAGTCTGACGGCACTCAACAGCCATAGAAGGCTTTCGAATAGTCATAGAGAAGACCACAACTTTAAGAGCCCTATATAAACGACCTTCTTGCTACCCAAAGGATAAAAACAGATAGACACAACAGAATACAACTAGAAGCCTTTTCTTATTTACATTCAAATCCGCCGACTTGATCCTTTCATTGGCATCTCTGCGTACCATTCATACTGCGAAAGTCACCATGCAACCAAACACCTTCCTCAGGCTATGTCTTGGTCTCTTTCTCTCGACATTCTTTCTAGCATCACTCGTCCAGAGCTCGCCCTTTCCACGGTATGTTGCAGGACACTATGTAGATCTCTTACCTACTTCCTTATCATCCACTTTCTGAGTGACTGATGGGTACAATTCGCCCTGGTCACTCTTCAGCCCTAACTAACTTGCCCTGGCTGATGTAGTTTTCCCGCAGCTAGTTCACAGACGTTTCAATATCGAGCCCGCGCTCCTGTATGTAATTGTCTTCAATAATGCAACAGTACCTAGACCAACGCTGTCTATCATCATGCATGGTGACTTGCTCGCCACCTGTTGGAACATTGCCTCCCAGAGAAAATTGATCTCTTCGGCGGAACTGACATGCTCTGAATGTTGAGGGTCTCGTGTTTAATAGCAGCCCAGAGGGATCGAAGACGAAACTAAAAATTAGCACACGTCACCCGTACATGCATAGTTTCGATCTCTTACCCCGTCGACTCCCTCTTAGCCGTGGCAGGAATCATCCCACACTCCCTCAACACATCGCTAAGCTGTAGTCTGTCATATTGTACTCACCCTGGAATGCAAATATCTACGTCAAGCAAGCACTTTTGCCTTTCATGAATAACTTAACAATTTCCTGACTGTGGTGTGCCGCAGGTCCCGGTTTACCGCAGGGCCATGTGGTCCATAGGGTAACTATAGATCCATGAAAACTGTGGCATGCCGCAATATTTTCCCAATCCATCCCATCAATGGTTGCAAGTAGCTTCAGAATTTACCAAAAGTCTTGTGAGTAATTTTTCTTTGCTTGCCTGGTACATTTCAGAGACAGCAGTCGACAAAATGCGTACCACGAAATCCTACTTACGAACAATACTCTCCCATGATGGATATCACGGAACCACCTACGCTCTCATGAAACTGATGCCAGCTTCAGACGCCAGTGCGCTATTTGCTGCCCTTCAACTTAGACTATCGACTTTAATCTATCGAAACTTTCTCAAGCCTTTGAGAGATATAGATCAGACTGCAAACATTCAACAAGATGGTTCCAGAATTCAGGCGACTTATTGGTCTGATGTTTGGACTTGAAATTGCGTTTGGTACAGTTTCTAGGCTTCGTGATAATCATTTTGATTGAGCCAAAGAAAGAGAAGAGGAAGGACTTTAGAAACTGTGTTTGAACGGAAGAATGGAATGCACATTGAAATCAGCCTTTTGTGTGTTTAAATAGCTACTTTTCTGGTATTCTAAGTCATGATGGAAGCGCTTCCCAGTATGAAACTATAGATAAATTAGGTGTAAATGTTGCTGGTGAGCGTATTTGTGCTTTACCTGTTCAGGAAATTTAGCAGTGGTCGTTTTAAAGCAGCGACGCCAGGACGGAAATGCTACGAAAATGTACCTGAAAAGCCACGACGTTTTGTGGCCTTTCCGGCGTCACCTTTAGTTACTCCGTATATCCAACCTGGACGGTATACGCCTCTGCAGAAATTCGATTAGTTGAATGCACAAGCAACAGCTTAATTTATCTCAGACGATCATGCCTTGGCGAGACAAGACGCCCCGCCTCAGCCTTTTTATCAGCTTAAATGCACAGCTGCCATCTCAAGCAACTACGAGAGTCGAGTACTCACCATGGACAGCAATACAGACACTAAAAAACGAAAACCACATAAAAAATCGCGACGAGGCTGTCAAACATGCCGGTAATCTCACCCTCCCCTTTTCATACAGCTTCCAATAGTAACAACAACAACCCAGAACCCGCCGCTTAAAATGCGACGAAACCCTCCCAAGCTGCACCCGTTGTATGCGAACAGGCTGGAGATGCCAATACCCAGATCCTTTTCCATCCGAATCTGTAATTCCAAGATTTTTTCCCTCGCGCACTTTCGACAGCTAGCGCGAATACCAGTACTTTGACTTCTTCCGGTTCCAGACCGTGACTGATCTCAGTGGCTGGTTTAGTTCGTATTTCTGGCATAGGCTCGTTCTGCAGATGAGCCATTCGGAGGGTGTTGTGAAGAGGGTTGCTGTTGCGTTAGGGGCGTTGCAGATGAATGGGGGTTCTGATCAGCGAGTGGCTTTGCAGTACTATAACGAAGCGCTGTCTGGTCTTCGGGGGTTGCTTGGTTCGACTGGGATGCGATCTATTGACGTCGCCTTAACAGCGTGCATTCTACTCTCTTGTTTCGAAGTTTTCCGGAGGGATTACGCAGCCGCGCAAATGCACTATACAAGCGGCCTAGAAATCCTCAAACTATGGCGAGGAACCACGGCTTACTCAACAGTCGACTATCCATACCCCTCACGCTCCCAAGCAGTAATCCCCTGTTACGAACGCGCGTTAATCGAACACTTCTCTCTCCTAGAAACACAAATCGTCTCATTTCTCCAATCACGCCCCGGCTTCGCACAAGACGCCATCCTTTTCGAACAAAGTATCTCCAAGATCCCGATCCCAATGGACTTCACTACACTAAACGAAGCAAAAGAAACATTTATCTCAATCATGAACACAGCGATGAACCTAACCACCCGCGCCAAAAGCAGACTCGTCTTCAAAACAGAAGATGAACCGGAGCGCGATGAAAACGGGCTCTTCCGCCATCGCGAGACGTATAATGCGTCAATTCAGTTTGCGGCGACTCTGCGTACTCTTACGGGGGAGTGTCAGCTCACGCTTACGCAGTGGATGGCTGCCTTTGACGCCCTATATCGTCGGACATGCAGAAATATGTCTGTCCAGGAGACGGCGTCGACTTCTGTTCTGTGGCTAGTGTATACAGTCCTTTATGCGCTTTTCGCGCGAGACTTTTCTACGGGGGAAATGGGCTACAATGTATACGTAAAGGACTTTGAAAACGCAGTATCTCATGCCCTAGTCGCGATACGGCATCACCACCGCCATTCATCATCACAACAACGTCAACAGAATCGTCAACCAATGTTCTCCCTAAGCCTAGGCATAATGTCCTCACTCTACTTCATCGCGACAAAATGCCGTCACCGCGGTGTTAGGGATATGGCTCTCTACGCACTTTCTGCAGCACCATTACAGGAGGGCCTGTGGAATCGGGATAGTGCGTTCTTGATGACGCGGGTGCTAGTCGAAATGGAAGAGGAATCTCGGATTCCTGGGACTATTGGGCCGGAGGGGATCCCTGTGGAGGCGAGGATTATTGGCGTGAATTTTCTGTTGAGGGCTGAGATGGGGGAGCTGGTGCTTGTTGTTGATAGACCAGGGGAGAAAGTAGAGAGGTTGGTAAAGTATGTTAGTGGGTTGGGGAAAGAGATGGATAGATAATATAGGCGGACCAGGAATATACCTGCTGGAACCTGGAGGTTATTTCTACCTGCGTCCCGGAGGTAAGTTCTATTGACATCGACAACTATTCTGCATATTATGCGAGACAGCACACCCCAAGATACACTTCCAAGGAACCCAACGCCCTATGTTTCGAACAATCAATCAACTCCCGATAGAAGAGGTAGTACGAGACTACAACGTCACCAAAGGCAAAACGGTCACACGAATGATGACTTGCGCACGGGATACCAGCAGAAGAACGGGATCCAAGCAAGTCACTTATCGAAATAGGGTATCTACCTAGTACATGCATCTAGCATATGCTAAGCAATGGCGGTGAAAATCACAGCCACAGTATGTACTCCGTGCTTCCATACATGTGACATGCATGTGCCTCTGCCTCTAGCATCTGATATCAGTCCCCTTTCCTTCCCTTTCATACTTGTACTTGTACTCTGCACTGCCTGGTTGCTCATTGACTGACGCATGCACACAGGTACATGAAACAATCCCGACATTCTAGCGAAACCCAAGCCAAACGTTGCATACCGATTCTCATAACTCCTTGCATAGAAGCGAAAATTACCCATTCGACTGGAAAAAGCCTCTTTCAATAAACAGACTTTGCCTGCCTGTCTAACATTGTGTGAGACTGGCATATCGTGCACTTAAATAAACTCAGCGCAAATATGTACTTTGTATCCGGGGGTTATATAGCAGGCAATATCCCTTGCGTGGTCCCCCTACCAAAGAGATGTACAATGTCCCACATTATCATGCTCGGAATTCCTCATGCCGTCGGTTGTTGCTCCCTTTTTAAAAATGTACGACGTCCGCGCGGTGCGAATGGTTGATGTTTGATTTGCTTTTGATCAGTCGTGGCTGGATGACGAAGGGTGAAGAAAGAAGAAAAGATAAGACAGCGCATACCATTCGGTTATCTATGGGATAGAGAAGTCGAAAACGGATCTGAACGATAACTACTCCTGCCAATGGGTGTCACATCAGAGATAACGGTCTATAACAATGACAAAGAAAGCAGCGAATCGAAACCCCCATCCCGCAATACGCATCTCAGCGTCGAGGAATTCTCACCCACGCTCGAAGAAGGATTCCGACTTCGACCCCCAGTCTGCGACGAGGACGTTGAACACCAATTTGAAGATGATGACAGTGAAGCTCGCAATCGTCGCCGCTTGGCCAAGCGTGAAAATGCTGGGTGGAGGCCCGGGGTTAGGGAATGGCTGGTTCTCATCTGCGTATCGATTGTGGTTATGATGGATGCGTTTGATGCGACGGTAGTGATTCCTCTGGTACCTGTATGTAGTTACGCTTTTCCTGTTTGCGATTCCCTTGAATGTTTTGCTCATCAGTTGAGAATATTAAATTGCAATAGTATCTTTCCCATGCCTTTGCAAGACCACTCGAAAACATCCTATGGCTGCCAGCGGGCTACCTTCTCGCCAATGCAGGAGGGCAGATGATATTCGCTATGCTCTCCGAGATATTCAACTACGGGTCGCTCATGATAGTTGCTCTTCTCTTCGCCACGGCCGGAACAGGCGTCTGTGGCGGCTCCATGGATTTCCCTGACTTGCTCGCCGGTCGAACAGTACAGGGCATTGGCGGCGGCGGTGTGACGGCGATTTCATTCTTGGTCGTGATGGACACCATGCCAGGTTCGCATTGGATTCGGTATACAGGTTGGTTATCCACAGTCCGTGTGATTGGCGCTATACTAGGTCCGCTCCTCGGTGGACTATTTGTCGACTATGTCCGGTTCAACTGGGCGTTTTATTTCAACTTTGCATTCTGTGGCCTCGGTTTGCTGATATGCCCTTTTGCTGTGGATTTGGGCTCGAAGAAAGGTACCCGCCTTTCCAAGCTTAAGAAGATGGATTGGCCCGGCTGCATCCTTGTTCTCACGGGAGTTGGCTTTTTTCTTGTCGGGATGTGTTGGGGTGGTACGGAGTATTATTGGAAAGACTGGGAGACGGTGATGCCAATAACTGTTGGAGGAGTGATAATTGTTGCCCTCATGTTATGGGAGATGTTTTGGGCAACACGGCCGTTGTTTGCACTGAAAGCGCTGGGTTTGCAAGATCCGCGGTCAACAGCGATAGCGTATATCAGCAGTTTCCTTCACGGCTTTCTGGTGAGTCTATATATCCAGAGTGGGAAGCGGTAACTGAGAAACTAACCTAGAGCAGATATTTTGCCAACTACAATACCTCGTCCTATACATGACCTCTGTGAAATATTTCTCTCGGTCTCTGGCGGGAATAGTCTCCGTCGTCCTCACAGGACAAACTCTTATTACCATTGTTGTGGTATGCCAGACTGGAATTCTCAGAAAACTCCAATCACATTGGATAATCCGGATCGGTTGGGCAATAACTCTCATCAGCACGGGATGCTTCATCATTCTTCACAAGCGCACCCCAATGCCCGGCGTGGTATTCATGTTCTTTGCAGCAGGAACCGCTCATGGTTTTCTGGTCTCTGGATATAATGCTTTCTTCACAGAAAAAGGACTTCAACGGCAGCAAGATGAGGACCAGGGTTCCGATTTATCCACCACTTCTTTGCCAATTCTGATGTACCCGCTCCTCAGGACATGGGGAATGTGCGTTGCTGTGCCTGTCATTGGAGCCATCTTGCTGGGTCAATTAATACGCCAGATGGAGAAAAATGGACTTGATACTTCAAATGAGTTCTACATTCGTTTGAACGAGATTTTGTTGTCCGAGGGGGGAAGAGATGAACTAGAGATTCTGGATGGAGTTGGGTTTCGGCTGGTTTGGGAAGTCGTTACAGCACTCGCTGGTGTGGGAGGGATTCTGTCGCTGTTTATTAAAAAGCCTTAGGAAAAAGCCAATAGTATGGCCAGTACAAATTTTAGAGGGTCAGTTCACCGTTAATCCACGTTTCCGTACATACTCTGTAACACTGCTTGCTAGAAAACCGATCATGACGTCAGAAATATCAAACAGAACGACGTAAGTAAAGCTTTATCTTGGACTTACCGAGCTTCAACGCAATCGAGACTCTTCAAAAGACCGCAGAATTGAAGCGTCAAAGTCGAATCATGGGCAGGCGCTGAGATCAAATACCAATTTCTCTAATCTAAATCATCTGAAAGAACCAACAACACTCTAAAGCAGGATGCCGAAGACACCCGGAGCATCGAAAAAAGACATCTTTAATGAGCCGGAATGGACCAAGACACATAGTCACCGAGTAGGGCTGCGAGACAGTGATGACCGATTTCCCGGTCTGACCCACATCGGAGATGACTGGCGTTTTGAGATTGAAGAAGAGGCCGAGGAGAAGATTGAAGAACTGAAAGAGAAGGCAGCCGGCGGGAAGCTGCTTACGGTTCGCGACTTCATTGCCAAGCAAGAGGTCAGTTCGAGCGCGTACTTGCAGCAAAAGATAAACTAACCTCATTCCTCATCTCTTGTAGAACTTCGAATTCAAACGACCAGAAGTCCATCCGAAAAACCGGAGATATGTCCTGCACGTTACAGAGAATTTCATCAAAGAGGGACAAGGTTGGCTCATTAATGAGAGAAAGCGCCAACATGTAGATGAGAAAAAGCAAACGCAGAATACAAATAAAGAAGATGACTCGGAGCCCGAGGCCAAGGAGGAGAAGAAAGAAGACGAGGGTAAGCCAGAATACACCCTGGAGCAGCAGGCGCTTTTGCGCAATTTGAGTGAGGAAGCAGAACATATACGCTCGATGAAACAGAATGATGGAAAAGGCCGTTCACCTGCATGGTATGAATTGATATCCACGCAAATTGATGAGCTGGATCAATTCAGCCCAGACAATTGGATTGCGCGGCCTGACACTTTAATCCGAATTACTGGCAAAAATCCGTTGAACGCGGAACCGGACTTGTCAAAGCTTTTTGATGCAGGGCTCATCACACCAAACCGGCTTCACTATGTCCGGAATCATGGCTCAGTTCCGAACTTGGAGTGGGCGAACCATAAACTCGAGATATCAGCCGGTAGATCTTTGGCGCTACTAATGGATGACTTGACGGACCAATTTGAAAGCGTGAACATTCCAGTTCTTCTCGCCTGCGATGGCAACCGGCGGAAAGAACTCAATATGATTAGGCGGTCCAAGGGTTTCAATTTTGGTCCCGGAGCTGTCAGTTGTGCATACTGGAAAGGAGTTCTGTTGCGGGATGTGCTTTTAAAAGCTGACATTGTATCATTAATGGACGACTATCCAAGTGCGAGTCTTTGGGTTCATTTCGAAGGCGCAGATGATCTCAGTGAAGGGAGGTATTCCACCTGTATACCGCTAGAATACGCCATGGACCCGAATAACGATGTCTTGCTCGCTTATGAGATGAATAACAGCCCCCTGCCAGCTGATCATGGATATCCGCTTCGACTGATCATCCCTGGATATGTCGGAGGTCGGTGTGTAAAGTGGCTGGCGAATATATGGGTGACAGATCGTGAGAATGACAGTTACTACCATATATATGACAATCGTGTCATTCCCAGCTTTGTGACAGATCCGAACTCCGAATATGCAGATATTTTGTTTCATAACCCAAGTACCATCTGCAATGAGCAGGCACTAAACTCGATTATTGCGAAGCCAGCCCAGGGTGAGACAATAAGGCTCACCGATGTAAAGAAAGACCAAACATATCGGATCGAAGGATTTGCATATAATGGAGGTGGGCAGGAAGTACAGCGTGTCGAGATCAGTCTGAATGGAGGCGAGAACTGGCTATACTGTGTGCGGCGGGTGAGATGATCAGATGAGCATTTGCATTTTTTTTTTTTTTTCAGGAATAACCTTGTCATATAGTATCCTGAAGCACCACTGCGGCACGGAAGGAAAATTTGGACATGGCTGTTTTGGCACATTGATGTTGACCTTCCACAAATGCTGGAAGCCCAAAGCATTACCGTGCGTTGCTTTGATGTAGGGAAGAATACGCAGCCCAACACGCCTTCTTGGAATTTGACAGGGTAAGTTCTTCCATCGTCGCACTTTGTGCAGTCAGGCTAAGTGCCCCAGGATGATGAACAATTGCTGGTATGTGGTCAAACCACAAGTAATCATTGCTCCTGACACAAATGAATTGCTCTTGATATTTCGGCACCCCTGCGAGCCAGGCACTGGAGAAGGTGGATGGATGGGACCATCTACAGAGATTCGCATGGAGCAAGCTAAGCGCTCTGCAACAGCTCCTCAGAAACAATTCACCCGCGAGGAAATAGAAAGTCATTCAAGCGAAAGGGACTGTTGGGTTGTGATTAATGATAAAGTGTACGATGCCACCAGTGTTCTGGGTTGGCACCCTGGTGGAATAACACCGATCCTCGATCATGCCGGGCGAGTTCATTCGGAGACAACGGAGATGTTTGAGAGCATTCATGACGATTTTGCTCAGAAGAAATTGCAAGGTGTGAACCAATATTGTAGTGTTTGCGGTAGATCGTTAACGAGTGTCGGTAGAATGCGCCTTGGGAGTGGTGACCGACAAAGTAAAGGAGTTTATGCAACATGTGGCCGAGCAAAAAGCCGAACAAAGGGCCAAATCAGCCAGGAGGGATATGGATGTAGCACTGAGCCGGCATAAGTAAGTCTCGTTGTGGTCTATTGCCCGAAGAATGCAAGACTCACCTATAGCTACTATGCAGATGGACATTGGTGCGATTGGTTCGAAAAATTAAGATTTCAGGAGATACCAGTCGGTATACATTTCAACTGCCACCGTCATCCAAGACACTAGGGCTGGAAACTGGTCAACATGTGCAACTAGGATTCCATTTCCGAGACCGACTGGTTTTCCGTCCCTATACACCCGTTTGGCCAATTCTTTCCAGCCAGGACGAAGGCACTTTCGATCTGGTCGTGAAGACATACTACCCTGATCCAGGGCAACCGGGAGGGACCATGTCGAATATTCTGGATTGTCTTCGGGAGGGTGAAGTGGTGGAGGTGAAAGGACCTTCCGGGCAAATTAGATATCAGGGAAACGGGGAGATCCTCGTTGACAACAAAAGCTACTTTTTCGATCGTATCACCCTGGTCCTTGGCGGATCAGGGATCACTCCGGGATACCAACTCGTCGCCAGGATTTTATTAACAGAAGGAGACCGAACAGAGATCAGAGTTATCGACGCGAATAAGACCGAGGATGACATTCTACTGCGTGAAGAGCTTGGTCGATTCGCGCGGGATAATTCGGACCAATTTCGCATCACCCATGTTTTATCTCATCCAGGGAAAGACTGGCCAGGCGAAAAAGGTCATGTAGACGAAAGGATCCTCCATCAGTATGCGTTTGAGCCGGACGAGAGGGCTGTGGCTCTCTTATGTGGACCTCCGGCGATGATCAAGAAAGCGGTGCTGCCAGCTTTGAAGAACTGGGGGTATCATGAAGACAAGAATCTGTTCGGGTTTTAGCTTGTCTCCAAGACTTCGACGAGTACCTTAACTCTACTGGCCTGGCATGTAATTGTCGCATCGGTGGCTCCCTCGTCGATTACTGTCTCAACAAGACAAGAGTACGCATCCTCGCCAGCTCATATCCCCCAAGGTTATTTTCATTCTCAACATGTTACACTCTTGGGATATCGTCCTGGCCATTGGAGGTTTGGCTTGTGTTTTGCGACTCGGACTCCCTTCGTGTGCGCTTGGGCTTTGGTTTGAGGACTTCGAAGAGTTGTTTCACGGCAGGCATTACGGACATTCGAACGATTTGATGGAATTGCTGTTGGTTTGGGGGCTTGGTGCGATTAGTTTGGTGTGGTTGATTTGAATTCGATAAGATAAAATGTAGTCGAAAGAAGCTTATTGGACTCAGGCAAATTCAGGCAAAGCATAATGATGTTCGGTGCCGAAGTTCCCATCAAAGCGGCCTGCTCTTACCCAAAAAGGAAACCATGAGGTCGTACCTTCTGTACACAAATGCTGGAGCGCCTTCTCCATCGAGACAAGTACTAACGCTTACTTCTAATCACCTTCTCTGTTTCTTACTCTCTCCTCCACCTTCGATCTCTTTTAAATCCATCCCAAACAGTATTCTCCTGCTACTGTTGCATCAACATACTCTTAGTGACAACTATATCTCTTTCTGCATCTCAACAAGAATGTTTTCCCTCAAATACTCAGTCTTTTGCCTTTTGGCAGCTTCTTCCGTTGCTTTTCTCGCCTCGACAGAGTCCAAACAGGTCGATTTCCCTCTCCCTGACAGTCTGCCCAATCCGTCCCCGAGCCAAATCGAATCGATCCAGATGAGAGCCGGTGGCACGTTGCCAAATACGCCCCCTCCAATGCGTATTAGCAGCGAGGGTATCAACAATCTGAAACTCATGGCGTTTACTGGATTGTCCGAAGTGGCTTTTTTCGATGAACTCCTTCGAAACATCACCACCAACGTACAGGGCTACCAGGTTGCCAACGCACAGGAGCGTGACATGGTTATCAAGTCTCTGACTACGTTTCTTGCTGTATGTGCCAGCTTGGAATTTGGAGAAAGACCATTAGTGCTAATAGTAGCAGCAAGCGGAACTGCAGACGATCGCGGAAAACAATGGCCTTCGTCGTTTCAACCTCAACACTGTCCAGCCTTGTCATTATAGCTTCCCTGTGTCCGACTACAAGTCTGCAATTGCACTGGGGGAGGCATTTACGAGTTTGAAATTGGGTGCGCTGCAAGACATCGTCACGCGGTTCGCCATGGGAAGTGACTTCGACTTGGCCCGTTTCGCAACATCTATAGCCGGTCAGAAGGGCCAACAATCTGGCTGGTTCCGCACTCTCCAAAACAAGGTAGCCAGTGGCGTGCCATTTCCGACGATGGGAAATGTCGACTTTCTCTTTTCGGCTGTCCAGAGATTCATCGTGCCAGGCAACTGTTCAAGCATTGCCGATATTTCTCTGCGTACCTTGCAGCCGCTGAACATCCTTACGCCCCCTAGTCCGCGAACGCAACTCATCCGGGTCTCCTGGAAGCCTACCAAGGGCGGTAAGCAAGGACAACTGTGGATGACCTACATAAACCAGCTGAATATGCCTATCGCCGAGCGGATGAACATTATCTCTAGCAACAATGAAACAGTGGTGGCTGAGGCATTGTTTCCGTATGAGAGACGCCTTTTGAACGGATTGACCATCGCAGCGGTAACCACCAGCGGCGGGCCGTTTGCGAATGCAGCCGAGGTGTCACAGGCGACGGCGTTTGGACCAGGATTGATCAGTGTTAACTAATTCCCTGTGCATCGTTGTTAAGATGCTTAGCAGCTATCCATGCTAATACATGTTCTACGAAGACTTTTGTATAAATTATCCTCGAAGTCAATTAATTGAACCATGCGCTAGGTTAGCTTTTAACCAACAAGGATCCAAAAGTGAGTAATAAAGTAGGTACAAGAAGAGAAGCACTATTATGCTAAGTCCACCAGCTAGCCTTCAGGGCTACATCCCCTGACATGCACAGCAGAATGTTTTAAACCTCCTTTTTTTCCTTTTTACAGGTGTCCCTGACCAGCGTTGCTGGTGACGCTCGAGGCAACCTTAGAGTAAGCATCAGCAGAAGCAATGTTCTGACCCTTGAACTTAGACAGCAGGCTAGTGTCGGCCTGGTTGAAGGTACCAGAGTTACCAAAGCCGTTGATCTCGCAGTCCCGGCCAAGGTACGACGAGCACTGAGCGTTGGAGCTAGCGTCAGGAGAAGTGAAGAGTTGGCCATCAACAGGGTCTTCGACGGGGGCAGTAATGTCCTGGAAGACGTTACCCTCAGCAAGAACGTAGCCACCCTCACCGATCTCGAAGGCGTGGCCGGAGTTGTCGTGCCAGTAGTTGTTGACCTGTCCATCGTCAATATTAATGCGAATGTGTTATTCTTGAAAGCGTGACTTACAGCGTGCAGAACGGTGTTACCCTGAACCTTAGGAGAGCGGCCGCTGGTGTGGTAGATGTAGTTGCCCTTGAGGGTGACCAAGTCGTTGTTGCCATCGAGGTAGATGCCCCAGTAGTGGTAGCCGTCGCAGGTGGCAGAGTAGTCAGATTCACCGTTGATGAAGGAGTTGGAGATGGTGACGCGGTTGTCTTTCTCGGTGCCGAGGACGATGTGCTGGCGGCCGATGCGCTCAGTCTATACGATTGTTAATTTCCATTCTGGGTGACTTTAGGGAGGGAATTGGCATACGGTGACGTGGTCGATCCAGACAAGGTCACAGTCGTTCAGGGTGATACCGTCACCTCCCCAGACGTACTGAGGGTTGATGTCGGTCACAGCGATGTTCCTATTCTTGTCAGAGAAATCTTTCAACTGAGAGTGTAGAGACTCACTGAATGATAATGTTCGAAGCACCGCTAACAATCCGCAATCCCTTACCCTTAATAATACCCTTCGAGCCCTCGCCCAAAATAGTCTTATCCGACGCAACAGTGATACCCAAGGTACCCGCATTATCATACTTCACATCAACAGTCTGCGCATCGGGCTGGTAGTTAGTGCACCAGTCATTCGAGTTGATCGCCTGCTGGCAAGCCGAGCCGGTACCCCAAGGCGCACAGCCAGTCCCGGTAGTCGTACCCTCTGTGCCGGTGAAGTCGAAGGTCTTGGAAAGCACGATCACGCGCGCCTCATCATCACCCAGGTACGAGACCAGCTCGTCGGTGGAGGAGGGGTAGACGGCGGTTGCATCACCACCACCGGTGACGCCCTTGGCGAAGCCTTCAGCGGAGCCGGAAACGCTGACTGCGGCAGTGGTGGTGGTGAAGGCAGCAACTGCTGCGGTGAAGAGGGAGGTGTATCTCATGGTCAACAGAGATAAAACAAAGAAGAGCGAAAGAATGAATGGAGTAGTTAGTAAAGAAAAGAATGGATGGATGGTTAAGCAGTATTGATCAGCGGCCGTTGAACATTTTATACCTTGAGCTCTCCCACGCAAGCCATATAGGTTAATATCGGGATATAAACGGATAATATCCAGACCCAGAAGCACCTGGGCTAGCACCGATTTCGGGGACAGCCGCTGCTGCAGATTAACAATCTGGATTGATTAATCTTATATTGAGTCCCTCCGAGCCGTCTCACGATTCCCGATTAGGAAACCTCCGAGAAGCACGGGGCAAGTGGCCCCGGCTGACAGGGCTGATTGAAACTCTGAATCTCACTTTGAGACGGTTATCTGATTTTTTGTTCGCTGTTGTGTGGACCGAATGATTCCCGAACACTTACTGGAATAATTAACCGGAACAGTCTGGAAAAGATGTGGCGGACCCTCAGTCATGACCCATCAGAGCCGGTGGATGGGTGACTATCACTGTTCATTTCGTGATTATTAGAGAAATGAGGCTTGATATGCTCTATATTAAGGAGAACGTCGAATATTTGAGAGAAGTCGTATGATTGTACACAATCCCTTCAAGAACGACCGAGGTTTGTCTGAATTGTATAAGGACCTTAAATTTCAGGGTATTCGGTTCCTGACAAAGTTCTCCTCCACAAAAGAACGATTCAGCAGATGGAGTCCACTATGACCGATGAGTTGTAGTCGAGCCTATCGTGGAAAGGACCAATCCGGACATGATTTGAGATACCGTGGTGAATTCCTTGGTCCGGCACTTTTTCGAATTTCTCTTTCCGAGAGCTCTCGCCCTATGTCGGTCAAGAACAAATACGAAACGTTAATAAGTAAATTATCCGACCGAAAAGTAGCGTAGCTATATCCCCTAGGAAGGCGTGTCTGGGTGCAGGTTCGTCTCCCCCAAAAACTAATACCCTCGAGGGGGCTTCGCAAGGTCCCAGAGAATATACCAAACCTCGGCCCAGACAAGGCTCTTCTTTTAAGGTGGCTCTAAATCGCACCAATTCGTAAAGTACCTATCAGTGTTAGGCATTCACACGACGCTTGATATCTACTTACACCTTCTGCTTTTTATTTTATATCCCAATAAAGACACTCGTAGTTCAGTGCATGGTTCACAAAGCCGGCTTCTACGAATCCGCTAGATGGTAGGAAAGTTAACCCATAATCCAATTATGATAGAGGGGCAGGGGACCTTACAACCAGACCGACTTGAATGCTTCACGGATTTTCCTGCGTCCTTCGGCGGAGAGCTCCAGTAAACAGCTTCGACCAAAACACCCGGTACCTTTTCTATTAAACAGAGTCACCAGAAAGGCACTGGGGACAAATCCATTCCTGATCTTGCCCTTCAACCGTGTGACTGGGTCAAATGCTTCAACCATCAAGGTCTGCTTTTGCGTAGTGGGGGAACTTATGGGTGGCTTGCTGAGATCTCTGTTCAAGTGTTTGATAGGCAGACCCTGTGTGTGGAATCCTGGTCTGTCAGCAACTTTCATAGAGACTAAGGTATAGATATACGTGTTGTGGATAATCTCGCATGATCACTTCCTCACCCGAGTCATTGGCTTTTGTGCAAACGAATGTTCCATAGATAGCGGAGGTACAATTAAGCTCCTCATATTTGTATTGTGTGTAGAGGCTGAGGGTCTCATGTAACTTTCCCGCCACAGTCTAGGGACCAGGATGGTTGGTATTCTGGATGCGAAAGGTTTTGCCGACATAGCCTTCGAAGTAATCCACGTCTGAAACCGTTCGCTGAGGAAATATATCTTATTGCCTGGCTACACCAATGTGGTGATAATTAGTTGGTTTGGGACGCTTATATATTTGATTTACTACTTTTCAGTTGAGGGGTTGTGACATTTACTTGAAATATTCACCTAAGCTCTTTGCTGACTGCAGTCTACCTAGAGCAAGTACTGTGGGATTTCTTATCTTCTTTCTCTGCTCTCTTTACATATAGCCACTATCTCTCACTTCCAGATACCATAACCCAACACCAGAATCGTTGTCGTCGACATTTTTCTCCAAACCATTGAGATTAAAACATACATCATTATATCATACTCTGGCTGTTCCGAAATGAGGTGCTGGTCAGCTCCGGCCTAGCAGGCCATCGATAATTTCTCTGAATATCGAAAGCTGGCCATCGAGTACCTAGATAGCCGGGCTTGGGAGGTAATATATGACAATATCTTCCAAGCGCAAGTTGGTATTATAGAACTCTTTTGAGAGGTGGACCGACTGGAGAAATCTTGATCAAGCTTTCGGAACGCTATGGTAATTGACCTCGAAAATAAGCGCTGAAGTCGAGCGGCGACAAAATTTATGTCCAAAGCCGATAGATAATAATGGTCGAACATGTCCACTGGCGCTATTCAGTTATGGTGATGTTTTAGCGGATACAAGGCCGTGATGACAAAGATATATGATATATGGCCGCGTGTCGGACATCGTTTGCATTCGGATTGGAGAAGTTCACTTGGCGAGTCTATAAGTTGGGGGACCAAGTTTGAGAAGATCGCGGAAGGTCGGTTTCAGCAAAGAAAATGGGGTGATACACGCATACACACGGGGAAATGGCCTAGCAAAGACGAGAGTTTTAATGAACACTACCAACTGAAAAAATAATACACGCAGGCCTTTCGGAGAGTGCAATACAACCACCCGAGTGGTGTCTGTGTCACCTCTGGCAAAAAGACGATATGTTATAGCAGCCTGACAATGAGGCAGTCATGTAGGAACTCTTCTCCCATGGAAGTCCACTTGAAGGAGCACAAGAACCCTCCCTGATCACGAGGCAACTATGCCAGACTAAGGGCTCAGTCAATTTGACTGTTTCTGCTGTCTAAGGGGATAGAAAGCAGACAGAATATCCTTGAGAGGGCTATCAATTTTACAGAAAGCGGGCATTTTCAACGGTACGCCGAGACGAGCCAACGCTGTGTCTTAGGGCAAGTTGCCCGCTATTTGCACCTACTAGTTGAGATACGGCTTTCCTCCAAATCATTATGAATACATTTCCCTGAGACAACAGGGACTACGACCTGGACAATATGCTATTTTCGACAGCCGCGTAATTTGGCCATTGGCACCAGGAGGCGCATATTCAATCTATTGGATTGGTCTTCGACCAGAAGGATAGTATCCAGCCGTGTATTCTAGACGGCGAACCATGTCGCCTCCCATATCGATACAGGGAGGAAATTCGAAGAGCAGGAATCTATCAACGCCATTAACTGGAAAGAGACAACAGTCGGACTTTCCAGGACAGGGAGAGGTGTCACCTGGTGCTTCTTGGCTGGGCCCGAAGAAAAACCTGGATATAATCTGGTATCACAACCAGTGCAAGGTTTCTTTCCCTGGCGTTATATTTTATAGGTGCTATGAAATGAATTATCCAGAAATGCGCAATGCTAATCCGATCAACCCAACATGTTCGTCAAAATACGGAAGAAAACACCATTCATTCAGATACACTCCCAGTAAGGAGTGGCTTCGCCAGGGAGTGTATGTGGTTCATGAAACATGCATGCAAAGGGGCATCGCTGTCAACGCACGCCTGGGTCAATAGAGCGAGATCGACAGCGCAACAAGAAAAAAAGCTACCAGAACCGGGAGCATCACCATGGAGATCGACCTGACGCAGCTATTGGGGCTTCGCGTCTTGCTGCGTGAGGCTTTTGAGTGAGATAATACGCTTTACCATACTTCCCAATAGCCGAACACCACCCGGTGATCTGGGAGACAGCAGGCATCCAATACTATGAAGACATGCAAGCAGGTCTTGGCAATTCACCATGCCCTTCATGTAACGTACAAGCCCAGCGTACTGAAGCCATATCTGCAACTCATTGTAAATGGATCAAGTCGGGTTACTTACCCCTTATAGCCTAGATGACACCGGATGAACGCATTGCCACTTATGCCTCAGGCATAATCACGTGAAGTCATCGGGATCGAGTTCCGGGTACCAGGCGTAAGGGAGATAGATAGAGAGAACAAGGAGACTTTAGCCCTTCTTAAATACAATTGGTAGTAGTGTAGTGAACTCAACCCCGTTAGAGTAGGAGTAGAACCCGACAGTCGATTGCCGTGAGTCCCCGACGCTTTCAATTAGCCATACCGTGATTGGCCGCCCAGTGCTGAGTCAGCCGATAACCGACCGTCTGCCCGAGGTTAGCGTTGCCTCTGCTTTTCTCGTCGTCAATTGATCATTCGTGTTGTTCTGTATAGGCCTTGTGCTGGCTGTTTGTCTCTATACTATACTCTGTCTGAGGAGAAGCATCTTGTCTACCGCAATCGCAATCGCATCCCCCCCGTGACTTCATCCTCCGCCATGGCTGCCCTTCGCACGACTTCGCGCCTCTTCGCCTCGTCGAGGCCCCTCTTCCGTCCCGCCGTTTTTGCTCGTTCCTACGCGACTGTCGAGAGAGATAACCCGACCACTGCCACCGGATATGCCAACCCCAAGACCATCCCCGAGACCCAGACCTCCGATGTTGCAGAGCCCAAGCCCTCCGACGATGCTCGCATGAAGACCTTCCACGTCTACCGCTGGAACCCGGACCAGCCCACCGAGAAGCCCCAGATGCAGAGCTACCAGTTGGATCTGAACAAGACCGGGCCCATGATGCTGGATGCACTTATCCGTATCAAGAACGAACTCGACCCGACTTTGACTTTCCGGAGAAGTTGCAGAGAGGGTATTTGTGGAAGTTGCGCCATGAACATTGATGGTGTCAACACTCTTGCTTGCTTATGTATGTCCCTTGGTTTACTGGGAGCGAAAAGGAGGCTAATCTTGCAGGCCGCATTCCTACCGAAACCACTCAGCAGTCGCGCATCTACCCATTGCCACACATGTACGTGGTCAAGGACTTGGTCCCTGACTTGACCCACTTCTACAAGCAGTACAAGTCGATCAAGCCGTACTTGCAGCGCGACACTCCTACTGAGGATGTAAGTCATTTATGTCCGATAACTTGACAAAGGCCGTGTTCTAATTGAATTACAGGGCCTCGAGTACCGCCAAAGCCCCAACGACCGGAAGAAGCTGGACGGTCTCTACGAATGCATCCTGTGTGCCTGCTGCTCGACCTCGTGTCCCTCGTACTGGTGGAACAGCGAGGAGTACCTCGGACCCGCCATTCTCCTCCAATCGTACCGATGGTTGGCCGACTCGCGTGACGAGCGCAAGGCCGAGCGCAAGGCCGCTCTGGACAACAGCATGAGTGTGTACCGTTGCCACACGATTCTCAACTGCTCGCGGACCTGCCCCAAGGGTCTGAACCCGGCTCTAGCGATTGCTCAGATCAAGAAGGAGCTTGCCGCGCCATAGACGAGGAGGCGATGATAAAAGGATAAAATGCGTTATACCTGACTTTCCTTCTCATATGTGATTCTACTGCATTTTTTTCGTCGGTTTCTTTAATTTCATGTATTTTGATTCCCGTGCTGGACGGTGTTGCATGTTTCTATAGTGTAAATGGATTGTTCATGTTTTCTTTTGCTGTACGGAGTGTCAAATCCGGGGTCGGAGTATGGAGACGGCAGTAACCGGCATCTACCCGGTTTATGCCTGATAAGGCACTAAGTAAGCAATGTTACATAATCAGGGCTGTTAGCACAGTGGTAGTGCGCCCGCTTCGCATGCGGGAGGTCGTGGGTTCGATTCCCACATAGTCCACTTTTTGCTCTTTCTTTTTTGTTTCTAGTTACCGTGCATTATAATATCTTAATATGCTGGACTTGGGTAGGTCCACAGAGTACAGGTTACTGGGACGGTGAGACCTTGGATCTGCTATGTATTTAAGCGAACCTACTCTATACAGAACAACAACACGAATAAACATCAGTAACGCCCCGTCGACCCCAGCATGTCCATACACCTCTCAACAGCCTTCTGCATAGCATCCGTCGCCTCCTCGATGACACTCGTCAACGGCGCCTTGCCAGCCTTCTCTCCCCAAACCCTCACAAACTCATTATTCAACACCTTGTTGATATTGATCTTGCTCACTCCACACTCAATGCACTTCTGGAAGATCTCCTTGTCAAACGGGTCTGCACCGTGCAGAACCAACCGCACCCGATCCCCAACCTTGTCCCGGATCGAAAGGAGTCTGTCGTACTCCAGCTGAATCCCCCGGGGGCCGTATTCACCATGCACATTGCCAAAGGCAGGCGCAAGCCAGTCAATCCCCGTTGCAACGAACTCCTCACTCTCTTCGGGGGTGGTGAGCATCCCCTCTAGGTCTGCAGTGTCTGCGACACCGTCTTCGCCCCCCTCAATCCTCCCCGGCTCTGCCTCCGTCGCAATCCCCCTCTCATGACAATATGCAACCAACTCCCTCGTCAACTTCAGATTCTCTTCCTTCTCATAATGCGACATGTCCACCATAATCCCATCAAACCCGCCGATATCCGCAGCGCGACGGATGATCTCTGGCGTCTGCGCGTGGTCCATGTGCACGGCGATAGGGACCGATGCGGCGGACGCGGCTTCGGCGGCTGCATGCACGAGCAGGCCGTTGGCGTAGTGGACGGCCCAAGGGAAAAGAAGGATCATTGCGGGCGAGCGCTTGGCTTCGGCGGCGCGGACTGTCGCGAGGATGCCCTCGAGGTTATAGCAGCACATGGCGGGGACGCCGTAGTGATGCGTGTGGGCATGGTCGAGGATGGCGCGGGGGTTGGGCATATTGGTGGCTTTCCAGGTACTTGAATGGACAGTTGAGTTGGACTGAATGGCATGGAATGGTAATCAATGCTATTGACCTATGTTCGGACGGTCTTTATACTATACTATGGAATATGTCGCATCGGCCTTCGAGCCGAAACCCCCGCCGGACATCCTCCGACTGACATAACCAACAATCTTCCCAATCAGGCAATCCCCACTATCCACCCCAGACTACGAAAACACCCGAACAACACCCGTGCTCGGAACCCCCCCATCCACCCTCCTCCGCGCCAATAACAACACACTCAACGCTGCATTCCCCAGATGCAACGGCACATGCATATCCCTCGCCTTCTGCACAACCTTCTCTAGTCTAGCAATAGCCTCGTCCAGTGTCTCCCCCGTCGTCCCCTTCTCACCCAGTCCATCTCTCATCTCGTTCGCATGCTCGTTAAACACGCGACTCCCGCCGGCGGCGTTGCTGACTAGATCATAGAACTGTGGGAAGTCGGTTTGGAGGTGGAGGGCGAAGCCGATTGCTTCTGCGGCGGCGACGAGGTTGATTCCTAATGAGAGGTCAAGGACAAGCTGAAAGGCTGATTCGGTGTCGATATCGGCGGGGGAGGCAACGTCCGCGATGGGAGTCGGGAAGTACTGGCGGACCATGGCCGAGTCGTCTTTGGAGGCGTAGCCTTGGGATAGTGCGGCGAGGTAGATTTGTTCTGCGGTTGAGGAGAGGGGGGTTGGGAAGTTTGCTTGTCTGGCGGATGTTGTGATGATTCCCTGCACCAATTAGCACCCCACATCGCAATCCCGATTCAGGGACACATACAGCATCCTTCAAAATAATCGTCAACGCACTCGCCCCCGGATTCCAATCCTCAGCCACCATCCTCTCAAACCGATTCTCCAACATCCACGTCCACCCCTTCCCACTCCTAATCCTCTCCTCGGTCTGTCTAGCATTGAGCCCAAGACGCGCCGCAAACCCGATAACCTCGCTTGCGGCCAGGATATGGATCGCTGCGAGAACCTGGTGCAGCATCTTCATGTTACTCCCCGCGCCGACGCCGCCGGGGACTAGGTACAGTTTGTTTTCATCGGAGAGGTCTTGTAGGATTTCACGTGCGGAGGAGATGGCTTCTTCGCTGCCGCCGGACATTAGGGAGAGGGTTCCGGCGGCTGCGCGGAATGTGCCGCCTGAGACAGGGGAGTCGACGAGGAGGATATCGCTGCGATTGCGGGAAACGAGCTCATTGGCGACGGATTGGACGTAGTACGCCGGCACGGTGGAGGTGATTATCAGCGTTGCATTTTGGGGGAGGTCTGTCTCTGTGAGCAAGCAACCCCATCAATTGCACGCGCATGCAAGCCAACAACACATAAAACAGAGAAAAGAGAAAGAAACATACACTGCACAATCCCGCTCTCCCCAAACAAAACCTCCTGCGCCTGCGGCGCACTCGCAACCATACAAATATAAAACTGCTTATCCTCAGCAGACTCCCGCAGCGACGACGCAGGGATCCCTCCCGCAGCAGCGAACCGCTCAACAGATGCTGGGAAAACATCATAGCCGTGGACTTTGTAGCCTGTTTTGACGAGGTGGGTGGCCATGCCGTAGCCCATGGCGCCGAGGCCGACAAAGCCGATTGTTTGCTTGGGCATTTTCTTTCTTTCGCGGAATTGATTGAGGTTGTATTTGCGATATAAGTTTGGTATGTTGGGAAGTGTTTTCTTTTCGTTTGTTGAATATGAACAAGTCGGGGTATTTATGGGGAGTATGCAAATTGCCGGGTCGCAAAGATGTCCGAGTGGGTTCGGGAGGGTTCCGAATGTATAGATGCGGGATGTTAGATGCTTGTGGGGTATGATGGCATTCACTGTCTGAGCAGGGAAAGAAATGGCTCATGGTAGGGCTTTTGTTTGCAGTTGTCTGTTTTCAGCTTTACTACTCTTGCTGTCATCATCATCTTATCTCTGCCGCCGTCGCCATCGCCGTCGCCATCACCTATATACTACTCATTCTTATATACTGCCTTATATACTACACTACAATGATCAAGAAGGATTTCAAACCTATTTTTCTCAAACTGACTTCATCTGACTTGATATTCTATCAAATGACGATATAGGTCTCCAACGGAAACCTAGAGAAATCATTGAATGCAATCCAACATTGAACCGGCCGTCCCTAGGTTGTGCCCAGCGATGGCAAACCCCAGAATTTGTATGTCTACGTCTCTGTTTTGTTTATTTGCGACTGAGAAAGCTGATATTTCCAGGTGCTGAGAGTCCTGAGCACCACAAACTGGCAAGATATGCCAGGTACACAAGGCCCCGCGAAAGTGTTTCTGTTTACGGAATGGTTAGTTACGCGACGCTGAATCTATCGAGACGGTTTGCGTGGCTCCTAATTGATGTTATATATGCAGGATGAGCGTTCGCTGATGGTTTGGTACTCAGTTTGTGGCATGGCAACGACCAAGCCAGACGTTCGTCGAGGATGCCTTTTTCATCCTGAACTGGCTGCACGGGCTGTTCCCGAGATCGTCGCTAGCTTTTTTTTTCAACCTGTCTGTCTGTTTTGTCTTATTCTACGACAAAATACCATCACAGCTGGTGATTGGGGCCCAGTTGCGGGAAGGGATCCCGGCCACTACTCCAACCGGGGAAGAGTGCTCAACATGTAGTGTTGAAGGTCTTGATTTCCATTTCAGCATTGTGTGTTGGGTGGTCTGGGGAGTACAATAACGGCTCCTACCGTTCCTGCTGGGATTTGCCGGGGACTATCCCATTAACGCAAGCCCATGTATAGGAGGCGTAAGGAACCTTGTTCTTTACAATTGCATCTCTATCATTTGGAAATGGTCAAAGAACCGCCGCCAAATCGAACTCCAAGCACTCTAAGCATTGAATGTTTGCATTGAATGGTGACAAGCTTGACCAGGTGGTTCTATCTGCGCATGGGAGCTGCTAGGTATCAGCACAACAAATAGCAAAAATGGTTCATGACATAGAGTTTAACCCATCTTTCAAAAAACTATATGGATTGCGCCAACAGCCATGCTTCCAACTCCGCAATCAAACAGCGTTCGTCGAAGCTAAGAGGATATACAAGCGTCCATCTTCCTTACAAATGGCTTTTCATTTTTCCTTACGTTCCGGGATTAATGTGCCGCGCGCCTGCGTTGCGTCTGCGTCCGCTGTTTCGCTGTTTGCCAGAAAGTAGCTTAGGCTTACTAGGGAAAACGGATCACACCATCATGTCTAGTTGTTGGGATGAAGAAACCATCAACCCCCTGAGATGAAACCGGATTGGGCAGTGCACTGAGAATAGTTGATGAATTCTGGCTGATAAACTTGGTACGTATTGATTGCTACGAACTTGGCTGGGTATTATGCTGACATTTCAGATAGACCGCTGCCGCTATATGAACACGTGCCAGTGCAAACAGGTGTATACACAATCTAGAGCACTATAGATACTAGCTTAATGACTCTTTATCGCGACTACCGCCGCGACATATCACTGCGGGATAGTATACGGCTCTTTTGCCCTGAACCCAAGCTACAGTTCGAAAGTCAGCTGAAGATGTGCGCGATTTTGTTGAACATATCAGGGGGTTACTTACTCCGATACAAACCAGCTACACTAATTAGCATGCTTGTCACAACATATCTTCAAACACGCCAAAGCTCATTACATGGGAGTTCACCACGCACAAATAGCACATTCTTCAAAAACGCTATCGTGGTGACTATGAACATGACGCGAGTCTGAAGTCGGCCAACATGTGTCAAAAGAATAAAATCTCGTCACCTAGATGATCGACCATCCAGAAACAAGAAACGGCGGAGGTGTTAAGGCTTCCACCTGCTGATATCTGTCACAGAATGTCGAACGAGGTGCAAAGACGGCATTCGAATTATGGATAAGGATGCCCACCAGATGCTAGTTCAGCGTGTAAACGCACTCATAGCAAATACCGCGTAGCAGCGTTTGAGATGGTGACAGTGACAATAGATGTCGCTGCCGGTGCTCGGCGCTTTCGTGGTATATGCCAATAGCGGGACCTAGAGAAGAACGAATGTACAGCAATTATGAGAGGATGGTGGTAGCGACCCAACAAAGCATTTATTTTTTTATAGTAAATAGCTTACTGTGATGTGTTCCCTGACGTGATCCCCCCTCGGGCACAGTTAAGTGTTATTGCTGCAAGAATGACACCTCAAGCAACACCTGGACTTCGAAGCTGTCGGCTGGCGTGACCTATTCGCTCTCTATTCTTGCCAAGGTCTTTGATACTTAGCTGTCGCCAGAGGGAAGATATTATTGTTCTGTTTCAGAGTCGTAATAGGGTCTGTACGGCCCATGTGCCTTCGGATTTCCTGCAAGTGCTATACGCTATCTTTATAGTATTCGAGGCTTTGGGAATCTTCATGGTGTGGTTTTTCTATTTACTAAACGATCAAAATATATGCGGCAAACATATGCGGTCTATATAATAGCAGCAATAAATCATCCTCTTAATGTAATCAGACTGTAAAAACCTTGCATCCCGACAACAAAAACGTTCAAACATCAGCACATAAAACAGCAAACCAAATTCATCCAAACCAAATAAACTATTCCGGTCCATATACCATAATTCACCGTCCAAAATTACTATTAATCCTACTTAAGTAAGCACTTATATAAGCCGTATATAATATAAAATAAACTCACCTCCCAATCACAGTAACCCTCGAAAGAATCTCCGGCAGCCTATTATAAACCCTACCCAGAAACCCTGTAGCCGACGGAGCCGCGTCACCGACACTCTTCTCAAATTCCTTAAACTCCCTTGTCCGCGGACTACGCGGAGACTTTGATTGCAGCATGTTCGCTTCGTCCCAGACGTCCAAGAAGGATGTCTCCGAGTAGCTGGATGTAGGGCTTAGGTTGAAGTATTCGACATTTTGGAAACTGTCCGAACTGGAATCGAGCTCGTGGGGGAGCTTCCCATGGTATGGGGTCGCATTGGGGTAGTCGAGGTAGACGAGTTCGATATCATCGTCGCTGCTACTTTCGTCATCGACGGCGCTGACATGGACGTATTCCTCAGGTGTAGGTGAAAATTTGTAATCGAAGTCAAAATCTAAGTACTGTCTCTCTTCAAAGAAACTAGAGCCCTGACTTGCGAAGGGAGAGTTTGTCGGACAAGACTCACCGTCTTCATCTTCGCCTGCGTCATATTCATTGGCATCTTCGTAGTGGCTCTCGTGGCCATTGTCGTTTCCACTGATAAAATAATCGACACCAGCGTCGATGAACATATCGGTCTCATTATCGTACTGTATATCGTCGCCCATGGTAATGCTCCCGATTAGCTTCTTCTTTTCTTTATCTTTCAGTGCGGAAAATGTAAAAGTCATCCCCACCTTCGGAGGACAATCCAGTCCGTCTAGCTGGACGAAATCCGGCTGCTCTTCGTCGTATTCATCCGGGAGCGTTTCTCCCAGCGCCATAACCTTAACTCTTTTTTTCGCACGCTCCATCCACTCCTGCTCGCATTGAAAGCAGAGAGAGGGGCTGGTCGGACTGACGAGGTCATGGCTGTGGACTGCCTTGGTGCAGGAGGTAGGCTGCTGGTCTGAGTCTGACTCTGCCATGCGCAGGGACGAGGTGAATGCGGTGCAGGTGTCGATGTTGAAGGAGGCTATGTGACCGCAGTTAGGGTCGTGGTGGTAGGTATAGTTGCACATTTTGATCCTCGAGATTTGTTATATATAGAATCCTTCCTTAGGAGGGTCGAACAAGAGACTGTAGATAGAGAAATGTGTGCTGGAAGCGACCTTATATACTTTACGTTCATACATGGTCTATCTGAAGATGAAAGAACTGCACTGGCAGAACTGAAAGAGACAATATTCTTGTACTAACAAAGAAAATAAGCGGAATACTTCTGATATAATCCGTCCTTGTCTCATTCGTGACCTTGTCATTCCCGACGGCATCAAAGGAATCACGGTACATCCCGTCAGCGAACAATGAACATCCCTAATAACGAAAATCACTAGCCATTCTTTCCAAAAGCTAACTTTTCCTCGCCCTCACTGCCATCCATATCCATAAGATAACAAACCCCCGAATCCATCAACCACCAAGCCGTCATCTCATGAAAGAATCGCACAACCCTGTTCTCTAACGGAAGCTTCCCTTCATCCCTTCTACACCACATAACCGTCTCATTCGAGAACGTCACCGTCTCCCGGTCTTTACCAACAACGTACCCAATAACTAACCGCCCAGCCACATTCCCACGACTCATCTCCAACTCCACCCGATCGTCCTCCCGCGCAGCAACACGGTAAACGCCACAGACGCACTCTCCCTGTCCGAATTCTAGTTTCTGAATATAACTACTACAGAAACTTCCCCTCTCCGTGGGACAGTTCAGGCGTAATAGCCACGCCTGCGGGAAATGTGAGAAGGCTGTCATGTTCCGGCGGAGGAGTGCGGTTAGTAGTTCCGGGAGCGGAATGTCCGGGAGGAGTCTCCTGGGCACTGGTCGCGAGGCTTGATCATAGAAGATGCTGTATTTCTCGGGAGAGTGGGTGAGATCTGCCGGGAGCGAGGTTATGCGGGTTGAAGTTGAGGGAGGGAGAGTGCGTTCATGGTGAGCGTGAAGGGTTAAGCGGAGGGAGCGGTGGGTGAAGTAGAGGGTTGCGAGGACGGAGGTTAGGAGGGAGGCTAGGAGGACGATCATGTTTAATGTTTTTGGTGGTATAATGAAGCTATTATGGGTTGCTGTGTCGGGGATGGCTGATCGCTGCATCATCATTATGAGAATGCGATGGGTCTTAATTGGCTGGAGTTAGGATGACGTGTGACTGTTTTCCGGATACGGGAAACCATGCCTTAAGCTACTGTTCCGAAAAAGGAAATCACACTATGAATGGAATAGTGTGCATCAATACCCACAAGATTATGTTCGAATTGCTAAAATAGAAGTCCCAGTGCGCCAGTTGATATCCCAGGTGTCATTATATAGAATCAACTCAAAAGAGCTCCAGCCAACATTATCATCACGCTGCTGTCCGAAACCAAAGAACAGGAGTGGGTATTGAGTTCATCCTCATAAGCCGTCCAAACGACGCAAAATAATAAGACATTAAAGTAAATATAGTATCCCATAACTATATCCCCGACTCCGGCAGATAACCCCCTTTCTAAGCCACAAATGGCACAATGCTATGCCATTACTCCACCTCATACGCCTGCCTGGCCGCCTTCTTAGACATGATGAATCGATAGACAACGAGAAGCGCGATACCCATGCCGACGACGAAGACGATGCAGAAGACAAGGATGGGACCGGGGTTTCTGCTAGCCCAATTGCCGCGCTTGACGACGCTGTGGAAGATTTCGGAGGATACGGAGGAGATGTCTTCGATCGGGAGGGCGGGCATCTGTTTCGTTGGCTAGCTGCGGTATATGTGCAAGTGCGAGGATGGCTTACCTTGATATATTGTCTGTATCAACCTCACGGGCCTCTAACCTCGCTATCCAGACAGACGGTGGATGTAGAAAAGGAAAGAAGGACTGATGCACAATTGGACAGCAATTGAACACAAGAAGACGCATGCACAAGCAAGATGCAGACAGACAGGCCGATGACTATGAAGCCTTCGGGAGCCGCGGAAAGTGAGTGACTACAGAGCAGCGCAATCGGGCTGGGATGGATGACGTCGAGGAGATTGGTTGCAACGTGATACAGTTCCTGAGCAAGGCTATGTGATCTGAAAATAACGAGTAATGAGTATTGGCTCTTAGCTCGGCTATCTTACTACGGCCATCATTGGTATAACAAGGATTTCGATATAATTGGCATACTGTCGTACAATAAACATAGCTCCAAACATACGATCTTGATGCATTTACAAAGTAGCCAGTAGAAAAAGCTAAGCTACAACCCAGAGAGCCTAAAGGTATCTCCTGAAGCGGACCGGTGCGTCACCACTGGGTAACATCCATGGTCGAATGCTTGTTCGACATCGAATGAGCTGGTGCATTGTTTGGCGTATTATTTCGATATCGGCCAGGATTCAACTTGTCCATTGTACAAAAGCGCCGATTATTCCTTTCAACTGTACTGACAACCTTCTTCAGATCTGAAGCATCCATTAGAAGTAAAGTCTTGACGTCAGGACCAAGGTGATGTTGGATTCGGGTTCTTCGGAGCTCATAACCACGATTCCCTACTATGGCCGGGATGTCAAGGAAGCAGCACTGGTACTAACACCGGGGATTTGGTGAGAATATGCCGAGAGTCAATTTACATCGTAGTCCGTCGTCAACCGGGAAGATGCTGGATGTGTCCGCACCGATTCCGAAAACGGTAATGTGTTTATCGAATATCCATAATCTGCCAATGTCCAATACCATAGCATGTCACAGTTAGCACTTTCCAATTGTATAGATCAGGTTATCCCCGGAATTGCTCTGATTGGCCAACTGTGGACGCTACTCCGATCGGGAAAAAGGTAGGAAATGCATCTGTCAACAATGTCGCCAACAGGAAATTCAGGTTACGGAGTGAACGCAGCAAACTAATACGGAGTCCTCCCTCGAAGACGAAGATACGCGACACGAGTGCGAACAATGCGACCGCTTGAATCTGAAGTTGAGTACCGGCATCGGACTACGGGTCTATCGAAGAACAGATTGATGCTCACAAATGCAATGTATTATTCTGATATCCAAACCGATATCCAACTCCGAAAATAACACAATATGGTATCATCAACCAAAAAACAAACAAACAAATTTGAAAGAAAACAGCTCGATCACTTCTTCTCCTTCGCCTGCGCCCGACGCTGCCGACCATGCACAACCTCAACCTTCCCACTGTTATGCCATGTCGCCAACAGCACGCCACACTTGGCACAATGATGATTCACGTCCTTAAGCGACGAAGCCAAGTACGGCAGACATCCCAGACAGCAACAGAAGCAGAGAATTGCCGCCCATGCGTGTGTTGTGTTTCCCGACTCCATGACAACCTGTGTCATCTCGCGCTGGCCGCATGCCGGGCAGTCAACCGGCGCGGGCGAACTCTGGAGCGCGTGGAAAGGCGTGGCTGTTGGATATTGGGACTTGACGGCTTTTTGGCGTGGTAGTTGTTGTGTGTGGATGGGCGTTTGTGTTGGTTGGGCGTAGGCGTGGTCTGGTTGGATGTGTGTTTGGTCCTGCTGGGGCTGGACGTATGCGTGGTCCGGCTCGATGATCATGGGGGTTGACGGCATTGCCTGGGGCATTTCGGTCTCGCGGTATGCGGGCGCGGGGACTAGTTTGATCAGCTTGTGTCGTTTGAATAGGAAGAGGAAGGGGAAGATGTTCATACCCTCGTTATGCTTGTCAGACATAGTGTATATATGTATACTCGGAGTGGAGTGGAGTATTGAGTAGATGGATGATTAGAGTAGTAGTTTTCTTGCAGAAGGATGGTTTCTGTCTGTCTCAAACCGCAGAAGAGACACCATCTTTATATCCATCTTTGTGGCTATCGCAACCGCCAAGCCAAGTCAGTCTGCCTTGTTGTTGATCACGGCACAATACGAGGATTGTCGGTGTTTGCCCAATGAGGCTGTGGGCCATGAGGCTCTTTGCTGGCGCAGTCAACACAGCCTTTTTTTTTTTTTTATGGGTCAATGCGTTTCGCAGTCCATTGCAGTGTCACAATGCTATTCTTTGTCGCTTTGTTTGATGTGACCTTTGGTGGTGCCTTACCGCATTCCGTATACATGTACGGGGTACACATGCCAAAGTAGCCTGACACTCCCGCCGCGGCACCATTAGATACGACTTTCTCGGCTAGAATATCCTGAATAGAATGGATAGTTTACTGCATATTTCTAGTCATTCCAGGGTTTATGGACCGCCTCTCCTACGCAGAGATAAGGGTGTTCGTTTCGGTAAACTACTGCGCACACGATGGACCCTTCAAACTAAAGTGCTTACAACTAGTGCCAATCATCATCTAAGACAGAGAGGTAGAGAATACTAGTAACCCCTTTCTCGTCACGGGAATCTGAGAGCCAATTACTGTTCTGCCATGGACTACGTAGAATACGGTCGTGGTGTCGATAGCTTGACGCAACATTCACAGTGTAGAGAAGCATTGGAGATTAAATCTACTTCGCTCCTATTCAAAATGCTCTAAACCATCAGAATTACGCTAAGCACAAATCCAGATAGCCTTCCAAAAGACAATGGTGCAGGCTTTCTTGGAGACCTTTCATCCTCCGTAAAGCCGCACCCCCACAAAGGCCGACAGTATTTCCTAGACACCCCCAACAGACAATCGTACCGTCGAGCAGGTAAATGGACCCTCTTAAAAGGCGACAACCCCGAGACCTTCACCCGCGGCTTTGACTCAGACCAGACACATTCACATCTGCATTCACATCTACACAGAAATGGCCCCCGGGACACATCTCCTGGTCCACCTACGATGCAGTCAACAACATCCTCCTGATCAGAATGTCGAACTTGTGCTCATAAAAATGCTGCTTCGCGGTTTAGCAATGAATTGCTCACAGCAATTATGGACAGAGGGCTCAGTCGGGGGTAAATGTATTGAAGAAGTGCGATGTGCTATGGAAGTCATGGAGCGAAGCAAGTAGATAATTCTTGGGCCCCATGGAGGTTTTCATCGGGTCGAGCTAGAAAGTGGCCGAAGATTGTACTGTCTCCAGCACTTGAGCCTAGATGCGCGGATATCCAGAGTCATCCATGGAGGATGACTGGTGAAAATCCATGGTACATAGTTGCGAAGTTGGACATATAATGAAACTTGTACAATTATTCACGGACGCTTGGAGAACCTTGAAGAATGCCACCAACGCTATGGATGCCGATTTGGACCCTCTAAATAGCACTTGTTGCTACTGCGCCATCGGATATCTCGAAAACATGACCTTTTGCACAAGTCCATACAGATTGTGTTACGGAATACAAAATGCATGAGTAAAGCGATGGGTCAATGTGTAGTATGGTCACAAAGCAGTCCTCTTTTCCACAGCTGGTGGCATGCTCTACAAAAGCCTATAGTTATGGCGAAAGGTGGTGTACTTGTCGGAAATTATGGGTGTCTGGGCCGTTTGTGTGCAACGAAGCACTTGACGCTGTCCAAAAAAATAGGAAAGGGGAAATCTGCTATGCTTGGGCCTTCGACTGTAAGAGAAGAGGATTCTAAACAAAGCATAACCATTGGATTATGTATGAAATAACTGTATATATAATCGCCTTTGAATATTTCCAACGCAAAGGCCAAACAGAAGTCATAAAACAAATAAAAGTCACAAAATTCTAGAAGAACATGACAGATCAAACAGAGCCCTATTCACATCTCCACCGGAGGCGACCCGCCCCTATATATTCTGACAGCCGCATGACGTACCATCTTACTGGTGGTTCTGCTGCTGAACCTGCTGGATCTGTTCAGCCTCGAAAGAAGGGCCAACGATGGAGACATGGTCCGGCTCGGGCTGGTGCTGCTCTTGCTCCTTGATGACGACGGGCTTGGGCTCAGGCTTGTGTGCGGCACCGCCGTTAGCAGATCCACCGAGGATATTGATGCCGTCGTTGTTGAGGAGCTTAGCGTGGCCAAGGACGTCAGCGACATCCTCGCTGTTGTCAATGTTGGAACGCTTGCCAATGCCGCCGTTGGCGGAGCCACCGAGGATGTTAAGGCCATTGTTGTCCAGGGCTTGGAGGTGGCCGAGGAGGTCAACGACGTCCTGGCTATTGTCCTTGTTGTACTCCTGCTCAGGATGGCCGCGCTTGCCGATACCGCCGTTGGCGGAATGGCCCAGAGCGTTGATACCGTTGTTGTTCACGGCTTGGACATGACCAAGAGCGTCGACGACGTCCTTGCTGTTGTCCTTGTTGTACTCCTGCTCAGGGTAGCCGCGCTTGCCGATACCGCCGTTGGCAGAATGGCCCAGGGCGTTGATACCGTTGTTGTTCAGGGCTTGGACGTGGCCGAGGAGGTCAACGACGTCCTGGCTATTGTCCTTGTTGTACTCCTGGTCAGGATGACCTCGCTTGCCGATACCGCCGTTGGCGGAATGGCCCAGAGCGTTGATACCGTTGTTGTTCAGGGCTTGGACGTGGCCCAGAAGGTCAAGAATGTCGGCACTGTTGTGCTCGTTGTGCTCTTGTTCGACTGGGTAGCCGCGCTTGCTGATGCCACCATTAGCAGAGCCACCGAGAATGTTAAGGCCGTTGTTGTTCAGGGCCTGGACGTGGCCGAGGAGGTCAACGACATCCTGGCTATTGTCCTTGTTGTACTCATGCTCGGGGTAGCCGCGCTTGCTGATACCGCCGTTGGCAGAGTGCCCCAGAGCGTTGATACCATTGCTGTCCACGAGCTGGACATGACCAAGAGCGTCGACGACGTCCTTGCTGTTGTCGCTGCTCACCTGGCGCTTGCGCGAACCGCCGAGCAAGGGACCCAGAACACCAGGCTGACGCTTCGAGATACCACCATTAGCTTTGCCACCAAGGAGGTTGACGGCGTTGCCGCTCAGGATCTTAGCATGGCCAAGAACATCAAGGATGTCCTCACTGTCATCCTTGCTAGACTCGACGCTGCCGTAGTGCTCAGGGTAGAGGCGCTCGAGCTCCTGGCGCTTGGAGATGCCGCCGTTGGCCTTGCCGCCGAGGGCATTGATACCATCGCCGTTGACGAGCTGGGCGTGACCGAGGAGGTCGACAACGTCCTTGGAGTTATCCTTGTTGATTTCGTGGTGAGCGGGTCGCTGGGGGAGAGGCTTGCCGTCGACGATGGCAGCGATCTGGTCAGCCGGGGAGATGGGGGCGGCGTTGGCCAAGGTGACCACGATGGCAGTGAGGGTAGCGATGGAGAGTTGCATTTTGATCTGTGGTTGTTAGCTTGTTGTATCTAACTGAGGGTTCTGGCGGAACGTACCTAATTAAGAATTAGGCACCGAAAGTGTACAATACAGAGCTTGAAACGAATGACTGTAAGAAAAGGCAAGAGCTGAGAAAGGAATATATAATCAGAGAGGATGGTTTTTGATGATGAGAGACGAATATCGACCACCGACACAGGCCTTTATATACCTTTTTTTCTTCGAGTACATCCCCCAAAATGGCATTGTGATCGCGCCATTGTCAAGTAAGGGAGCATATAATTAAACGATCTCATAAAGTCAACATGCTCCGTATACTATATCTGCCCGGTCATATGCAGCCTGCAGCGGTGACTTTCTAGAAGCCCGCCGAGTGAGACGAACCCGGGATGTGATATATCGGACGCACTCGCCGCGAGGGGGAGAGGTCGGTCTGAACCATAACTGGCGGTGTTATTGAAAGTTTCCGAAAAAAGAATCAGTTCGGGGACAGTTCATTCGCACATATCCAATGCAGGTGTGATCTCAAAACAATAATTTTATGTAGGCACCGCTGCAGGGTGCTGCATCCATCGCACCATCAACGGCGCATTGTCGTGAGAAAAAGGGGAGACATGGGATCTGCCATTGTTGCTCTGAATCTGTCTATTTCCTAGCATTGTGCTTAGCAGGCGTGTCGGTATGTCTCTGGGAAATCTCAGAGTGACTCACCGATGTTCATAAACTATGAGGCTTTTGCATACGCCGTAATACTGCAGCTTTCTATGTTCGGAAAAACCAAAATCGGTTCAAATAATTATGTTATTATAACTAATAAGTTAAAAGATGGTCCAAAGTCCCATGTCGAACAGTCTGAGGACCAACATCAAGCAATAAACAAAGAAAACACACATTTTAAAGAGCCAAAGTATCCGTGAAAGAACCGACTCTGCCAAGTCTATCCATGTCTTGAAATAAACTTAATCGTAGTTTATAAGACATCGTTGAGGAGGTTTTTCAAGGCGTTGTTGAGGATGCTCAGCTTGATCAGGACGTTATCCTTGGTCTCTTTGTCGTCGCCCCGTTTGGAGGCGTTGATGAGGTTTTTGATGGCGCCGTTAGCCACTGCGGCCTCGACCAGAGCATTGCCATCGCGCTTCAAGACTCCAAGGTTATTACCGTCGTGGTGGCCGTGGTTGCCCTCCGAGAGACCAAGGAGGTTCTCATCCCGCTTGAGGAGATCACCGATGTTCGAATCCTTGGCGGCTTCGTTAGCCACCTCGACATTGTCCAGAGCATTTTCGATGACTTCGGTGTCCACACCGCGCTTGAGAAGTCCACCCAGGGCGTCAGTCAGCTGCTTAAGCAGGCCAGACAGCTCGTCAACTAGACCGCTGAGAGCGTTGTCTTCGTGCCCGAGAAGCCCACCTAGGGCTTCAGTTAGCTGCTCAAGCAGGCCAGAAAGCTCGTCAACTAGGCCACTGAGAACGTCGTTGCCAACGTTCTTCACGGAATCGTTCAAAACATTGGCCTCGATGAGAGCGTTGTCGTCGCGCTTGGAAACTCCATTCAGGGTGTCAGTCAACCCCTTAAGCAGGCTTTTTATGTCCTTGAGCAAGTCACCACCAAGGTTGTGGCCGACGTTTTGTACGGAGTCGTTCAGAAGCTTGGCGTCGACGAGAGTGTTATCACCGGGAACTGGGGCAGTATGGGCAACAGCCACCATGACGGCCATGAGAGTAGCAAGAGTGAGCTTCATTTTGATGTAGATTGATCGTGAATCGAGGTGATTGAGCTGGAATGCAAAGGTCAGTTTGATTTTTTTTTTATTTTTATATAAGAGGTAGGCTCCACTCACGCTTCCAAAGGAATTGCACTTTGTTCTCGCTTCGGCTCTTGTAGATAGAGGATATAGGAGAGACTGTTTCTTGTTGGAATGATGAACGAACAACTGGGATCTACAGGGTAGAAATAGCATTCGCTCGCTGCCCTTGAACGGCACATTATCGTCCATTGACTATGGTCATCGTAGTAGTTCAACCAGACTCAGGCACCGTAGTGAGCAGACTCATGGTTGGAATTGCAACATAGCAACTCGAGGCACCTTCTGAGGTAGTAGATGAACGATGACGCGAGAAGGTGAAGGTTGAGACAAGCTTCCGCGAACAGAGGTCACTAGCCCGATTGGGAAGGGACTATACCCCGGCATGTACATGATGGTTGATGTCGTTATTTGTATACTAAATGCTGAATGATAGATGAGCATGAATAGTGTATCTAATTTTTCTTCAGCGCTGCTTGCACATATGGTTAAGTAATGCTTGCAGTGACAACCCCCAAAACCGAAATGTATATAACCCCCAGCATAATAAACCACATACCAACAAAAGGGCAAAATAGTAATCATTAACCCCCCACCATAATACCCAGAGACAGAAAAACAACATACAGCTCAATGCCAGTTTCCAAACAGAAGTCCAGCGTGTCACCTATATCCAACACTCCATCGCCAACCACGACACACAAACAGAACACTCCACTTTGACGGTTCTGCCACATTCCTCCGAAACTGCAAATGCTTTGCCAAAAGGTTACAAAGATGGCGAGACCCCCGAGTTATGTACGTTGTATGCCGTTGTGGTTGTAGTTTCCTTCCATACTTCTTCATCTTGCCGCATCCGGCTACATTCCGTAAGCACTCCCTGTCCAGGACTCAGGGTCTCGGAATTGGATCGGGTTACTGATGGGTGATTTTAAGGTTGTGGATCATGATTGTGGTTGCGGATGTCATTTTTGTCAGCGGTGGTTTCATGGTTTTTCTTTTCTTTTCTTTTCTTTTTCTTTTTTTTTTTTTTTTTCCGAGTGGCTTGAGACTGATAGCTGAAGTAGAATTCGGGGATGTATATTGGCTGTACTAAGGGGACCAGTGGATCCAATGAAAGAAAATACCATCATTCTAGTGTAATATGGTAACTCCGACTTATTATAGATCCAAACCAGTGTGTATTACTATTCTATATCCGTAGTGCCATTCATGTGAATCCCATCCCAAAAAACACGCCAACACGCCAACATGCCATGCAAATGTCGTGATCATGCAAGCCCCGAAAGAAGCCAATTAACAGAAAACAGATATACTCGTAATCATACCTTCGTCCTCTTCCTCCCCAGTCCCGACGACACCGACGACACCGACGATACCGATGCAACACCAACCCGATCCCCAACCTGAACCTCTTCCTCGCCCGCAAACAAAGCCCCAATCTCAACTGGCCATTCAACGCCCATCTCCCTTGCCTGTCGCTGCACTAACTCCAGCTTTGCTTTCCCGACAACCCACCGTCTTGCGGATGCCTTCGCTGATACAGCGAGGTTGATGAATGCTTCGCGATTTTGAGGGTTGGAGAGGTTTGGGAGGAGCGTAAGAAGAGCGGTTGTCATCCAGAGCATGTTTGGCACGGGGATGCGGTCTGTTCCCCATGCGGTGCGGTGGATGCGCGTTAGGGTGGAGATTCTGCGGGCGTAGAACAGGTCGAGGGTGTCATGGCTGGGGGCGATCGGGTTGGGGAAGGGGGAGAGAGAGGTATTGTCGGGGTCGGGTTTTATCGATGGGGCGTGTTGGGCGAGGGTTATGCAGATGCAGTAGTAGTACATACTGTAGTTGTGTTAGCTTGCACTCGAGAGCTAGATGTAGGGAAGCGTACTGGAAACATAATACATGAGGAACTTGAGTCTCTTCTGGTTCTCTCAAACAGGTCGGTAACCGGTCTTCCCAATCTCTCAATCGAGCATAAAAATCCTCTGTTTTGGCCTCCAAATCAGCCCGCGGTGGATTGCCCCGACCAAAGAAAACCCAAGCAAGGTCATGCACGATCCGATTCAACCCGCACAACGCATGAAACACACAACTCGTATGCGCCTGCAATCCTTCCAACTGCAGCGGGTACGGATGCCAAACATCCTCAGCCGAGCACATCGGCAACGGCAAAGGCCGATTGGGGATCTTAATCGTGGGCACCTTACAGGACGCGAGGGCCTTGAGCCTGGGCCGGGGAAGAGTCAGCCGGATTTTTACCTGGCACCTCGCCAGTTTCTGGGAAGGTCCCTACGTGGCGATGTTAAATAGACCCCATATTATGTGGTCTATTACCCGGTGGTGGGCAGTGGGACGGGAAAGGGGGTGTTGTTTTGAGAGTTCGTCGACGGCGAAGGCGAAGTTGTTCCGGTAGATCCAGCCGGAGCGGTCCTTGCAGGTTAGGCTGGCACTAATCTTTTTGTTAATGCTGGCGCATGATTTGAAGGTGGATGGACGTACTATACCGATAATAAACCCAGAGCCTGTGTTGTAGCCAGGGTAATTCTGCCTTCTTCTCCGGCAAATAGCCGTTTCGCCTCGTCGTAGAAATGCGCGCCTCTTGAAGCCATGTCCCGGGGGATTGCATATGCCTGGACCGAATTCGAATGCATCTAGCACCTTTTATCGGTATCAGCCTTCGACAGACGTAAAGATTAAATACTTACACAAGCTAGAGCAAGCATAGCATTAACCAAAAACGGCGAACAGCACCGCGCCTTCAGATCTCCCGACCTCATATCCCGTATGAACAGGTCCCGGTCCAACCAATTGAAAAACGGATGGAACCATGCAAACCACAACGACATCAGCTGCGAGACAAATCTGACATCCTGGGTGACATTCGTCCACGGCGCCGCCGGCACATCAAACAACGGAACATCCGCCAACTGCTTCGGCTCGAACATGGTCCTTGTCGCGGGCGACTCTGACTCTGACTGTGCGCCATTCATATTCCCATTCCTCAACTCCCAACCCAAACTCTTAGGCGTCGCCTTCTTCCTCTCTGAACCACTGCGCGGCCGCTCCTCGTCAAGATAAAACTGTATCTCAGCCAGGGAGGCATCGCTGTGGATAAGGTCGAGCAGATGGAGCACGCGACGGTCGGTGCTATCGCGAAGTGTCCGGACAAGACTTAATAATAAATCTTTCCGATCTTCAAGGGTCTCGAGTTTGCGCTTTATCCCGGACTTTCGGCGTCTATCGCTGGTGTTGTCGACGGTGCATTCGACGTCGTGCTTTAGGCAGTTTTGGCAGGGGGGTGCGCCGGAACACTATTCCGTAAATGGTCAGTTTTCTCCCCTCGTTCAGTTAAGCTTTTTGCAAGGATATATTCTGATTGTGTAGGATACCTTTAGCTTCCGAGTCTTGCACGTCGTACAAGCAACACCGATATTAGTCCTCTTCTTCGACTGCTCGCAGGCATCATCGCCGTTCCTCTCCCGACGAGCCCCCCGAGGCACCGGGGCCAAAGGACGGTGGATATCAGTCATGATGACTGCGGCATGTCGACTTTCCAAGAAAAGAAAAGCGAGCGGGAAACAGGGAGCCAGCGTCAGTATATAAAGAAAAAAAAAAAAAAAATGGAGAAATGAGAGCAAAGGCCCCGCGAAGTGACGTTCAGCCTCGACCAAAGTAGACGCGGTCGGGCTCTTTCAATAACTAATAATACATAGGAGGAATTCCGAGAGCGCCAATCACGGGGCCGGTATAGGTGCGTCGGAACTTGAGGGTGCAGCGCCGCAAAAAGGAAGCATTTGATGGAATTTGTTATTGTTGCCATGCGAGTTAGTTGCAAGCATGTATGGCTATTATGGCGGCATAATGGGTTGGACTATGCGATTATGCGCTGGGGTTTTGTTATTGGTGAGATGATAGGTTCGATGCCCAGACGGCCCGGGGAGATGATAGATACAATGGGAAGAGAAAAAGTAATTATAGTAGCATTGAATACCAACACAATTAATCCAAATATATCTACTCCGTACAAAGCGGCGGCATGTTAAGTATATCAAATCACTCATGCGCCGGTTTCCCAGCCACCACAGGAGTCGTCTTCTCTCCCGTCTCCTGGATATGGGGAAGATGGTGCTCTCGCGATGATAGCGATCCCTCCGTATCAATCACCCCCGAAGCATACGCCGAACTCTCCTCATCGCGCCAGAAGTCCTTCTTCCCGTGAGCAGCACGCTTCAACCATGGTGGAATAAACCCCCCAGGCAACTTATACGTCCAGTCCTCATGATCCTCTTCCTTGTTCGGCGGCTTGATGCGTCCGCCTGAGCCCTTCTCGATCATCCACACAATCACGTTCAGCGTGATGTAACTCAGGATGCCAGCGATCAATCCGTATGCGATACTATATGTGAAGGGCATCACGGCGATGGTCAGGAAGGCCGGGATCGCGTCGCCGTGGTACTTCCAGTTGATTTCGGTCGTGGCTTTGGTCATTAGTGCGCCGACGATGACGAGGGTGCAGCCGGTGGCCCAGGGTGGGATGGATGCGAAGATTGGTGCGAAGAAAACGGCGATGAAGAAACAGAAGCCTGTTACGCAGGAGGTGAGGCCGGTTTTTCCGCCTTCTGAAATGCCTGCGCCGCTTTCTACGAAGGCTGTGACGGGGGAGACACCGAAGAGGGCGCCAATTGAAACGCAGATTGCGTCGACCATCTGCGACTGTTAGAAAGGCCATTGCTCGACAGATGGGACAAAGAACGTACATAAGCCATGGAGCTACCCTCAAAGTCCTGGGTCTCTTCATCGATAGTCCCGGCAAATCGAGCCATCGAGTACAGAGTACCGGTAGTATCGAGAATATCGACGTACTACTTCGGTCAGTCGCAAGCACTAAATCGGAAGAATGACGATACACACCAAGAAAGTAATAAACGCCAGGCCAAACTGCGCTCCATGTCCAGAGAGATCCCACTCCTGCGCAACCAGAATCTTCTGGATTGGGTGGAATGTGACCACCTGCTTGAAGAAATCAAAGTTGCTGTTTCCGACCTCAGTGTGCGGGAAGTAGGTCACTGGCGTAGGACGGGGCCACGAGATAATCGACACCAGCAGAATTCCCGCAATCACCGCACCGCGCACACGGTACATCATGAGCAATGCCGTGATGACACCGCCGCAGAAGATACCGATCCACATAGTCGGACTGCGCATCTTGTCGGCACTGGGACATAACCCGGTGGTCGCATCGCGCTGCGCATCCGAGCAACCGGCCAGCTCCATGGGCTGGTCAGTCGCACCTGTCACCAATCCAATACCGGCGCTGTACGATAATCCGATGAGCGTAAGATATAACCCAATACCAGCACCGGTCGCTAGTTTAATCGATGCTGGCAACGCCCGCGCAAGCCATTGTCGAATACCCAACAGTGTCATCGCCAAAAACACCCATCCTTCGACAAATACTGCTGTCACGGCGATTTCGTAAGGGATGAGGCCATTTCCGTGATGACCGACAACTGTATACGCGAAGTAGGCATTCAAGCCCATTCCGGGCGCCAGCGCCACGGGCAGGTTTGCCAACAGACCCATGAAGAAAGTAGCCAAGGCGGCGATCGCAGCAGTCGCCGTCACGGCATCGCGGTGCACTTCCTGGACGCAGAGGAGGTATTCGGTGTTCGTGTTACAGCGGTCCGCCATACTTTCAGGAGGGCAAACGCAGGTACCGCCAGACTCGGACGTGATGTTGGCATTGACGCTGATAATGTAGGCCATGGCGAAGAAGGTAGCCAGACCGGCGCGAATTTCGGTAAAGAAGTAACTGCCTTTGCGTTCTTTGGGCTATTCACCCCTTCATTAGTCTGGCTTTTTTTGCTGCCATTGTCCGTTGTAGACATACATGACCAGAACCCTCAAGACGAAAATGCTTCCCAACCGGACTCCGAGCAACCGACAGGTTGACTCGGTGCACCCATTCAGTAATGGCAGCGAAGCCCATGACGGATAATTTGTGTGCTATACAAGCGCTGAGCAGCGAAGAACAGTAGTCCGGGAACACATTCTTGTAAGAACTGAATCACGACGCCACTGCGTAGAAAAATTTCACCCCACAGTCACGGGCATGAGACCCCCGATATCTCACACCAATTGCAGCCCTGCTTGGCATGTATACTCCGGCCAATAATACAGCGGGATAAGCGATCGGATATCTCTATATGGGAAACTCGCCGACGGAAGTGGCCGGCTGTCGGTCTGTCATTGTGCGCTTCAAAGTCTATCAGGGCTGTCAGCTCGGAGGCCGCCGTGTTATTTGTACAAGTAGATAGACCAGTATACAGAGTATGCTAGCTTATCTATACTCCGGAGTAGAGTAGGAGACTATACACGAGCTATTACAAGGATAGAAACATGGGTCTACTGCCCGGACATACTTCGGTTGTTTCAGACCGGTCACGTGTACTTCCAAAAGTGGATTACGAGCACGTGCAGTCAGAGCCCTTATAAAAGATTCGTTCGGGTTGGTATCTTTCTCAAAGACAGGTCCTATTTCAAAATGTCGCGGTCAATCGAGGAGTTCAATCAGTCCAAAGAACGAGAAGTCTCCGTCATAAACCGCAAATGGCAACAATACCTACAGCGAGAAGAAAAGCATGGAAAAGGAAAACACCCCAAGCCCAAGACCCGATTTCTATTACAATGAACAGCGCATTCATACCGATCTCACGAAACATACATCACATTTCGTGCCGTCATTCGCTTCCAGCGTGGTAACCAAATATAGGCATGACGATCTCCACGAGCCCTGTAGCACTATGGACAAGCCTGTGGTAGGCTGAGGGTCAATTTGTATTGGTCCCGGTTATCCTTTGAAATGCTAAGGTCATTCTTAATGGACCATTCAGTATTTGATTTGGCTCCTCATAGGTACCGTCAGCATTTGAATGGACTCGCCAGGATTTAGGACCAGCTTTAGCGTTGTAATGTGAGACCATAAAATCGACGAATTGCTGCAAATATGGGAGGCCGCTTTTGCCTTCAAGAGCAGCATTTCAATCTCTGTTCCGGTCTAAAAGCGAGAAGCCATCTTGTTGATCTGTTTTGTTTGCACCAAATGTGCCAAAATTTAGACGAGTACTTTGGTTGGTATATTGGAAAGGTGTGGAAAATAAGCCTGCACGAATTGGAGCATAGCAGGAGAGATGATAACGGAGAATTCAACAAAAGAAAAGTCTCTCTTTTAAACCATGACAGTGAATTGACAGACTGACAGCCGGGTAGTTTAAAAGGGTGGCCAGCATTACTCATGGCCGAAAACTTGGCGAATCTATCAACACGTCTAACAAATGATCCAATCCTCCCTCAATCCCAACAGCTTCATCTCTCTCTTGCATATCCCACGGCGCATATCCAGCAGCACCGATTCCAGCTCTTATCATTCGGACATTTCCCTTTGATTCACGAACGAGGTCCTCATCATGCCACCGCAGCACAATCGGTGTGTTCATACCTGCTCCCAACTCCAGTATAACAGTGTTCGATAACCGCGCTGTATCCTCAATGAATGCCTTATAGCGCTTTTCTTGCGCCAGAAACCGAACGGGATTGAAATAGTCTCCTCCGCGGACGCAGATGGTTAACTCGCCTCCGCAATACTCACATCTGGGTATCTTCGAGGTGTCGGTTAGGCATTGGGTCTCGGGATCGAGGAAGGGCAAAGCGGCTGTCAGGAAGGGCTCAGAAAGAAACACGGCATCCCGGCGGCATTTTGCGAAGCACTGTAGATATCGATATTGCCCCTGCGGCGTGGTAATCCGGTTCTCGTCAAATCCATTGGCAGCGAAGAAACCGTCCGCGTTGGAGGTGCGGATAAAGTAGCGCGATTCGAAGCGTTGTGTAAATTGTCGCAATGCGGAATACATCAGCGACGCCGGCCAAGTCGTCACCATGTTTAGATGATTGAAATAGTATCCCCATTTCTGCGCCGGCGAGATCCATTCCTGAAACCCGAAGACGTCGTATAAGCGTTTCAAACCGAGGGGAAGGAATGCCGGGAAGTATTTTGCGAACAGGGCTGGTGAGGTGTAGTCCAGTCCTGTGGCTGCGGACAGTCCAGCACCAGCGCTGATGATAAGGGTATCTGCCTCTTTGATCCACTGTTGCGCTTTGAGAATAGATGGATGCTGAGAATGGATGATTTTCAGACTGGACGGCTGAGACTTTTGAACAAACGGATACTGAGACCTCAGGTTCCTGAACTTCTCCCTGTATATTGTAGCATCACCCTCAGCAAATACATCGAATATCACATCCGTCACAGTTGTCTGCGGATGCCCCCGACACCACTCCACCACCGTATCCAGAGCAATATCAACTGCCTTACTCGGCGGAAACGCAAACAACCCCGTCGAAATACAACAAAATGCAATCACCTTCCTTCCATCCGCCAATGGCGGCAATCCCTCCATCGCATCCAAACAGGATCTATAACAACTCGCCAACCGCTCCTTCTGCTCCACGGTCGGTTCACCCTCTTTCCCACGCATCTGCGGCCCAACAGTATGCAACACATATTCCGCCGGAAGATTGAACCCGGGCGTAACTTTCGCACTACCCACGGGTTCTGGGTCGCCCTGTTCCTGCATGATCGCATCGCAAGCCTCGCGAAGTCGCGGGCCCGCGGCCGCATGGATGACATTGTCGATGCAGCGGTGTGAGGGCTGGAAGCAGCCGAGGAGCTGGGAATTGGCGGCGTTAACGATGGCGGTGATGTTGGTTAGGGCTGTTATGTCGCCTTTCCAGAGACTGAGCGAGGTTGGGGTATCTGGGATAGATAGGACCGAGCGAATTGTTTCGGATGGGGTCAGGAGTTTGTGACTTTGTTGGTATTGTGAGATTTTGTCGATTCCCAATTGGATGCTCTCAGGGAGAGGCGGGTGCGGTGGTCGGATGCATAGGAGTCGTTGGAGGGTTTCGAGTTGGATCCAGATGTCTTGGTGGGCGATGTGGTGAGAGAGGTGTTGGTGTTGGTTCTCTGCGAGGAGATATTGGAGGATTGATGAGAGCTTAGAGGCTGCCATGATGAGGTCCCCCTTAGAAATGATTAAATGAAAGAGCGAAGATCTGGGATTCGTCCCCTCTTTATACATCTTCATAGCCTCATTTAGATCTCTATCGGGCAATGAATATGATTGGCTCATACGGGTTTGATGGGTTTGTTCCATTTGCACCACATGTTTGCATAGTTTACATTGCCTGCACGTTTGTCATTGACTTTCCGAGTGATTAACTTATGTACAGGCTGACATGGCTATAGAAATTTCATCCATGATTCTATCAATCGATTGATGGTAAAGACATATCGCGCAATAGGATATCAAACAAGATGCATATGCTGATGGAATATACAATACAATCACTCTTTCTCATGATATACCGCTTGAGACGGCTGGAAACGACTCCTTTTCCGCAGAGCCGGTCCATAAAAGAGGAACCCTAAGGGGATCGGGATCATAATCGCGGCCAGGCATCCCAGTAACGTGCCTGCCCACTGGACTCCCAGGTTCTGGAACATCTGCCGGGAAAATAGAGGGAAGCATGCGCCGATTGCGGACCGAAGAATGGTATTGGCTGCAAAGACAGATGCCGCGCTGGTTTTGTCAATATGTGATGGACACCTGAGAGGAAGGGTGACGTACAGATGAAGGTAGGAGTCGATAAGATAGTTGAAGCATTGGAGGAAAATGACATAAATGCCAAATCCGACAAAGACTCCCGAGGCTATTGGGGCCATCCAGTGAATGTCCTTTGTGAACCCGGTCCAGCCAAACCTGCGACACTTGTTAGTCCGATGTCTTTTTTCACTTGGACTGGGGACTAACCAGAATAAACCAATTGTGAAGACAGTACCGCCGAGAGTGGCTGCTGGAAGCCGCCATTCCGGAACTGGCATGTTGTTATTGGCTTCAAGTTTCTTGACATAGGCTGAGTGTCCAAGGAGGGTAAATGCTCCTCCCAGTAGTTCGCCTATGATTAGGCCGATAAAGGACAAACTGCCAACACCCAAGTTCATTCCATGAATACCCTGGAACACCACCGGATATGCGCCCAGCAAGGCATACATGAGCCCGTAGATGAAGGATGTGTACAGCGTGACCAAGAACACAATTGGCTCGGTGATTAGCATCATAAATGGCCGACTGAAGTTGTTCGTGAGCAGTTCTTTGAAATCTACCTCGACCTCGTCTTGTTTCGCATGGATACCCCAGTTTCGGGTTTGTCGGCGCAAAGTGGATGCCTTCCCCATTAACACAATGGGCGCATAGGTCTCCCTGAAAAGTAGCAACAACAATACCGTTGCAAAAAAGCCCATGATGGATGATAAATACATCGTCCACCGCCATCCTAGGTAACTCATCGTGATGAAGCCACCAACAAAAGGGGACACAAAAGGGCCTACAAAAACACCCATGGCGAACACAGCAATCGCCGCTCCCCGATACTTATTATTGAACAAGTCCGCAAACACCGCAGGAACAATCGCCAACGGACAGGCGCCGAAGAAGCCCGCAAAAAAGCGTGTCAGCATGATTGTTTGCACGTCTTTGGCGGTGGCGGTGGCTATGGTGAAAACGCTGAGCCCGAATAAGCCTATTACCATAGGCCATCGACGACCGTATAGTTCTGAAGATGGTGCCCAGAGTACAGGGCCTGACGCGAAGCCCATGACATAGAGCATAATACCCAAGGTTGCAACTTCGGTACTGATGCCGAATTGAGCACTAACGGAGCCGACAGCAGAGGAGAAGATCGCGCTGCAGAAGGAGGATGTGATGGTCGAATAGGTGAGGATGGCAGATTGCATGATTCTACACCACGATGGTCAGTCATATTCCTGCTATACGCATGTGACAGAACTTACTTTCTCCATGTCGGCCAGTTATGCGGATGCAGCGGATCAAACTCGCCAGCAAATTCTACGACATACTTCTCAGGATCCGGCAGGTCTGGCGGAAATTCCTTGTCTCCTCCGAACGGCAGCCATTCGTCCCTAGGCGCGCGAGTCTTCCTCGATCCGACGGTCGACTGGTGATGCAAATGGGAGGTCTCGGTACGCGAAAGCTCGACCTGCGTTGGACGCCGGCTGATGGGCGTAGGCTCAGGAACTTCCCGGAGCGAGCTCGAAGACGAAGGAGAGTAATCGTCCCGGGTCGTGGAATTCTGAAGTTGTTGATCCATGGTGTCCTCGTAGTCTATCAGACCAGAGAAAGTTTTGTGTATTCACTGCCATTATGTTTATATATCAGGTGCTTGTTTGGCAGCATCCGCGTGCCTCCGTCTGCCTATGATGCCATGATACCATAACCGGAAGGGTCCGAAGGCACAACCGGATGGTAATGTTGTCATTGAGTCAAACCCGGGACTGGACCACGGGATTCAGGCACCACTGCAATTGAAATACTACTCCGGCTGTTCAGATTTCCATTTTGGGTGCCAATTGCTAGTATAATATCTACTATGCTATGCACCGGTGATCTCTTAGATGGTCGCGAGCCTCGGCCCCGTGGCACTGCCCCGCTCACCAATTGAAACAGAGCTCCAAACGTCGTGATACAATGGCAACCTTATTAATGACCAGGCCCCTGAGCAGGTATCACTTTAAAACATTCGCATCCATGTTTGGATATTCCTCCTTCACTTCTTATCATAATCCATACAGCAAACATGGCGGTCAACGGCCATTGCGACCCGCGCTTCGACTCTGTCCGGCAGCTTTTTGAGCGCCATATCTCCTCTGGCAGCGAAGTCGGCGCTTCTATCTGCGTCAATATCTCCGGCACTGATGTAATTGATCTATGGGGAGGCTACACCGACGAACCGCGGACTGAGCCCTGGACTGAAAACACAATCGTGCCCGTCTGGTCGTCTTCAAAGTGCATCACCAATCTCGCCGCACTCATCCTCGTCGATCGCGGACTTCTCGACCCCTTCGCTCGCGTGTCGCGATACTGGCCCGAATTTGCAGCAAATGGCAAGGAAGACATCGAAGTCCGGCATTTCCTAAGCCACACAGCGGGAGTGCCGGCATGGGAGAAACCGTACCCGGACATCTACGATGTACCGGCGGCTACGGAGCGACTAGCTGGCCAAGCACCATGGTGGAAACCCGGTACCGCGTCGGGATACCACGTCATCAGCCAGGGCCACCTGGTTGGCGAACTCGTTCGCCGAGTATCAGGAAAGTCCCTGGGCCAGTTCATCCGCGATGAACTGGCGACGCCCCTGAACGCGGATTTCCGCCTGGGAGTGGAGGAAAAGGACTATCCACGCATCGCAAGCCTCACCAAGCCCGAAGCGCCTCCTGTCGAGCCCCCACATGACCGGAATAGCATCTCTCTCCGCGCAATGAAGGGAACTCCTATCCTTGCCGAACACGTCACGACCCCAGCCTTCCGTAACGCAGAACTTGGCGGCGGAAACGGCATCTCGAACGCGCGCGGACTGAACCGCATCCTCTCAACCATCACCCTTAACGGCGAAGTCGACGGCAAGCGCATCATCTCCCCTGAGACCGTCAACCTCATCTTCCGCGAACAATCGAACGGTCCCGATCTCGTGCTCCAAGCACATGTGCGGTTCGGAATTGGGTACGCATTGCCCCACAAGCAGACAGCGGATTGGATTCCTGGTGGGAGAGTGTGTTTCTGGGGTGGATGGGGTGGTTCAATCACGATTATGGATCTAGATCGCAAGACAACCATCACGTACGCGATGAATCGGATGGGTGGTGGGACAATCGGAAATAATCGGCTTGAGGCGTATGTTAGGGAGATCTATGCGGTGTTGAATCGGCTTCAAAAAGCAGTGCTTTGAGTTATTTGCATGTTTAATTGCGCGTGTCTTTACATATATTGAATTCCATGTTAATAGGGAAGACGAAATGTCATATAGCGATGCTGTGACTTGATGTGGCGCATATGGTTTTAATGGCGGTGCAGTATCAACATGAAAACGCATTGTATATCGACACCTACTTGCATTCAACCGTAGTTTACGGTTGTTTGTCTTTGCCGAACTAAACACCAGAGGAACTGACCACTTAGAGCTTCAGGTTTTTTTAAAAGTCATTGATTCAAAATCACCCTCTGAACCCCTGAGGCTCTTTTTTTTGTTCCCCCTCTGTTCGTGAACCATCTGGTCTTAGGGATCCCCACCCTTAGACTATACGTGGGTGCACGTGTAGCCGCAAGTGTAGCGACATTGAGTATTATGAAGCTCATGCCTAAATCGATATTATTGTATCTTCTGTCTCGCCCTGGCTATATGCATTCATGGCTGATATCTGCCAACAAGCTTACCAAAAGTATTCTCTCGCCCATAGGGGACGTATTTACTCCCTCAGCTCTTGTACAGTGGTTCTATCCGTGAAGGTCTCCGTGCCAGTGGAACGGGGCTGATGCAGGCACTTGTACAATTGGACACTTAGTGAATTGACGATTGAGACGGCGCCAATGTCTTACGTCCTTTGGGTGCTCCCTACTTCTCAGTCTCAAGAGCTTGTGTCTCATGTTCATGGTCTCTTTTTGGCCTCGTGAAGTGACACCTCCTCACGCTGGCTTGGTTGAAACCCTTCTGGCCTCGCCGGAGCTGGCTTCTCTTTACCTGTCCGGCTTGTCCTTTGTTCGAGTGAGGACCCGACTCCAGGTTTGGTTTCTACGACCATTGAAATATGACAAGCAGTGCCATCTGCCTCTATTGCGGTTAGTCCACTTGCATCTAGGAGGACTGGGAGTGCCGTACGAAATCAACGGCATGTCAGAGCGATGGGACTACACCTATCCTGTGTGGCTGAACTGAAGAGTCTGCATACTTTGGTCCTCGACAATTCATTCGATGGCGAGGCTTTGATAGGGCCAGAGGTGTTTGAACAAGCGAAAAATCTCCGTCACTTAAGCATTGATGAATTTCCGCCATATATGTAAGCTTTGATCAAGCTTCGGGGCTGAGGGAAAGCATGACAAGATCTGACATCCAGAACTACTTCGAAACACTGCTAAAACCGCTTGACGTTGATTACCAAGAGGAAAGGACCACCTACCCACTGCGAGATTTTGGGCCAAACTAGAAGAAGCTTCATCTGGGTGGGTACGCTGGATTGGTTCCAACAGAGGCTATTGTTATATTATCCGAAGTCATCAAGATACCCCAGCTGGAAGAATTATCGAAATTGGTTACAAAAGCCTCTTATCGATATCTCAACGGCCATGTCCTGCTTGACATGCCCAACCTGAAAAAGGCTTTTTCTTATTTCGCAAGATTTGAGGGCGAAGGACATCTTTATGATCAATCGAGGCTCATTGCTGATGTGCAAGGTCTTTCAACCATTGCAGCTGCTCGGCTGCTATTACCGGTTCTATATCTGCGTGCACCGTGATGAAGAACCAGAAAAGTTTAGTTTTGATGCCAATTACCGCAACGCCAATGGAAAGAAGGCAATCGCATATTACCAGGTGGTCGATGTGACCAACGTAGAGCGATACAATTTTTGCACAGGACATTCGGGCTGTGCGGTACTGCGACAGAGAAAAGTCAACATTCAATATTTCCAGCAGGTTATTCTAAGTGCTCTGGCAGGAAAGCAACAAACGCATATTATTCTATCCCCGGTTCCGAGAGAGATCTACCGAAACGATCCTCCGATGGTAACCAGCAATGTCAGATCGGTCTCTCAACCTCGGCAATGACAATATGAAAACAACTTTTGACTGTGATTATAATGCTCAACTAATGTAAGGAGTTACCACGGTAATAATTGCGATCGCGCTCGGTTCTACACAGGCGATCATCCAGAGTTCCGCCGCATCTGCACATGTCGCAAGACTTTCCATTTTGGGTCAACCGGGGAATACTTCCAGCCAACATATAAATATCCTAGAATCCTCCGGATTGAGCAGAGCTTTTTTGAAGAACAAGAGCGACAAAATGATGAAACTCGTGCTTCCTCTCCTCAGCGTTTCGACACTATACGCTGCGTTTTACTTCGCCCAGATCAATGGTTCGCATGATTTGGCTCTGCGATCCGTTATATCGAAGACATTGCCCGGACGCGATGATCCTCTTCGCACTGTTTACACGGGCATCGAGCCAATTGACCGGTTGCTCACGGTATTGACTGTTTTCTTCTGGCCGATGACTGACGGAAGCACCCCTACCTTGACGCTGCATTCTCTTGGGTTTGCCGGAACGTTTGGCTCTGCTTGGATGCTTCTGACAGTTGAGTCGTGGAGGAAAGGCAATACTTGGACTATTGCTGCATTGTAAGCGGACTCCTATTCGCGGAACGAAATGGGACAATAGCTGATCTGCATTGAACAAAACAGCCCATTCATTTTTGGCATCCTCGCTCAGATTTTGACCTTTGCTTTCGCGGCACCTCTCTACGCCGGTCTACACCTTATTTTCTCTAGCACTGCCAGCAGGCCAAACGCAGAGAGCATCCGCGCTCCTCGTGCCGTCCTAAACGTGATCCCTTACGCGTTCTTCATCGGCTACTTAGTCCCTAGCCTGCTACTAATTGCCCCTCTCTCGGAGACCATCACCACGGATGTGAAACAAATCATCATCGCAGCCTGGCAACCCTGGCCGTTGTACATTTCCTTCTTGACCACTATCACACACATCCTCTTCTCGCCATTTGTAAGCAACGACAAGACCATCGACGGCGGCCGTGCAACACTTAGCTCCCTTCGGAAGGTCTACGCCGTCGCTTTTGCAAATACTGCCATCAACCACTTGATCCCCTGGACCATCTCCCTTTTTACAATCTTGGAACCTCAATTCTTCAACAAAAACTTCGCGCATGCTCTCCACCCCTCTAACGTCTTCCAACTTCCCCTACCATGGGCTCAGCCGCCCCTCCAGATTTCCGATATTGGCGCCGGCGTGCACGTCTTTCTCCGATGGGACTATATCATCGGGTCTACGGGTGTACTGCTCTGGGCGCTGAGCTTGCATCGCAATGCGCACCGCGCGATCCTAGGCAAGGCCGGTGGTCTGGGATTGTTGATTAAGGCGGTACTGTTATCTGTTGTTGCGAGCCCGGTTGGTGCTGCTGTGGAGTTGATGTGGGAGAGGGATGAGTTGGTTGTTCATGAGACTGGAGGGCTGAAGTCTAGGGTTTCTGGTTCTAAGAAGTCTTCTTGATTGATAGGTGGTCTTTACTGAGTTGCCCAGGTCACGACTGATAAGCTATTTGCGCATTGATAAGATGAGATGAGATGAGATGAATGACGGATGAAATTGAATGATGTGATTGGTATCTGTGCAACCTTGCAGTAATATCATTTTCAGCTGAGCTAAAACATGTAATTCATGTAGATTCTCCACCGCAGCACGAGCAGCACCGGTTAGAACTAGAGCTCAGCTTGCCTGCTTATTGCACTTGCCGCTACATGGTCTGGCACTGTACGACATTGTCTACACTCACCGACTGCATTGCATAGAGCGAAACAAAATATGGACATGTAGATCTCGCCCAGGCCAAAACTGTAAGTTCATATCAAAAATGAGTGAATAGTTTGCATTCCTTCAAGGTCACTCATAGGGTTGTCGAATAGAGTCCCAATTGGGAAGGTGGTCGTGTCGGGCATCATCTGACACCACGTGATGCGGGGGTTCCAGATCACACCGCCTTCCCTACACAGCATCTTTCATTGCACAGCAACAAAACACAAACAACCAAAAGAACGTCTATTCACTGGCTACGATGTCGGATTAGCATCGATTGTCTTCTTAAAGCTTCCTCTCTGTCTCCTAGAAGGGACCTGCTCCCTGTGATAAGACGTATGCGTATGGGTCGATAGAAGATCGCTCTTTTCTCTATGAGAGACAGATTCCCCGCTTAGCGCCTCACATCTGAATACCATCAACGATGCTTAGAGACCATGATATCCAGAAACTGGCTGGCCAGTTACGTGCTGTCGATCGGGAAAATCAGCAGCATTATGAGAATCTGAGTGCTCTCTTGGGAAATTTCAATTCGTTACTGGAGAGCTATAACCTGTTGAAGAGCGACTATGAAGAGGAGAAGGAAGCACGGGAGAAGTATAAGAAGATGGCTAGGGGACAGGAACGGAATCCTTTCGTCTTGGTGCTTGTGGATGGTGATGGATATCCGGTGCGTACATTTTTGATAACCGGCGAGAGGTGCCATGGCTGACGGTAGCAGTTCCAAGAGGATCTTATCAGAAGCCGCAATGAAGGTGGAATAACAGCTGCACGACGTATGACTGACAGTATCAAAGAACTATTGCATGACCGGCTCGGGGACCAAGCTGAGCAGTGCCGTGTCATGATACGCATCTACGCCAATCTTCTGGGTTTATCCAAGGCTTTGGCTCGCGCTGGGCTTGTTGGACACGAAGCTCGTTCATTTGCAGCGTTTGCGTCTAGTTTTACTCGCTCACAGGATTTAGCAGATTTTATCGATGCGGGTGATAAGAAAGAAGGAGCGGATCATAAGATTAGAGGTATAATCGGCTCACCATGTTCGGCTAGGCCTGACTAACATGGATAGAAATGTTCCGTCTATTCGCTGATATTAACCAGTGCAAACATATCTTCTTCGCGGGCTGTCATGATGTTGGCTATCTCTCGTTCTTGATGCCCTACCGAGGCATGGCGGATCGTATCACCCTACTTAAGGGACCATCGTTCCATCCTGAATTCAAAACATTGGGACTGCCTATCTCTGAAATACCCTCTCTTTTCATGTCGAGTCCACTTGGCAGCAGCCTTGAACCGATTACATCTAAATCAGCGGTACCTAAATCGGCGGTCTGCTGGTTCTTCCAAAAGGTACTCGTCTTGCCACCTATGCGAGCCCTTCTTTGGCTTCAAAAATTAACGAGCTGCAGGGTATTTGCAAATACGGCAATGATTGTTCTAAGCAACACATATCATCACAACAACATGAAATGTCTAAAGCCCAAGAAAATAAGTCGGACACTCAAAGCACCGTGCGAGAAATGAGGCATTATGCGACAATACCCCGATCTCCTTCGAGTAAGGACGAAGGACCCCTAGTGCACATCAACAGAAATGGAGATCGCATTGACACTGCCATTTCGCAACCAACAAATGAAGAATGGAACGCATATGCCCGCCGAGCCAAACAACACAAGATCTGCAACCAGTACCATTTGGGCGGTGAATGCAGCAATCTGAACTGTCAGTTTGACCATAGTCACGTCGACGAAAGCTTGATCGAGGTCATGCGGTATATCATGCGACAGCATGTATGCCCAAATGGATCTGATTGCCGACTTGGCAAGTGTTATCTCGGTCATATGTGTCAGAAGCCTGGGTGCAAGGGTGGCAAACCCTGTCGCTTTAGCCAGCACGCCCATACCCTTGATCGTCAAATTTATGGCAATACCACGCCAACCGATACACATAGTTATGACTCTAGTAGTTCGGAAGATTATGACTATCTAGCTTAACATGCTCCTACCCCATGAGGATGTTGCTTTGTGGTCTGAGTAGACCTACTACTCGACACAAAGCATATTTTCTCAAACAGCTATTGGTAAATAGCATTGGCATTTATGTTTATTTCGTTGGAGAATGTCGGGATTGGATGAAAATGTATCTATTGACAACCGCTCTCTAGAGATTACTCGTGCAATACATCAAGGGTAATCAATAGTTGCATTTAAGATATATGTACAAGGACTTGCAGAAAATACTCTATCCATCCTTAATCGACTGCTTCAACACAATAAGAAAAGAAAAAGCCGATTTACCCAGCAACGAGTAAAAAAAAGCTGACAGTGAACCAAGCATGATAAGCCCATAACTAAAATGTTCACCAATGCCAGGAGAATGGAACACAAACAGATATGCCACCTCGTATGGAGGCCAATAACCCAGAACGACACACATTCTAGATATCCTCTATTTTCCGGTGGAGGAACAGCCAGATGCACGAGTCAGTCACGGAATGTCCTTTGTTAGCTCTCAGGCGTTCAAAATTGGATTGGGGATCGGTCACGAGAAGGGTAGCCAAGGTGAGCGAATTGGTTCGAACTCGAAGACTCCTCAAAGAACGTTGTTCCTAAAGCCAAGAGGAGAATATCAGGTCAGAAACATAGCTAAAGAAGGAAGGAATTGGAGGGGTGCGGTCGACGGAAAGTGGTAGTGATGAGAAGGGAAGCAACGACGCTCGATATCAGGTGACGCAAGTAATTGATCGGGGTTTGCGCATTATCCAATGTCGCTTATAGCTACGAGCATATTGGTGATGGAAGTAGATGAATCTGAACTGAAATTAAATTTTTGATTAATAGCCCTAGTTGTCCTCGTTGGTGCGTTGATTTATCGGAACCCCCCCCAAAGAATACTTCAAAAAAAAAAAAAAAAAAAAAAAAAAAAAAGAAACTCTGTCAAACACCAAACTCTCCGAAAAAAAAAAGCCAGTACAAAAAATTGATCAATTTCCCTCATAGAAAACCCGGTCTCTTCGACGCGCCACAATTCTGAAACTCAGGAATACCACCGAGGTAGCTTCGAGCAGAGCTATGAACAAAATCAACAGCATCGCCCTGAATAATCAAGAACGAGCCACACAGTTGGACCAGTTCCTTGATTGATTCTGTATCCTTCGCAAATCCCGCCGGGAGTCTAGCAAGCGAAGCAATATCGGCTAGTCGTACTGACTGGCGGGAGGCGACCATTGAGCCTAGAATGTGGATGCATAGTTTCAGGTCTTCTCCATCGTTCATGTGTTGCATCTGTGTCCAGCCTTCATGGTATGCAGATTGTAGGCTGGCTGGGAATATCTCGAGAATGGATATCGTTTTGCGGCGCGGTGCTTTCTCCAAAGTGTTGCATAGGTGTGATACCCAAAGGAAGGAGCCTTCTGCTCCGGTCTTCAGGTGCTTGAGTACCGTGAGATAAAGATTCTCATCATAATTCTTTGTCCTGGCAAGTGCCGTGGTTTTCTCCTCGATGTAGTTATCGACGGCACTAGCAACCTGTTTGGCATTGATTTCAAGATCGAGGTTCGATCCTTTCGCTTGTTTGAGTCTGATTTCGATTTTCGGATGAGGGCGGCTGGAAACCAACCACTTGATGCGAGATGATGCCGCCGTAGATACAACAAGTTTAAGAAGCTGCGGGAGCTCATCTTCGCATTCGTCCAGCGCATCGATAATGAAGGTAATCATAGGAAGCGACGAGTCTTGGGCAATCTCGTGGACGATTTCGGACAGAGCGTAGAAAGAATTGGTATCCTCAAACAATGAGCGGCCAGCAGCATCCCATCTGCCCTGAATAAGCTTGACAATTGCAGGACATTCCATAACGAGGCGATAGAGCAGGCCTCGCAGGACAGAAGTCCCGCTTCTTAACCGCGGATCGATACGTTGGCAAAAGAAGTATGCCACGGCTCGTGGAGAAGGGCCAGTCTTGGCTTTGGGGACCAACACCTCGATGAACCCCATCGTAAGCATCGTCTTTCCTTTTCCAGGACCGCCGTTTATCCAGAGCAGATTGTGCTGGTGGCTGCTGTTCCACGAGGCAAACTCGGGGGTCTTGAATGCCCAACTGCATGACTTGGCCATTACATCCCCCTTGGTATCCAAGAGACGTATCATGTCAAGACGGGGGTCCGTTAATCGAAGATCAATCAAGCAGCCTCCTCCTGTAAGACAAGCACGTCAGACTTGGTAATTTTGCGGGGGTCGATTGTACTAACCTAGGGAGATCACATTGCCAATATGCAAGAAGTTATTGTCACCGAATCCATTGTTGGTGACACCAATGCCTGGCTCATGAGGGGTGGGAGCTTCAGTAGGATTTGTAAGGGCCTTATGATGCCGTTTCGGAACGAGAGATTGGAGTGTCATAGTGGACAAAAAAGGGCAGCAGAGAAGATATTGTGTTCTTTCTCTGAAATTCCGGGTTGGCACATCCCCCATCTTGCCTCGATCTGTCCCTATATGTGCCCTTTTTTTCATTTCCATCCATTGTACACAACAACAAAAGTACTCCCGGCTGCTACTCGAACGCTATGATATACCCCATCTCGGCGCTTAATTCTTACCTTTTTGGGTCTGACGATCATCATCCCGGCGTTGACTATGTCTTTTTTTATAAACTATAATTAGCTGTTTAAGGATCTAGACCGGAGTTTTCGAGGTCGAATGCGAATCGCTTGAATGGGCTTGACTATGATCTCGGGAGGGTGGGCCAAAAGCCACCTCAGTGGGGGTCTGAACTGTGCGTTTTTGGTGCCTAGAATAGAAAAAGATAGCAGTTGCATTTTTTTTATTTTTTTTTTTCGTATAGAAACATTTACAGTATCAGAAATTGAGTTGATAGAGCGAAGAGAAAATTGAAATGGGTTCCGTCGGAGGTTCAGGGGAAACCGGAGGAGTCGATCATCCGACTGCACGAGGCCTATATGTAGAAGACCCAATTAAAACGAACGATTGATATACTCTATCTAATGTAGCCTAGAGTACACGGGTGCTTGAGTGCTTGATGAGTGCTTGTCTTTCTATATGTGGCGAACGCTGGCCATATATCGGAGGTTCGCTAGTCGGACTAACGTTATCCCTTTGATCCGACCTATCAGATCTCATCAAAAATCGGTTATAGATCATGTGACTGCGGGGTCGCTGAATTAGGAAGGTTGAGGTATCCGGCAAAACTTCGCCAGTTGAAAGCCCAAAGCAGCTAAAGAATATCTTCAATTCATGTCAAGGTTGGGGGTGCAATCTTCTTATCTACTGCATATGCTCATAACCCATTATTTGGCAACTGTTCTCTGCTATATATGTACCCCGCCGTCCCCGCAGCTATTTAGCTGACTTCATATCTCTTTATCAAAGGACAATTTGAACCAATACCATACCTGTACAACCACATTACACCATGGGAATAACACATGTTGTCCAATTCCAATTCAAATCCGACGTCTCCCCGGACGTGGTGAAAGAAGTACGCACCGCCGCATATCTACTCTCCCATATAATGAATAACAACTAACAACGCCAGAACTGCCACCGAATGCTCGCATTAGAACACACATGCCTCCATCCCGACACCCAGAAGCCCTATCTCAAGTCCGTTACGGGCGGAAAGGATAACTCTATTGAGGGGATTCAGGTATCCACCTCATCCTCCGATCCTTCTACCTCATTATTGATGACGTTTGCTAACTGGAGAAGAACGGCATCACGCACGCATTTGTAGTTGAGTTCGAGAATGATGCTGATAGGCAGTATTACTGTCACAAGGACCCTTCGCATTTGGCGTTTGTGAAAGGTGTGGCTGAGTTGGTGGAGAAGGTTCAGGTGGTTGATTTTACGCATGGGATTGTTGTTTGATTGTATTGTCTTGTCTATGTGTCTAAATAGAATCGAGGTGGTTCAGCCGTATCGGCTGACAAGGTCTTTCATGTCGTTTATCATTCTATACAGGTTAATACGTAGACTTCAACATGGCGAGAGACATACTGTTTCCTCAACGATGCATCATCTGTGAAAAGCGCAGACACATGTGTATTGAACCGCCTATTTCATCAGCATACCTCCTCCAAACAAGTAATAAACACTCACAGCTTATACAAATCCAACCGTCCATGGTAGTCCTCCTCCGGCGGCGAAGGCTTCACAAACTTCCGATACGCCGCACGATACTCCTCGCCAAACCGGTTACAAGCCGGCATCCATTGACCAAATTCATCTACCACGGTGTATTAGCCATCATCCAATATCCCAGGAGTAGAGCTGAGGTGGCGCACACTCATGATGCGCGTAAAAACAGCACGCGTCGAAAACCAGACACTCTCCAGACACCTTGTCAGTCCCTGAATTCCCATACCACAGATCCCCATGTACTAATGCCGGTTTTACAGACCGTCCCTCACTCTCCAACGGCTGCAACAGCCTCGGAATAACCTTCTCAAAAATAGCCGGCACGAGTACATCGAACTCAGCGTCATACCCCTTCGCCTTGATCTCCAAATCCAACGCGACACGCAAACTCTTCGAGAAAAACACCTCCCAGCTATCTTCCCACCCCGTATACTGCGCTAAATACCCACTATACGTAGGAACATGAAAACCAAACTTCCCCTCCGAACTCCGGCTCCGACTTTGACTTCCCTGGTGCAACGCCGCCAATCTCCGCGTAAACAACCCCAGATCAGGCATCTCATCCCTAGACAGAATCATGTCACGATACTCGCAGAGAAAGAAATGCGTCTCGGAGTCATTTTTATAAGTCCCCCAGGCGATTGGCCTCGGCACGAAGTCCGGGACTACGCGGTGGATTTCTTGCATGGATGCATATTCGCCGTAGAGGATGTTTTTGCCTAGATTTTTTGTAAGGGTTTTGAGGAAGTAGGATTTTGTGGTTGTGTCGGGAAGGGTGAGGGTTATGCGGGTTGTGTTGGTGGTGACCCAGTAGCTGGTGCCGTGGCGGGTTGTCGTGACCGTGTGGGCGGGGGGGAGGTCTGTTATTGCTTATCAGCTGGGTACACGAGGATTGGGGGATATTTGCTTACTAGAGGCTACATTGGGGTCAATTTGACTGTTTTCTAGGGATAGACTGGCGTTGGAAGTCATGGTGGTTGTTTGGGGGATATCAGGATATTGGTGCGGTTGAATTGATATTGTGGGATGTCCGAATCGGGTAATTTCATGGTTGGGATGAAGTATTCTCTGCAAAGCTATCAATGTATCCAAACTATAGAGCACATATCATTATTTTCATTCTATTTACCTTATATAAACTGCTGGTAGCCATAAATATATATAGAAGTTCATCGTCTCATCCCACACCCACACCAGCAAATCAGTTCACATTCGAAACCTTGAACCCTCCAGGCACCTGGTACTGGAAGACTCCATACGGGTCATACTTCTCCGCCACGCGCCGGATATATTTCACGTTCTGTTCTCCATACCCCCGCAATGGATCCTGGGTTTTGTCGGCGTAGTCCAAGTAGACAAACTCGTTATCTGCATTGATCATCTTCGCATATCCGTCCAATTGCTGGTGATTGGATCTTGCCAGACGGTGGAAGAGCTCGTCGTCCGCTTTATCATCCCACGAATAGTCATAGAGGGTTTCTGGTCACAGTTAGTGGTGTCGCCTTGGAATATAGATAGAGACAGCGTACGGATTAGATTCTCGTCAAAGCGCTCCAAGCCTAGGACATTCCCGCCCACTCCGGAGCCACGCTCAGTGAACAGCTTGGGCCATGGCTGGATAATTAACACCAGAATCCATGATTTGCTTTTTGCGTGTTTCTTGGCCTCTTCAATGACTTGTTTGTGTAGTTCTGCAGCTTTCTGGATAACTTTGGCGTTGTTGGCATGTGTGCCGGTTACAAAGACGTTGCTGCAGCCTTGTTAGTTTGGGTTAGATCAATCACCAATGGAAAACATACCGAGACTCTCCCTCCTGAGACAATTCTGTCACGTGAACGTATTGGCTATCGATTCGAGTTCCATCCGACATGTTAGAAAACTGTTTGAACTCATCGTAAGCCGCAGGATGAGCCACAGGCTTAGTATAGTGCATAGCGTTAATGACTGAGTTTGTGTCTGTCTTCGAGTCGTACTGCCACATGGTAATCAATGACGCATACGGGTCCTTGTGTATGTTGTCCGTAAAGTGCACAAATGCTGGAATTTGCTGATACGCAGTGGACCAGTCGTATGTGACGGCGCCGCCCCAGATGCCCTCGGTAGGTATGGTCTTCATGTCAAAGCGGGTCACGATGCCAAAGTTGATTGTGCCGCCTTTCAGGGCTTTGAATAGGTCAGGATTGGTGTTTTCGTTAGCCTCGACAATGGCACCGCTGGCTAGAACGACTTGGTAGTTGACGACATTGTCACATGCGAAACCAACTCTTGCGGAATGGAAGGAATTTCCACCTGTTCACTTTCAGAACAGTGCATCTAAGTAATGTTACGTATCTCTTACCTCCAAGCAAAAATCCGCCAACACCGACAGGTCCACCACGACCACCCGCCACAGTCACGTTATCATTTTCCAACGTCTTGTACACAGATGCCCATCTAGCCCCAGGATAGATGGATGCCGTCTTATTCTCAGGATGGTGAATTGTGTTATTCATCTTTGACAAATCAATCGTCACACCATCTTCGATATTTGCAGCTCCAGCCCAGACCGTATGACCACCGCTACGAACCGCAAATTTGCAGGACGACAGTGAGCCACCCTCTTGGACCAACGTCGACACGGCCACCGACACATCTTCGACAGATTTCGGTTGAACAATACAGGACGGTGACAGGCGTACGCTGCGAGACCAGTAAGACTCTACAGATTTGACGAAAAGTTCTTGGTGAGGATAGACGACCTGCTGGCCCACGGAGCTGGCTGATAAGGCAGCACACTAGACGAATTGAGTTATCCTTTGCCTCTTTATCATAGCAGAATACGAAACACATACACATGAGTCAGTAGCATCTACTCCAGCATCTGCTTGGAGAGGAATGCTAAACAGCAAGGTCGCGGTGCTGGGACAGAACTTCATGGCGACGATTGACCACAATAGAAGACAGAAGGAATCAGGATGCTCCCCCGTGGAAGGATTTTTCAGGCTGCCCCTGACTGCCCCTCATTGTAATTGATTGATACGAGGACTTCTCACGTATAACGTGGCTTGCATACAGACCAGCCTACTATTACCCCTGTAGGAATAGCAAACATGGCTGGGATTGGTTCCTCGTATTTGTCAAACGGACGCTAGCAGGGTCGAGCATGATAATCCCGGTTCGGTTAGAATAATAGACAAGAAGGCAGCTATGAATTTGGATGATAGATACCATCGTTTCGAGAATATAGAAAGTCGGAGTCCTCCATCTGTAGAAACTCAACGTGAAAGGGTCCACCCGAATGGGAAATCGAGAATGGTTATGTCATCAGCAAACACTGCAAACAGGGCAAACCCTGCCCCACTAGGCCTTTAAAAAGTCTTCCGACCAGGAACGACCTTCTCTTTTCTTCTTCTCCTCTCAACAGCCTTCATGATGGCTTCTCTGCAACAGCAACGCCGTCTAACTAACTAGCATTCACAATAGGGACACCCAGTAGTCCCTCTCAATTGGTATGTTGTCCATTGTTGTTATCCCTACAAACACCTACACCTACCCCATCGACACGCCTCCGCGCAAAGCAGCACATGATGCTATATGATAGGACCGATTTACTATGCGGAAAACTCACCCACGAGCCAATTTCAAGACGGGTCTCTGAGCTGCTTATTCAAACCTTCAATTTACAATCATCCACACTTCCATGTCTGGCTGATGGCTAATTCGAGTTTTGTACAGACTTTCTTACGTTTCCTCAATCATTGCGAAGTTTCGGTCTTTCAGAGACCGCTGTGACGTCTCCAGGGTTGTTGGGGGAAGAATCTCAACCGAGTTACGATAGATATTGTGGATAGTTCGATCGATAGCAATACAGAGTTTGACTTCTGGATTCTTGTCTCTTGCGCCTTTGGCGATTGCATTCCGTGCACTGTAGTTATTGTGCGGTTCGCGTAGCGATTCTTAGCACCATCGTCTCATGCTACAAATGGATCAAGGTCCACCGAACTGCTCAATCTGTTAAAAATTTTCTGCATCTGGCGTAGTGAAGAGCCTCTTGTCACGGTCATAATTATGCCCATGCATAACTCAAAAGGGCTAGTTCTATTTATGCTGATAGGCATCCGGTCTGATTGGCTAGAGATTTTCTATAGGCTGTCTTGTCTCTGTTGGCTGCTCATACTCTCTCGTCTTCTACTTCTCTTTAACCTGCGTCCCATCGATTACTCCTATCAACAAACTAGCAATTGGATATGCAGTGATTTCTGGTGCAGAATGCGGCCATTGAGTAATGTGCATAGATTGTGTCTGCTTTCGATCTGATGGTTCATGATATTTCCCGGTGAGTGTCTTGTGACTTGGGAGATCTGGCCAATGCTTCAACTCGACCATTGTGAAAGGCAGTTGGAACCAGCTTTCTAGAGTACGGGGAGCCCGGTGTAATTCCAGCATCTAATGATACATCTTCCCAAGAATATGGCACGATGAAACGTCACATTTGAGCAGCTGAGATACTTTATCATCAGATCAAAATAGTGCAACAGTTCCACAGAATATTGAATATGGTGTCATGGTTTCACCAGTTCCCCGCAGTGGACAATATGTACACGAGACCATATCCGCAGGTCCTGATTCTGATATCGACCATGCCATATCAACTGATCCCAAGTATGACTATATCCCCTTCCGGTGGACAAGTATTCCTCCCAAGTTACCCTCCCTGTTCATCTGTCGTAAGCCATCACCGAATCCGCCGCAAATACCGTAACGTCAAATAGACCGCGCCCACGGTTGTATACGCCGCACCTCCACCTGCAAACCAAACAGGCTGGTGGGCTATGAGAGAGCGTCGAAGGAGGATGGCTTTGCGCTTTGCTTTGTCTGCTATGTGTTAGCTTTCATGAACCAGTGGAAGAAACATATAGGTAACAGCAGAGAAGAAAGGAGGATGGTCTCGTACCAAGAGGAGCAGACCACTTATTCCGGTTCTGTATAATCGAGCGGCCTGTAGAGGAGATACCTTGGGTAATCTGTGCGATGACCATCTTGGATATCTTGCTGCTATGAGTTGCTGTTTCGAGTTTAGTCGTGTTTAGTAGGCAGTATCGTAGTTCTCCGATGGATAAGTTCAGGTTTGAAATTCTGGGGACCCCAACGGGCAGAAGAAACGGGTATATATCACAGTAAACCGAGCATCATAACGCGGGGTAAGATACGTTCAACGGGAATAAGTAGCACAAGAAAGCAGGGTTCAAGAGGGATCTTACTGGAGAATGGCCAGAGACGTCATATGCGTTGTGTTGCTTCAGTGGATAGTGACTGGCGAAGTAGCGAAACAGACATTCATCGTTGCTGAAGCATTAGATACTCCCGTTATTGGGCGATATGCTATTCACTTTAGGAAGGAAGCAGGTGACCCTAATCACATGACTGGAGCGGCTTCTTCTTCCATCCTGGCCATCGTTCTTCAACGTAACGACCGTCATCGCTTTGTTGGACGTAGATACCAGGTATTAATCAGTTCTCGACTATAATCTGTTTTATGGCGATTAGCTAACGAGAAACGCTACACTTTAGAAGATTCACAACCCAATGCTAGATGAAGGAACTTTCGAGGACAGTGAGGTTGTCGCGACAGCCACCCACCACACTTCCTCAGTTGCATTCTCATCCTGATGACAATAGTAGAGACAATTCTCAGACGTGACGGTTTATTGCGGGAGCGACAATTATGAAAAGCACTTTAAGAGCTGTGGCGACTGAGAAAGCCCAGGCCTGTGACGGGATCGGCCTAGTTCTCCTTTGCCTCTCAATCAACGCAGCGATAAAGACGAGATTTTCAGATACGTCAAGAGCAAGCAGGTATCGGAGACTGTCCGACAGTCTAAGGCGTTAGAGGAATGGCCTCCTCAATGGACTCGCACCTCATACCGGACTTCCGCCCGTGTTCGTCGAGAAGTACTCGGTTTAGAAGCGCTTAACTCCATACTCACGGTGCCTTGGTGTGGCGACTTGATACACGCAAGTCTAGATCATGGGGCACGTGTCGGAGAAAAAGCACTGACAGGGATAATCTGTTGCAATCAGTGTCGCGACGAATGAGAGGACTTGGCGAGATGCCACTCACATTACTATTCTTTTGCGCCATTCAAAGGTTATAATGCTTCGGCACGATCCAGCTTGGCTGCGCCGGCCCCTTTTTTCTTTTTTTTTCGGTTTTTATGGCCGTCTTCGTTGAACAAAGCACCGCTAGTACTTCCCATGCCCCATTTACTGCAGTGTGGTGACGGGGGGGCTACACCAGTACAGTACGTCAGTTAGAAATGAACGCTGTCCAATTGTGCAATAAACAATTTGTCACAACAGCAGCAACTGGTAAATGCCATGCATCGCATATAACCGCTCGAAAATGCTTCGAATATACGCTTTTAGTGGGCAGGAATGCTTATCTCATTGCAATCAGGCCCTATTTGCACGCCATCGCCCTGAACGAAACTGCCTGTCATAACGCCATTCCCCCACCGCCATGCGCGAGCAGCTGCCAAAATCAATAAAGTACCTGTGATCGCATCTCTCATCAAAATGCTGTCGGGGAATTTTACGCAAATATCGTTAACATGGGTGCGGTCGACTACGGCAACATCACGCTCATACCGCAGGGCACGGCGTATGGCCTACTCATCGGCCTCGCCGTGCTCTTCTGCGCTGTCATCTTGATCGCGGTCAAATTGCAAAAGGTCTACCTTGAGGAGGATTCGGGCAAATCGGAAATGTTCATGGTTGCCAATCGTACAGTGGGAACTGGTTTAACGGCGTCGGCGGTGTTTTCGTCGTGGATGTGGATTAACGAAACCGTAAATTCGGCTCTTAATTGCTATCGGTTTGGCCTTTCTGCCCCAATGGTATTTCCTTTCTCCGAGACTCATGAGTATAGCATATGCTGATGATTGCATAGTGGTATGGATCAGCTCTCTGCTTCCAAATCGCTTTGATGGCCGTAATGGGCGTTCTGTCCAAGATCCGCGTACCCTACGCACACACTTCGCTCGAAATTGTACGCATGCGGTACGGTCATATAGGTCATATTGCTTTTATATGTTTGAACCTGATTCAGAACATTTTTGGATGTTCCAGCATGATCCTGACCGGCTCGCAATTGATCCATGGCATTTCGGGAATGCACTTTGCGGCGGCAACTATTCTCGTGCCGTTGGGAGGTTAGCGTCATTTACCATACCAGAAAGGACTGAGCGGAAGCTAATTGAGTAGTGGTGCTATATACGGCCGTTGGAGGTCTGAAAGCCACCTTCCTGACAGACTTTTTCCACACGGCTATCGCACTTGTCCTGATCCTCTGGTTCACCTTCGGTGTCCTCGTTCATGAACAGATTGGCGGACTGTACGGACTCTACGACAAAGTTATGGCTCTTGAAGATCGTGTGAGCGGCAATTATGCTGGCTCGCTTCTGACGATAAAATCTAAGGGTGGCATCATGTTCGGTCTTGATCTGGCATTCGGAAATCTTGCTCTTGTCGTCATGGTATGCCACTTTTTCTTAATTTCATACTAACTAGTTGCTAATCCTCGCAGGACACCGCATTCTGGCAAAAATCCTTTGCAACTGAAGTCAAGGCTACAGTCCCCGGATACAACTTGGCAGCACTGTGCATCTTCGGCGTCCCCTGGGCCTTGGGCACTGTTATCGGCCTATCTTGCCGTGTCATTCATACTCTCCCCGTCTTCCCGACCTATCCCAATCCGTTTACGCAAGACCAAGTACTCACTGGCTTCGTGATGCCCTACACCATCAAAGCTCTACTGGGCAGTGGTGGTGTGGTGGGTTTTTTCTTGCTGATGTTCATGGCCTTGACCAGTACTGTTTCCTCGTCGATGATTGCGGTCAGCAGTATTCTCTCCTTCGACGTGTACAAGACATACATTAATCCAAAGGCCAACGATAAGCGAGTGGTTAGCATTAGCCATCTGGCCGTGTGCTTCCACGGCGTCTTTATCGCCGGCTTCTCCCTCGCGCTTAACTACGGCGGTGCCAACATGAACTGGATTAATTACTTTGTCCCAATGTTGACATGTCCTGGCATTATGCCCCTCATCTTCACGCTGACTTGGTCTCGCCAGACACGGCTTGCCGCAGTGGTTGCTCCACTTCTAGGTATGGGTTCGGGGATAGCAGTCTGGCTAGGAGCGACGTACTCGATGTACGGAGTTCTCAACATGGATACCACGCAAGAACAAGCTCCGGCTATCTACGGTGCTATAACCGCGCTGTTCTCTCCAGCACTCTACTCCGTCCTCATCTCATTCTACAAGCCTTACGTCTTTGACTGGCGCAATTTCCTCCGCATCGAACTCGCCGACGAGCAACCCATTTCTCCTCCATCCTCGTCCCCCAACGAAACCGAATCAGAGCAGGAGACCTCTGAAAGTGACAAGAAGCAACCTACGGCATCAACAACACCCACCACAGACCTCGACAACGTCTCATCCCCCTTCGACGCCGAAACCCTCCGCCACTTGCATCGCTGGTACCGCATCGCATGGATCACGTTTATCAGCATCCTGCTGCTAACATGGGTGCTATGGCCGCTGCCGCTGTACCGCAACTGGATCTTCAACAAGCCGTTCTTTGCGGGGTGGGTAACTGTTGCGATTATCTGGCAGTTTGTTGCATTCGCGGGGGTTGTGGTTTTCCCCTTGTATGATGGGCGGCATGCTATTACGAAGGGATTTCGGGGTTTGAGGGGGAGTATTCAGTCTGCTTTAAGGAAATAAAATGCTTCTAGGGGTTGTGTATAGATTAATGTTTTTATTAGAGCGTGTCATCTTCGAAAATGATATGGAATAGATGATCTGCACATATTCTGCACTTTACAGATCATAATTCCACAAAATCATCTAAAAATGTCTATCTATAATATACAGTGGAGGTTTTCATTTATTCACTCCCAAAAAAATAAGCGCCAACGCCCAGATGCATATAACACAACACGATGGTATCAATCAACTCTCACCAAACCCCCTCTCCACCGCCCCCAGAATCTCATCCCTCATACCCTGCATCGCCTCAAACGCAATCGAATAATTTCCCAAGCACCTCACGACAAGCCTCAGGTTCTGCTGCAACTCGTTCATGAATCCGTTCAATGGCGGACTTCCGCCACTTGCACTTGTGCTTGTGCTTGAACCATCAATTGCACCGCTACCACCACCGCTGCTATTATATTTGTTGAAAGCTCTCGCCTTGAAACATAGCATCAACAACGCATACCCGGACTGCATGGCACAGCACGCAAATGTCGGCATTGTGCGCGGTATCTCGACACGCGAGTTCCATGATAGATACGGTGGTATCGTCCATGGAATCTCATTGGTTGGGTTCGGGTAGGGTAGGTTATCTAGTAATGAGACGATGCTTAGTGCAGCGTGCAGGCAGACCTTTGAAGAGGCGTGCGAGGAAAAGGGGAATTTGATCGATGGTATGGAAGAGACTGAGCTCGAGCTTGAGGTTGAGTTCTCAGGGGATGGGATTGAGGAGATGGATGGGATAGTCATGCGGCAGCAGGATGGTGTTATTGATGCTGGTGCTAGTGCTGACGCTGACGCTGGGCCTGATCCTCGGAGCGGTTCGAGATCGCAGTGGCGGCGGCGGAAGATGGGGATGTCTTTGAAGGCGTTGAAGCGGTGGGTTTTTATCCGTGCACTTTTGCCTATCTGTCAGCCTTTTTCTTTCATATTCATTGGACGAGAAAAGTACCTCTGCAGCTTGATCTCTGCTATATACCCCATAGCTTTTGACGCTGCTACCTCGGGCGAATCCAACCCCACGACCGGTGTCTGCGGCATCGACGATGACGACGAAGCTTTGCAAAGAAGAAGTATTGAGGTAATCTGGCTGTCGAGTTCTTGCATTCGTTGCGAGATCCAGGATGTGTTGTAGGAGTTTTTTGCTGCTTGGTCAAGGTCGTGTACGAAGGTTGTTGCTTCGAGGATTGTTTGCTGGGCTTCGATTAGGGATTTCCAGCCCTATGCTATTAGATATTGTACGTTGAAGGTGGGATATGGACGACTTACCTCTGGATATGGTGTCACGAAGCGCGGGTCGTGTACGTTGAAAACGGGTGGCTATGTATGTTAGTTCATGTCCAATCTTTTGATATGAGATAGACATACTACACTGCTGACAATAGCCCCTTGACATACAGCCATATACTAAATTATTGTCAGTAGCTTTGACACCACAGCACCACAAGGAAACATACTGTCATCCACCAAGCCCTGCGCTTCGCCTCCGCAAACTCATCCTCCTCAACTGTCTCGTGCAACGAAATACTCATCGCAGTCGTCAATGCCTGTCCAGCCCGGTTCCGCATCTTATTGATATTTCCCCGCTGCGCATACTCATACACGCTCAGCAGAAGTAATGCCAATACACTCTCCAAACACACTGGTACGAACGGATGAAATGGATCGCGGTCGAGTTGCGGTACACCCTCTGACAGAGCACTTGACGGGTCGCTGGATGAAGCCACGAGCTCTGAGTCGACCTCTACAGCTTCGAGAGCGGCCTGTGCAAATGAATGTGCTGTGTCTCGTCTGAGTTTTACGTACTCAGGACGCGAGGGGTCTTTCTCGTCGGGATGCGGTATGAGAACTAGTAGGGCTGCGATGGCGAGGCTCAGTGGACTGGATGGGTGGAACGTCGATTTCTCGCGCAGTGGACGGTTATACACGGGAAGACGTTCAGGTGGTGGAAGCATGGGATAGTATGGGTGGATGAAGATGTAGTACGCGTCGAGACTAAATCGTCAGCATTACCATCAGACTAGCGGGTATCCCGACATACATATCCCCATAACTCCCATATACCTGTACCAGATCCGCCATCGGAAAATGCACATTTGCATCAGGTAGATCAGTACCACCCTGCTCCCCAGCGAATATCGAATCGAATATCGACTCAATCTCCGCGATGGGCATCTCAACATTTCTCAATCCCGCCCCAGGCTCACTCAAATCCATGAGCTGATGGAACCAATCTGCATCATCAGACCCAATCCCAGAACTGAAGCCAGATCCAGACAGAGACGTCGTCTGCTCAACATTCGCCTCAAATGACGACGACTGCTGACTTCTTCTCTCTTCCGTATCCGTCGTATGTGTATCCGACCTGTCATTCTCCTGTACGGTTGGATCGGCGCCTGGCACTGTCGCTACTACCGGAATCGACACAGGTTCCCTTCTTCGCTTGCGATTCTGGCAATTTCGCGGCCCGCCACGCCGACTGGGAACATAAAAGCAACTCGCATTCTTACCGACGCAGTTCGTGCATGGGTTCTGGCCGTCGCAACGTATTCTTAATGTGCGACTGTTATGGGTTAATTTGTCAACTTGCTTGGCTGGGCCGGCCCAGTATAGGGTTGATGAGGGGCGTACCAGGATAGACAAGCTACCTTGACAGGCGGTTTGCTGAACTTCCGGTGCGCAGGACGGGAATCTACAGTGGCCAAGGGTTCCATATTGGATTTATGACAATTGAAAGAAGAAGAAAACAATTGGAATAATTCTGGAAACAAAGAAGGTGGCGCGATGAAAATAGCAAATCCCGGGGGCAAATCCCGGTATCACCATCTACGGAGTATTGCATCATTCCGAATTGGGCAGTTCGCGACTGTACTATGTTAACTTCTGTAGCTCGGTTCTACTGTATATGTTCTTTGTGGAAGACTAGAGTCTTTCTCATTCTGTTTTTGGTCTGAGTTGGTGTTGCTTTTTCCTTTCTGGGCAGCCTGCATATCACATTGCAACGCCGCCCTCCGCAGCGCACAGCGAAATGGTAGTATAGGTGATAGATTTTAAGGGCAAAACCTATTCCCCTCTAGACGATAGATGCCATTTCAACCTCAAACAGTCCATCCTAGATCTACAATTTCCGACAGGACCTCCCCCACACAAACCATGCGTTCTTCTTCAGGTACTCCACATCCATATCTACAATCCGAATTGAATGCAGATCATCGCATTGCACATATTCTTCCTCGTTCATCAATGTCTTTGTCTGCGCTGTTGGGTAAATTCCGTCGGTTCTTCGTATTCGTACACTGCGAGAAACCGTCCGTTAGACACGAGGCTCCCATCTGCAATCCCCAAGGCCTGCAGATCCAACCCCTCAGGAGCAGCAACCCACGCATGGGGCACCCCATGCGCGATGGTAACCATGCATCCCGGTGGAATCACGTATATTTCACCCTTTATTTCCGCTACCGCGATGCCATTGAGGATGATGAGTTTCTCGACGACGTAGCGTAAACCCGGGCCGTCTGCACGGAGACTCATGTGTACATGACGCGGCATGCGACAGGTCGTGTCGAATTGGAAGAGGCCATTGGGCCCGGAAAAGGATATGCAGGAGCTCTCGTGGCCATGGCCCGGGCTAAGGACCTGGAGGGTGCCTGGTAAACCGAGTTCGGGCGAGCAGGCGGGCTTGGTCAGAGAACCTTCACCGTGGACAATGCGCGTGCCATTAGGAAGTGTGAAGCCGAATTCGAATGACATTGTAACCATGAATGTCTTTTACGCAAGACACTATATTGATTACAAGGAGGATAGGCGCACATATATACGGCATGCGAGCTGTCCTTTGCACCGACACATATTAGCCGACAGTCATTTCTACTTATAGCCACGGCTATATCTAGTGCAAAGGAGCCATGGATAAGGGATGCTTGTCTTTAATCTTCAGATTATTTCTTTCCATAGGAAAGGGCAATCACCCGGATGCGTGGTCATCTTCAAAAATAAGCCTCTGCATCATACTTTGTGGTCAGGGTTATAACGCATTTGCTATGTATAAATTGCTACTCTGTCTACAAGTGACAATCTGGAATATCGGTCGAATCATCAATCTCCTTATTGAGAAGCCATCCTCGATGGTCGAGTAGTACACATAAAAACAGTTGACAGACCATCTATATTCCCACCAGTGGTGCAAGCCTGCTCAGCAACATAAGTAGTATGGTATGACAAGCCCAAAGATATTGATGCACTTTTTGATCATGCATTCTGGCTGTTAGCCTGTAAACTGTCCATCCGGCTGCTATTGTCTAATCTCAATCTGGCTAGTCTAGAGCCTTTCCAACGGTGGCCGCAGCCTTCGAAGTGAACCATCCCCACGATTACATGTATCTCGCGGTTATATATATATATATAACCGAGCTCAGGGCATTCCTTGATGCGAGTTATATTACCACTCACAGAATAATGTTACAGCTTGGCACTAGCATTCAAGTTCTGCACCAAATTTACTCGTTGTAGTGCGTTGGGATCATCTAGTCCCTTCATAATAGCATTTGTTGGCTTCTCGCCACCCTGGAGACTTCGCCATCGCCACCGTTGTAACATCTCTTTCCCAACGGCACTCTTGGCACCACCTTCGATGCGATCAGCGACGAAGCTTCCTAGCACCGGAAGAAACTTGAATGCATGGCCGCTTCCTCCCGTGGCTATCATAACACCGGCCTTTCCTGGCACCGCGTCCACCACAAACTGGTTATCAAACGAGTCAGTGTACCAACACAGCCGGGTCCCCGTGACATGTAGCCCATTCTCTCGCAGCTCTGGGAGATAAGTATCCAGAAACGTGCGAATAACTTGCATTGATTTTTCAGGGAGGCCCGTGGTAGTTTCCGGTGCAGTCCATCGGGTAATAGGCACGCTGCGGACTGCACCGTTAGACTGCACCTGCGGATTCGTATACTTTGTTCCGCGATATCCAAGCTTCATCACGCCCTTTTCGTCAATGGGGAAACCGTAGAGGTTCCCGTTTGCTCCCGCGCGGACTTTATATTGCCACACGGGGAAGTTCTCGGGTGAGAAGCGCTCTCGGAGTTGCGGGTTGTTCGATGGGATTTGGATTGTCGCGACTGATCCTGCTGTGGTTTCGCAGAGACCGTCGAGTTCGGGGAGGATGCTGGGAGACCAGCCGCCGCAGGCGATGATAGTCAAGACAGCTTTGTGGATTGCGCCGTTGGATGTGACTATTCCCTGGACGGTTCCATTGGGTTCATAGAAGCGCTCAAAGAGCCCTTTTTGTTTATCGAGGACAAACTTGACCCCGAGTTCTTGTGCTAGATGCAAGGCATATCGACATGCCTTGTCGGCATATACAAACCCACCCACAGCATCAAAGTAACTCTGGTATCCTTCCCCATCTTTCGACAAATGGAATGGATCTACTGCATGTCCACGTCCATCCGATTTGGCTCTTTCCACTTCCTTGGCGTCATGGAAAAGGTACTGTGTATGGCCCAGCCCGGCCTTGGTGAGATTCACGATTGAGCGATGCTCGAATGGATTGGGTCCTTCATCACCAATGTGGTAGTTCCCACAGTTCACGTAGATGCGATCGTTTGTGGTCAATCCCGGTGGTAGCTTTTGGCCTTGGGCCAGGGAGTCATTCCACTTGTTCCATTGCTGGATCGCATTGAGTGTTAGATTCTGGTACCAGGTTTCATCGCCGTATGCAGCGCGGATAATTTTATTGCAGTCTGTCGCTTGTCAATTATCCATCAAGACATCAAAGAGCATGCGACTTACCAGCTGATGCAGCATCGCACCCATTCTCAAAGTCATAAAGAGTCTCGTGGTACGGCTGCTTGTCGAAAACAGTCACATTGCTGAACCCTCGCTGCGCTAGATGAATTGCGCTGCTGAGACCGAAAACACCTGCTCCGACAATAACAATCGACGAGTCCTTTTGCGTCAGAGTATCGCTAGCCATGTTGTAGTTGCGTCTCGATTCTGTTCCTCTGATTCTTTATAACGAGGTTAAACCGCGATCGATACCCCGGCGGGCTCTATATTTTTATATCTTATCATCCAGCTAATATCAGAAGCAAATAAACGCTCGCCACATCTTTCCTCTGTTCTGAGTAGTTGAGATTTTCAAAAGTCCGAATGCATTGTGAGGGGTATCACATCACACCTTATCTGCATTCGGAACCAACCGCCACTCTTTCTGACGTGCGATAGACCGTGGATGAGATAGCTAGAACCGATGTTCAGCAACGGGGGGTTGGTAGCGCTTCTTTTCGTGGTTATCATGAAGGTCAGTGCAACTGAGGGTGATATTGGGTTGGAGGGTGCTGTGTACTCGTATGTATGTACAAAGTTGGGGGTATATAGGGAGGCATGCCACCTCTCGATGAATATAGATAGAATGTAGGAATATCATATTCGAAATGGCCAAAGCAGATACCAAACAACAACCGATCCTCGTGACAGAGGAACCCGGCGTCAATGCCGGTGATTCCATCACAATCGACCCATCAATCGAAAAATCCATTCTCCGGAAACTAGACTTCAAGTATGTGACTGCTTCATTTTCCAAGCATATCAGACAAATGAAAATCATTGACACGTTTCAGGCTACTACCGGTCGTCTCGTTCATGTATTTCTTCAACTCCCTTGACCGAAGCAATCTAGGAAACGCAAAAACAGACGGTCTAGATACAGACTTGCATCTTCGCGGAAACCAGTATAGCATCATTCTTGCGGTTTTCAATGTCACGTTTTGTCTTTTTGATCTTCCGTCAAACCTCCTGCTTAAGAGGTATAGTGGGAAGATCATGCTTCCGGGGATGATGTTGGGATGGTATGTTAAACATAAGCCTGAGCTCTTATAGATCCGTCCGGTAACAAAACAGGGGATCAATCACATTAATCCAATGCGCTGTCCATAACTTTGCCGGCCTCCTGATCTGTCGGCTCATGATGGGTTGTTTCGAAGCTGGATTCATGGGTGAGCCATCTAACCTGTATCTGCACACCCACAGATCAGCAACTAACATCAACAATCACAAGCGGGAACAATCTTCTACCTAACCCAATTCTATAAACGCAACGAGATCGCCTTCCGCCTCTCCATTTTCTACGGCACCGTAACCATCGCCGGTGCTTTCTCCGGCCTCATCTCCTTCGGCGTCTTCCAACTAAAATACAACCACCTGCACGGCTGGCAATACCTCTTCCTCATCGAAGGTGGGTGCACACTTCTCGTCGCCTCGTTTGCGATATGGCACCTCCCAAAAAGCGGCTCACATTGTCACTGGTTTAATGAACTCGAAGCACGGACTGCGCAGCTGAGATTGTTGCAGGATGGGTCTGTACGGACGGGGGATAAGTTGAATATCCGTGATGCGCTGTCTGCGCTGCTGGACTGGCGGATTTTGGTCTGGGCTGTGGCTTGTTTTTGTTATGGGATTGGGCAGTCGTCTGTTAGTAATTTTCTGCCGCAGATGGTTGCGTTGTTGGGGTTTTCGACTGTTAAGACGAATCTGTATACGGTTGCGCCTTATGCCGTGGGAACGGTTGTGCTGTGGTTGCTATGTTGGTCGTCTGACCGTTTCCGGGAACGGTCGTGTCATCTCGCCGGCTCGTTGATGATAACTTTCGTCGGGTACATTATTCTCATCGCCATTGACGCGGAAAAGCACCAAGCAGTGGCGTATTTTGGGTGCTTTTTGCTATGCTGCGGTGCGTTTGCGCCGACTGCGCTGTTTCACAGTTGGCATACGAATAACGTACCCGTTGAGAGTTCACGAGCAGCGATTGTGGGGTTGATGGCTGGGTCTGCGAATTGCGCTGGTATCCCCTCGAGTTTCGCATTCGATGATCGCACAGCACCGAAATACTTGCCCGCGTTGGTCGTTAACTGCATCTTCCTTGTGACCGGCGTGGTTGTGATTCTGGGTCTCGGGATGTGGTTTCGGTACGATAATCATCGGAGAAATAAACTGCAGGGGCTTCGACTTACAGCTGCGGACGTCCCGACGGAGAGCCTTGTGGAGGGATGGAAGGATCCTAGTTGGAGGTGGACTGTTTAGGGCCGGGCAGTTGTGTTTCAGGTTGTGTTTTGGGTAAGTTGGTTGCGCATCATATTATCAATTTAATTCACGGAGTTCGTTATTGCCAATAATTTATTCAATTCCGCCACAACCCTATTGATTCGAGGCGTTTTCTCTTGAGGAAACCTTTTTTTCCTTATCAAGGTAGTCCAGATAGTTATATATACAAGTTCAGAAGGGTATAGATATTGAGAGTCGTTGCATGAAAGGAAAACAAAGGTGGAAAGAGGGAGTAAGAAGTCACAGGAAAGGAAAATGAGAAGGGAATGGCAATGATGTCAATATCATGACCAAGGGAAGGACGGAGACATTAAGAAATATGTATTGTGAAATATACAGAGAAGGGGTATGAAGAGAACGTAACCGCGTCGGCGTAAAATCCAAAAATGACATACCAGTATCCCAGCCATAAAATGCAAGGCGGTGATAATGAATGAAGGCAGCTCATCTTCCCCACATCCGGGATGAAGGCTCGTGAAGTCCATCTTGATGTTGATGCTCCATGGAATCCTTGCTAGAATGGTCGCTAGTAGCGCCCGATGGGTATGCTGGTTCCGAGGTAACCTCGATCGTAGTCTGCTGGTACACCTTGCCAATGGGGGTCAATTCCATGCCTTGGGGCTGCACGATGTTGTCGGTCGACCCATCGCGGACAGTGTGATCTGGATCTTCGTGGTATATCCGAGTGCCCATTTGGCTGGCATCGAGGCGCTTGGGGTCGGCAGTAATGGTCGTCAAGTGGTTTTCCGTCTTGCGGCCCTTGCTGCTTGCGAACTTGCCGTAACTGCGGTCGTGGCTGGGTTCGGATTCGATGATCAGGTTGCGACGAGTCAGGGTGTACAGGAGGACATCAACAAAACCAGAGCTGGTGATCATAGCACCAGCAACACAGAAGTAGACCACGTTCGGTGTGGTACCTTGCGCCGTGGCCATACGTCCGGCGGCCAGTGGAAGAGACAGGACGATATACGCAATCGGGTAGATAACCATGTATCCGATAACGCGACGCAGGCGCTTCAGACTCTCCGTGTGGCTGCTTCCCAAGATAGCTGACTGGGCGATTCTTCGGCGGAGCTGGAACCACATAATGGCGTAGAGGACAACGGTACCGAATTCAGCAAGGAAAATCCAGGTATAATGTGTTGCTAGACGCATATTTTCGTATTTTTCACTGATCCAGCACTAAAATTCGGTTAGTCTCGAAGAACTGAAGGGGAAAAGAGCGCAAACACTCACCCAAGCACCCGACGGAATCAGAACATATCGGCCATGAACGGCCAATGGAACGATAACCAGAATAGCAATAAAGGCCCAAATACCGACGACTCCTGTCACGAAAACACGGTGACTCAATTTCCGGCCCATGGCCACGAGAAGAAAGGTGTGGATAGCGATGGCAAGCACGAAAAGACCACTTGCCGGGTCTCCAATTTGCAGCCAGAGACCCTGCAAAAAACATGCTGCCGTATCCGCTTCGATCTTGTCCTCTGCGATCCATTTTATACAAATCAAGAAGGCCAAGGACTGCTGAAGATCGGCCAAGACAAGGTTGTAGATAAGAACGATATACTGATTGTAGCCGATGTACCGAGCGTAATTGGAGCGCCAGAACAGCATTCGATAAGTGACGAACCCAATGAGGATGATGGACGCTAAGAAGGATAGAATGGCCATCACCGAGACGGCGATGAGGCCCTGATGATGACTGTAAGGAAGTGGGTCGATATCCATGACGGGCTCCCCTTCCTTAGTGAAGGCGCGGCGTCGTAGCATGTCACCGTGGGCGCTGAGGTCGTTGATGCCGCTGTCGCCAAGCGACATCAGCAATACCTTTGCAAGACTCATCGTGAACTATCTTGTACCGATAACACCTTAAACACTCTGATCATCCTCCGGCTGGACGAACTGGGGTCGACGGGAATTAAAGCGGGGAGGGGAAAGAGCGACTGGGAGAAGATAAGGGATTCTCCGGGATGTATAGATATGAAGCCGACGCCCAGACGATGATGGGATAGATCACTTTTCTTTTTCGACTTTTTTTTTGCCCAGGCCGGGGAAGTCACCGGATCTTATTCTGATCCAGCCTGCGATCCAAGCCTATCGAAGAACTGGAGAAAGCCTGTTCCTCAGGGGAATTGTCAGTGGCACTGACTCGAAAAGGTTCACACAAGAGGCAGTTATGTCCAGCTGCCAGGTAAAAAAGAGAAATTAGGAGGAAGACCCAAAAAGAGGAACGGAAAGAATGAAAAAAGTAAAAAAAAGTAAATTCAAGGCGGAATAATCCCAAAGGAGAGGGGACGCTTAACCCTAAGACTTTTGTCCCTGTCCCTATGCAGCGGCGTTGTCGGAGACGCACTACCGACAACCCATGGTGGGCGACGTGGAGATAGTCTGCAGTTGGTATAGATTGTCTTCTGCTATGCATTGGCTGCGGCGAATGATGCATTCGTGCGCAGACCACTCGTATCCACCGGATATTAACTCGAGTTGCCGTCCCAAAGGCTGTGAAATCTTCTTCTCCACACTGGGGCCACAGTGGATTATTGTCAAGAGTCCAAGACAGGGGCTCCGAGCCATGGTTCAGTGGCCACCGAAACTTATTCTTCCACGGAAACACAGCCGAAAGTGAGATGGGGAGATATGAGGGGAGAGGGGGAGCAGTGGGTAGCATGTTACTAGTGCGGAGGTGTATTCCGTATCAAAATCAAATACTATAGGAGACCCTGTCCATATGGACGCTGTATCTGCATGTAACTCCTCATATGTATCCTTATTCTGCTCTCTAACACTCCCTGAATAATACATCAACAGAGACTTGACCCTGACTGGAGCTGAAAAGAATAACTTCAGAGCACAGACATGATGCTGGATTGTCTCCGCTGCAAGAGATTGACAAGTCGAGTTTCATTTCTATATTGGCCACAGGGGAGGCAATCTTCCAGAAACGCCAGACCTGAATACAAGCTCAGCGCACCACCGAGACAGTCGTGAAGAACAGTGCGAGGCTTGCAGCTGCACGAAGTAGATCCCAGAGAGACTATGTGTGTCGATCGCAAACAAAGTCATTGATTATACAGTATGTATTTTTCTTTCATCATGAATTGCCCGTTTCAATCCCACCGGTATGGTGTGAGGGGTAATTAAAAAAAGAAAAAACGAACACACGGAGAGAGAGATAACGAGTCCAACCATACGGTAAACAGCCCATTCGAAGCCGCGCGCGGAAACACCAAGTGGAGGCCCAAGACCGAACAAGATTCTGTAGGTGTTTTTTCTGGCTTCTGTATGGCAGGGGGTGGGGAAATTCTGAATAATCACGCGTGGTCGAGGCAACCAAAGGGATTTAATTCCAGAAAGGCCCAATGGCCCACACAGTCGATCGAAGGAATAATAGAGCTGCCATTCAAATCGTTTTGGTGTGTGCTCTATTATGGGGGTATCCGAACTATCTCGCACATAACACATGGAGACTCCGTAAGGTCTTCGTACCTCCGTACCGAGGAAGTATTTGTTGCACCGTGTATTCCGGGATTTTCTAATATTATCCCGAACAGCTATGCTAGAGCAATCCCGGAATGCTTCCTCTGCCAATCGTCACTGTGGACAGTGAACCGAAGAAGGGGGAAGGGGGAAGGAATTAAACGGGAACAAGCTTTTTCCAGCTCGATTGTCGGCATATGGTATGACTTCTTGGCCGTGCATTTTCTTCTCCCGACCACGGTTCAGCAGCCGAGAAGGTTGAGTCGGATATGAGCCGACCAGATGGTTGTCAGATTCAAAGGTACCAGAGTTGACTACACCGGGTCTCTAATCGTGCATATACGGAGCACGTATTAATTGCAGCCAATACCCCAGGGTCGAGAGTATATTAACGGCAATTTTCGTGGAAGTCGTAGAATCCTATGGCTGTAACTCCGAGTACAGAGTACGGAGTATCTGTCAGAGTACTGCACTCTGCTGTTGCCATTACGCAACCCGATAAAAAAAGAAAAGGAAAAAACGCGTTTCCCCTAGGCTGGTAGACTGGGTCTGGTTGGACCGTACCATCGTCAACCCCCGGTCACGACTCAGGGGACAGCCACAGCGGCCAAATGAGGGACGGCATTGGTTGAAGATCTGCGCCATAACAGATACAAGGTTAGCTGGATAAACTCGGCTGTCAAAGCCAATGCAGAGCATCACAGGAACATCCGTTGCTCGTACCTTGTAGAGTAAGAGACTGATTCCGTAACAGGTAACACCCTTGCCCACAGAAACGTCGGTTTCTCCTTGCCGGAGTGCAACGGTTCTCGGAATGCAAGCGAACCCAGAGGGTGTGGGATCAACACTATCCAAGAGAGCCGACTGGACGCCGTCTAGACTCTAAAAGTCAGCGATTTAAGAGCGTGCACTAGTGGTGGTCATAGCAGGAGGTCCGAGGCCAAGGCATCTTCACGTGAATATACCGGGGTGTTTGTGATATAACATTTAGAGAAACGTTAACCCAATAACGGCCGGATGGTGTAGTTGGTTATCACGTATCGTTAACAGTTCAATAGCTGGTTCCGATAAGGTCCTGGGATCGAGCCCCAGTCTGGTCACTATTTTTCGCTCCTTTTTTTTTTTTCCCTTTTTTTGGTCTCCTACCATCAAATCACTCTCTTTTTCTTATCTCTATCTACTCTATACCATGCTCGATATCTGCTAATTTCCCCCCTACCTGGAATGTCTTCCGTGTCATACTGTCATCCATACAAACACCGCCGGATAATGTCCCGTTCTCCGGGCCCCATTATTGATCCCCCCTGGAACCACCAACCGAGTCCCGCTCGAAATTCTCCTTAAGCGAGTCGTGTCTGAAAGCATTGTTCAGGATGCGTGTATTCTGGCTTCTGTCAACAAGCAAACTGACTGACTGTTGAAGATCCTGATCCTACATTCCCATGATCTTCTCCGGTCCACTGCGGATTACGGAGTACATGTGTCCCCTCGAAAGCGCATCGTGTGCAATTGCCGTTCCTGCACCCGTGTAGTAATCCTGACAAATTCAACTCTATTGCTAACTAGCTGGCTAGGCGAACTCTGAAAAAAAGATACGCGATATGCGAATAAAGCATATGTATTACGTTAACCATTGCCAGTTTGGATTGAGTGCATCCCAAGATCGCTGGTTCGTCTTGCCATTGTCAATCGGATGCATTCCTTCGACAAGTACACCATCGTCATCGCCATTGTCACCATTGTCTAATCTCCTCGTTATACTTCATTAGCCAGATTAGTAGATCAGTTCCGGGTTAGTTCGGCAGCTCTGTCGGCAATCAATTGGCTGTCGATTATCGGTAGGCCCCGGGGGTTTCTCAAACTTTTGACTTCAGGACGTCATAAGCCACACACTGGATAAGCATTGTTTGATTGCCTCGCGATGAACTGTATCATTGGCATTGCTTGTTCTGAGATTAAACAGCGCAATCCATAATGCCGGGTCTATTTTCTTGGAAATTCTTGGTATTACTCTACTGAGTATACAATCCGACTAGGAACCGTCACTCCGGTTTTTTGGAGAACGGTTGCAAGCTCGTACGGACGTATACGATTCATGGGGAACTGCATACTCCGGAGTAATCCGTATGGAGCATGCATACAATAGCCCCTGAAACTGAGGCATTTCCCTGGGCTTCGGTGATGATTGCTGCGAACGTCTTGCCAGCGTGGCCCGTGCCTAGTAAGCTATGTTATACCAAGAAACCAAGATTCCATTGACCACGAGAAACACGTTGAATGCTACTGCATGTGTCCAGAATGCTCGTTCCCCTACAGGGCTCGTGATGATCCACGACAAGGATTGAATCCTTTCTGCGGAGGCCTCGTGTTCGGCAAGGTTGCTTTTTCGTTTGTCTTGTCTCTGCACGTTCCGTCTGGGCTACAGGGCTGCTAGTCGTGGAGATGAAGAAAAAGAAAAAGCTCCCGTGATAACGCATTCTGGACATAGCTTGAATAAAGTCAAATCTTCTCTCCATCTTGACTCTTGACGTTGATAGGCCATTGTTTGCAAAAACTCAGGAATACACCGGCAGACCTTCGGAAGCGATAACCGATAAATGAGATCAATCTCACAGCTCCCTACTACGTATGGAATACGGAATTCTCTAGACGCAGAGATTTACGTTTGCTTGTTCGCAAGCTCCAACAAATCCTCTTTCTGAGTTCAAACGTCCAATTGCCGTCTGGATATAGATCCTGGTCACTGTCTCAGGAGATCTCGGGATCTGGGTCAGATCATCATCTGGTTCGGTGCTTGCCGCCAACATGCAGATGTGGCTTTTTCTTTTCGTATCTTGATCTACTTCGGGTTTAAAGTCAATTTACAAATCATACTTTGGTATACATAGCACTTGTCTATGGTGCGTACTTGTTGCGTGCCTGACCGTTCCACGGAAACCCTCGACCTGTTCCCGTGCATGAAAATTTTATCGGTACTTTCCATACCCACGCTACTAAAGTATGAACCACTGACCGAAAAGCACGGGTGAACTTTAATCTGAAACGCGGTGACGATGTGCGAAATGAGATCTCTGCGTACTTCGTATTCCCCATTTTATCATATCATTTTTGCCTTTCAGCTCTTCTCCAAAATGCAGATTCATGCTCCGCATACACTAATTTACTAATGAACTACCGATGATATATATGAATACACATAGCTCCTGCAGAAAGCTTGGCGCCCCTTTTTGGCACTCGCGGCGGAGATTGCGGAAATAGCGGTGATGTTATCCGCTGCGCTTATAAGTATGTATACAGAAGAGAAGAGAAGACGCTTATGCAGCATCACCCGAATAAGCTCACACCGTTCTGCATATTTAGGCAGCCATATGCACGGTGGTCATAGTGTTCTCGCCTCTGTCATGTCTTACGATTGATCAGTCACGACAACGGAGTACACCGTACTCCGTGAGTACATATGGAGTACTTTGTACAAGTAGAGCTGCAGATTCGTCTCTTACCCCTTCAGGAAGGTGTTCACAAGCTACGCCACCGTAGCTGGACCAACTAGATGGTGTGAGTTTGTTGACAAATTTCGCTAGATGTGTATCATTGTACTTTGATAGACTATACCGCTCCAGGGAATTCTTGGACAGTGTACTCTGTGCTCCGTGCTCTGAAAATCATGGAGATAGATCATGGGGATACGTGGTGGATGGCTTGTGCTGGTGGCTCTTGCTGGAAATGGTATCTGCATGCGTTGGAAATCTTGAGATTCATGACTTGGATTCGAGTGATCAACGGACTCGGTTATCCAGTTTAGACCGTTTGTAGACGAGTCATTATAGATATATGATATTCTATCACTGAGTCAGATACAGTAGCTGGTATAGTTGACGCAACCTGCACGCCCATGCAAACATCACCTCGCCATGCGCGTATATGTACAATCTAGATTCGGCACCATAATCCCACCATCCACCCGTTGCAGTAGCCTTGCCAGAAGCATTATATTCCCAAGCGCACTGCTCCAGCTCGGGACTGGCGAGCTCAATGCGTTGCGTGGTCCTCTGTCGTTTGCAGACGACGAGTTCACTCAATTGGAGTCTCGAAGTCATCCGAATTGTCGGCTTGATTTCTGCATTGTGCAACTAAATGGCGCTGTCTCTGAGCTGGGAATAGATTACCTAAATAGGTCGCCAGGGAGTAATACGAATAGATCAAGCGAGAAGGAGAGAGAGCATACCCTGGGAGTGTCCAAATAGCACATAACGATCTCTGGGTCCAGTCAATGCAGTAGCAAGATCACCCGCTGGTGGACGAATGTCCTGGGCCATTTTGTAAGGCGAATTCAAACATGCTCCCAATTATTTGATCTCTCATCCTCACTGTCGGTCCAAGTAAAAGTGGTTCCGCTCCTATCGGCAAGTGCGAGGATTATACCAGCTCTAAACAGGTCTGGAACGGATTATCCGTTAGCATAAGCGATTTTCTTTAGACTGATAAACAGGACTTACAATATACACCACACCACAAGCATCTCCCATGATGCTTAAATTGGATATCCAAACGACATTACACGCAGCTCGCACGCATCTCGTAGCGCAGTTCTCCAGAATCAGCGTGTTCCAAAAGTCTGTTGTAGGCCCTACATCGTCTACCCACTCACCTTCTAATCTTCAGGTTCTGGCTCACACGGTTGAACAAAATTCGCTAAATACAGCCACTACGCCTTTGACAGGCGCCACATACTGGCGTGTTACTGTCGCATTTGATTATATGTTCTCTGCAACTTATGCAGACAGAAGCTATGCGCCTGCGCTAGTTCTAAAAAATAGAGAACGATACCTGTCAGTGCACAATGTCAGCCACGTTGTTCCAGGCAGATGAGGTTTCGCTTGTGGAGGTACAGGTGGGTTCGACAATATTCAGTGTTCAATATCCAACCAGTAAGAATAATTCCAGAGTAAGGAATATCCAGGTCAATCCTGTCGCGCTTATTCTACACGCAGAGCAAGATGAATGGATGCATCTTTAAGCAGGAAGACCTCTAATCGCGACGTCACATGTCGTGGTCGCATACCAGATTACAACCTAAGGCATGCATCACAGATACAAGCATATACAGCAATTCATATATAGCGGAGGTATAGGACACGCGAGATTGTGCCTTGGGAAAAAACGACAATGATCAGAGACTTGTCCTCTTCACAATCCCAAACCCAAGTGAGCCTTCCTTCACCAACTTCGTTTCTCAAGGAATCCCAGCCCTACACTGTGTTGTCCCGAAGCACATTGGTCACGGTTTGAAGGTTTCCCCAGCACGTTTTGAATGTTTCCTCTATTCTCTGAGCCTTATGGACCATGTCCCTTCTTCGGTTCACCAATGTCCGCTATTAGCATCCTCGCCTCGTAAAGCAGCGCTTATATACTCAGCAAGAACAAGAATCTTCTCCTCCTCATACTGCCGTCCAATCAACTGCAACCCAACAGGCGCACCTTCATAATCTCGGACATCATCTGCCATAATAAGCACTTCGCTCAAACCCCAGTGATCAGGTAATGAAATGAATACTTACACCCCTCAGCCTCTACCCCATCAACACTCTCATCCACATGCGTAACTGGCAAAGTAACAGTTGAGTAATCCAACATATTCACAAAAGTCGTCGATCCCGGATGCACATGCTTCCCTGGCAGCGCAGCTGCCATAATAGTCGTCGGGCAAATGAGCGCATCAACCGGTCTTCCCGTTGTTGTTCGACTAGCGGTACTATTCCAGTAATCCATGTAAACTTTTTGCCAGCGACGTTTGGAGACGTTGAGGGCGAAGATCTCAGAGGCGTTTTTTGGGGTCTTGCTAGGGAGGTTGAGGATCCACGCCAGTTGGGGGACTGGGGTTTCGCCGGAGGCGGCTAGTTGGGTGTTTATGTCATGGCCGGCGTCGAGGGTGTAGGCGTCGTACTGTATTCAGGGTTAGCATGGTGGTTTTCCGCTTCTAGAGAATCTTGTGTTGTACCACGAGGGAACATCCTTCAGCGTGGGACGGGGGTTTCCAGTCAATAACCTGCATAATCAGTTTAACTCTCATGCAACATCCATACAAAAACATGGGGAATAACCTCGTGGCCAAGCGTAACCAGAACCTCCCTAACCAACCTAACAGCCCTCAAAATCGGCGGATGCGGTTTCATAATCCCATCATCCTCAAACATCCCAAACGCCATCTTCCCCTTCGCCTCCCCACAAAGCAACCCCTTAATCCTCTCCTCAACCTCTCCCCTCCACGGAATCGGCAAACTACCCGGATCATACACCCACGGCTCCATCCCCAACACACTTTTCATCGCAAGCCTAACCGCCCCAACACTCCCCGCCATAGGCCCAACAACAGAAGGCACTGTATTCTGCCCATCCATCGAATTCTCCGCTCCCTCATACGGGATCCTCCCCACAGAAGTCCGCAACCCATAGATCCCATTAAACGCAGCAGGAACTCGAATACTACCCCCGATATCCGTCCCAAAACCCAACGGCGAGCCCTTCAGCGCAAGCAACGCGCCCTCGCCGCCAGAACTACCACCGGACGATAAATGCCGGTTTCGAGGATTCCAGGTATACCCAATAATGTTGTTGGCTGTTTCGCCGGACATTAGGCCCGTGGGGACGCTGGTTTTGCAGTAGAGGACTGCGCCGAGGGAGCGGAGGAGGAGGACGAGTTCGCTTTCGGTGGTGGGGGGCTGGTCAATGTGGCTGATGTAACCCATTGTTGTTGAGGTGTTTTTGATGTTGAATTGGTCTTTTAGGCTGATGGGGAGACCATGGAGGGGGCCGGTTGGTTTCTGGTGGACTTTGAAATGGGCGTCGAGACGGTTTGCGTCTTCTAGGGCTGCTTCTGGGAAGAACTCGTGAAGACAATTGAGCTTTCAATTAGTTAGCCTTGATATATATCTCCAATGCAACCTGCGAAGCTTACATATTGATGCGCCAGCGCAGCCCGGTGACAAAACGCCTCAGTAACTTCCACCGCAGACCACTCTCCAGACGTCGTCTTCTGGATTATCACTGTTGCGTCACATTCCGTGATTTCAATTTCTCTTTGCTCTAAGAATTGATGCAGATACGGGCCGGTGATATCAGGCTGCTCGTCTGCGGTGGGGATTGAGTCCACAAGAAGTCGCCATTTTTGAGGAATTGATTCAATAATGGCGCAGCGTTTGGCTTCTGCTCGTTGCTGCCAGGGTTTCGTCATTTTGAAGGATCGCTTTTTGTGTGGAAATGGGTTTATCTGCCGTCTGACAGTTTAAGAAGGTCATAAAGTGGAGATCGATATGACAATTGCCGGCAATTATCCGATGCGGAAAAGTAATCTACTACATTCCTACTACTACACACGTCCGATGTGCAAGAATAATAGAGGAAGTAAAATACGGCTGTGGAATTGAAGAATCTACATACATCAAAGCAGCGCAGATAGCAGATATGTCTCGTCTCAATTCATAGATCATTTATTCCATTCCTCGTCAGTAGATTCGTTTCGTTATCGTAGTCAAACCCTCCACATGCAGATCCAAGAGCGGGCCAAAGATGGGTATCAATCATGGTTGTTGCTTCAAATTTTTCTTTTTTCTTATGCTGAAGGGTAAGGTCCATTCTGTTCAAGTTCATCTCCTCCGTGATCCACGTTCTCTATCTCGCCGACTTATGTGCGGCTCCTCTTCACCTTCGTCTTCTTCCTCGACAGGGGCAGGAGTACGTCGCTCGGTACGGCGCTTGGGCCGGCGTCGTCGGTTCGAACTTATATTACTTGCTGAATCATCTGGTGCAAGCGAAATGCCATCGTCTAGGAATTCATCATCTAGTCCGCTATCGAATCCGTTGCCCACTGCGGAAGGCGTGCCCATGCGAGCTTCGACGTAGGATCCACGACGGTTTTGGTTAGCGAGAGACAGACCGGCTCCTCGTTCCCGTAGCGTCTGTCGAACTGTCTCCGCCTTGCAGTGCAGAGCTTCAAACGCATCTTCGAGAGCTTCCATTCCAAGATAGATTTCACGTTCCACCTCAGCCAAGGCAGCAATTTCCATCTCCTCGTCTATAGTGATGGGTCCGCCAGACAATGCAGGGTTAGAAGTCATGTTGTACGGCTGACTGGCTGGTCTGTCCATACCAGGAGTCGGGCCCCGAGACGCACTGAAGGGCGTGTTTGAGCGACTTCCCCAACGTGGGGTAGAGCCTGAGACTGGCGGGATCGCATCTTCTGCGCCGCTCCGGAGGAAGCCATCAAAACGACCAGAAATCAAGATATCCCATTCATCGTCACTGATGGCGGACAGCGTTGCCAAAACATGGTGAATGCCTGGGTTGTTGAGCATATAAATAGCCGTCTCAGGGTCACGCGGAAGGGATGAAAGTCGATATAGTCGCTGAATGGCAGATGCAGATGAGATCAGGGCGTGCGGGCGCGAGCGAGATGGCCCGCCAACAGCACTGGGAGTCGGTGAGATAGACGAAATACCCAGGAGTGAACAGAAGAGCTGACGCTGCTCAGATCCCAGGTGTGTCAGCATAGCAAACGTCAATGTATCATCGTCCACAGCATCCGGTGCGCTAGTAGCTTGTCCTGCCTGCTCACCGAGCCACTTGTCGACGGCGAGCTTGGTCTTGCGAGACTGTCGAACATAGTGCTCACGATATTCCTCCGGGATGTCAATGTCCATCTTCTGCATGGGAATATGCTCTTCTCCTGAGGCTCCAGTATCGACGACAGACGGCGCCATCATAAATGGTGGCCACGTAGGGAGCTCCTTGCGACCCGAGACCAGCTCCAAAACTTCTCCCCAACTGACGCCCGGATGAGGCTCTGTCATATCTTCGTTTTCACACATCAAGCAATTGCACGATTCACACGAAATATCACGGGCAAAAACGGCCTCCAGACGGTCCAGCAAGCGACGAGCGACCGATCGATATCCAGTCGCCACAGCAAGCGATCCATTCTTTGTCATGACATTCTGGTACTCATCCAAGAGGCTTCCAAACGGCTCAAAAATCCTGCGTGCTGCAATGTGCGGTTGGTACGATGGAGGGGGTGCGATATCCCGGTAGTGCGATCCCAGTAGGAGGGTTTTGTGAGTGTGACGATCCAATCCACCGTTCTGAAGCAGATAGTCCACTCTCGGGATGGATGCAGGCACCTCCGGCGGCGGGGGAGGTGGGGGAGGAGCACCAAAGCCGGAATTAGTAGTAGGAGGTCGTCCATGGTCGTGCGCAGCATCGGCCGGGCTGCGGTAGCCTGGACTGTTGTGATGACGGTGGTGGTAAGGTGACGACGTCGACGACCGATTCTGAGTCCGAGACGGTGGCTTGTCTGGCGTCTTCACTCTCCGAGTACCGCTGGATCTATACTGCGGCCCGATGGTAGCATCTGAGCCGTTGGCGGACCCAGCTGCCGCTGGCGATCGAGGCGGAGACCTAACATCCCTATGAGTAGACGCCCGTTTGGGCAACGTAGTTTCCTCCGTAACCTTAGATCTGGATGGTTTGTGGCTGGCTGTCCTAGAAGGCATATCTCTTTCATAACTGCTGGTTATCTTAGATTTTGGGGTCTCCGGTCGCATCGTTCTGGTTGATTTGCTCTCTTCTTCCTTTGAGCGCAGGCTCGACGACGATCGATTCGATCCGGTTCGGATGCGGATCTTGGTCTTGGGTCTTTCTGTGCTCTCCTCTTTCTTCTCCTGTTTGTCGCCCACGGAGCTTCCTTTCCGCGAGTGCTGATCCAGACCTGTCAACGGAGGGCTAGGAGGTGCATGATGATGATTGTTATTGCTGTTGCCGTTCTCTGTGTGATGGCGATCCTCCTTCTGTGGTGTCTCTGTCAAATCAGTTGGATCGGGCGTAGGAGGGTCCGGACCTCCAACGAATTCCTTGCTATGGGCTTTGGAGAAGTTTGGATACGGCATACTCGTTCTCGACTCGAGAAACGAGGCTGCTGGATTGTCGACGGCCGGCATCGAGAATCTGCGTGAACTGGTGGGAGAAGTCGGAGTAGTGGACGGTGTAGAGGACTGAGCCGTGGAAAATTCCCGTTCTGGATCCCTGGTTGACGAATGGGTGGAACCGTAGGACGAACAGTGTTTGCGATGACGATGTGTGGGTTGGGACAAAGAGGAAGAGGAGGTTCGGTGTTTTCTATGGCGGTTCCTGTCGCGATCACGTTCATTTAGTCTCAATGGTAGCATGATGTGTAGTGGGCTCGACATTATGGGCAACAATATGAACAACGAAGTGTTCCTGTTTTCCAAAAAATCTTTCTATCCCACCGGGATCGGTTTGGTGTGTTCCGTTTAGTTACCTCGTATAGATCAAAACAAAACAAAGAAAAGTGAATCAAAATCAACAAAATGAACGCAAGCGTGCTTTTCTTTTTGGAGGATTCGAAATCGGATGTCGGTAACAGACTTGCTGAAGATAGGTAAAAAGAGTGAATGAAGAAAAGAGGTCGGACGAGCACTCAGGTCACACTCCGGCAGTACAAGGTGAAGTTCCCTATACTCAATTTTCCTTCGTCTCTTTCGTCTTCCACTCTTGTCTCTCTTTCTAGCTGTCTTATTTGGCGCTTAGACGTTTCTGTAGGACACTGGGATCTCACTGGCCGGATGAAAGGCGCTCGGGGGTGGTATTGAGTCACTTGATTCGGATGCCGCTGCTGCTGAGCTGTGAAGAGTGCGACATCCCGTCGGGGAGAGCAGGATAGAGCAGGAATAAGAAATGAAGGATGAAAATACAAATGAAAAACAACGATAATGATGGGAGGTAGGAAGAATGGAAGAAAGAAGAAATCAGGAAAAGAACAGACGCGAGTATCGTGGGATGGTTGGCGGTGAGGCGCTTCGACGTCTTTCGCCGCGGCAACTGACGTGGACGTATAAGTATTCCACAGGTTATAAATATAGGAAGTTGTTATAGAAGAAATAGATCTCACAGGTAGATTAATCTCTGGGCATATGAATGATGACAGAACCATAGATTGGCGATATGGCGGCCATGTTTATGCCCAAGGCAATCACTCCGTGGTTCAGGTATCATTATATTTTAGGCTATTGTAACTAGTTATAGGGTATCAATCCAAGGTAAATGACAAGTAAAAACTCCAACGAGATGCAAAATACAGATGCAAGTTAATGTCATGTCAGCCCATTCGCAACCCTCTTCACCGGTGACATCTCCAATACCCAATTCCCCTCCTCCTCATGCGCCACCCCTCCTCTCCGCGCCGCTCGCATCATCTTCTCGCTCGCCCTTGTTCTCTCTCCCGTCTCCCGGTCCCAGACCCATCCCTCTTTGAGCCACATCCAGGTCAAATATGCGCGCAATTCCTTGTCGTGGGGTAGAACCGATTTCCATTCCGGTATAAAGTCCGATGTCTGTGCGCCTGTTCCGTTCCAGTCCCGTGCAAGCCCTCGTAGTTCGTCCCGGCCGAAGATCCGCCAGCTATCCAAAGAGTAAGTGCCAACGCCGGGGAGGTGTGCAATTTCCCAGGCTACTCTGGGATCATCGTCATCAATATATTCGTCCTGGCTAATGTCTCTTCCGTCCATTTTGCGGGGGTAGTGGAGTTCGCGATATCGTCTTCCTTTAATGGGGGGATTTGCAAGCCATGTCTGCGCTAGACTGATACATTTCTTTGCACGTTGGTTTTGAAACCCCAGGCTATACATTATTGAAACTAGTCCAGATAGCTCTGCTGCGGCCATAGCTTCCACTGTAGGGTAACGATTGAAAACTTGAAAAAGAACTGGGATAGCAACTCCGCCTCTGGTTCGGTTCAGAAAAATGGTAGCAATGAGTAGTCGAAAGGGATTGTGGGCGAGCTGCTCCTGGATCAGGCCAAACGATGGAGCATCAATTGGCGGAAACGGAAGACATGATTCAGGCTCAATAAGAGGGTTCGGGAAATAACGTGATATCTTGGGGATTTTGGAGCGCGACAATTTAACAGGCTGAGATACATTCTTTTTGGTTGGAGTTCTCGGGACAACAGCTGAATGGGAATTGGTCTCCTTATCTCCAGCAATAGAACTGACATCGCTAGGCCCATCACCAAGACACGTATCTGAGTCGGAACAAAGAAAGTCAGAAAAGAAATCGAGCTTTTCCAGAAGACGTGTTTCCTCTGGTACTGAATTCTTTTGTTCTGTAGGTTGGAATTCAGCTTTGTTGCAAATGCACGGTTTTTTGATGGATCTCTCTTTCTGTGAAGTATCAAAATACTTGGATCTCACCTCCTCGCCCGCGATTACACGGCGCGAATCCTCGGTTTCTATAAATCCAAGTCCCAATGCGGATCTTCCAAGATGTTCGAATAAGCCATTGGTTCGTCTTCAGGGTCGTCCGCAATCAGACGGTGGTTTTCAGCATTCTCCTTAGGATCAGGTTGAGGCCCTTCAGGTTGCCTCCTAGAACGCTGTTCAGATTGCTCTTGATTCTTCAAATCTCGCTTTTTTTGTTTTCGCTTCAGACGCTTGCGCCGATTCTTTTCTGTTTTCTTCTCCTCCACTGACATCACTCCAGGCAGAGTCGTGGTGGCAAGAATCTCGTTGACATCTGGAACCCTTTGTCTCTCCCTTTCTGCTCGTGTCTTTTTCGTCTTCGGCTCAAACAATGCGGGATCAATAATAGCGACCACTTCGTTGCTGAAATCAAGCTTAGGAGTATTTTTCTCGCTGAAGTTATGCATGCCTTCACGAGGCTTTCTTTCATTCTCCTTTGTTTTCGACGTCAACTTCGGTGGCTTGGGAGAAGCAATGGCTTCCTCACTGGCCCCCGGTTTGCCAGCATCGTCCACATTATTATTGTCATCGTCAAGAGAAATTGAGTGATTCCGTAGGCCTCGGTCTGAGTCGGCCAGATGGTTTTCTTCATGAGGTTTGCCGCTCACACGGATCCTCTCGGGGAGAGCTGTCGATTGAGCTGGTTGAACTAGTTGTGCGGCAGTAGATTCCTGGGCATCTGTTTCGGTGGCAGTTCGTGTATCAGGTTCGTTTTCGACCTCGTCATCAAGAGGAATCAGCTCTGCTTTTAATCTCAAATCAGAATATCTGCTCTTGTTGGGGCTGCTGTGGATCGACGAAGCAGGAGCATTATTACTATCTTTGGACTCATATTTTGAGACAGCGTTCTTTTTGGTAGACTCGGGCGATTTCGGCGGGGTAATAGCTATAAAATCACCATCCACGTTTAATTGAGGCGCGTAGTTTGGCAGAACGCTCGCTGTATCTTTAATGTTGATGGTTTCGGGTTTAGCCGCTTCAACTTGTATCGTGCCGTTCTCTGGTCTCGAGCGTTTCTCCTTCTTGCTCTTATCTGGCTTATCCTTGTCCTTTTCGGCGCGTCTCTTTCTCTTTCGTTCCTTCCTGAACAAGGCCTCATCTTTTTCGTCAAATTCTTCTCCAAACTCCGAAAGATCGTCGTCGACACCATGTCCCTCCGCCCAGGTCTCGAGATAGATCCTTCTGATGAACCTCACTAGCTCGTTGACGGCAGACTGATTTAATCCCAACGTATCTGCCTTCCCACGCACATCGCCCACGAACTGCCGCCTGGCGCACCGTCCGACCGGATATCCATGTCCCTTCATAAAAGGATGCGACTCTATCAATCCAAGCAACTCGGATTGCTGGTCCGATCCAAGAGATGCTAGTATTCTATCTTCCGGGATACCGGCTTCGTTGACGGGTAGATTGTTGTTTGACTCGGTTTCGTGGACGTCGTCATTCTGAAGAACAGGGACAGTATCTATTTCCATTTCGCCGTCATGATCAGCGTTGTCGAAATTCATAGCATCTGCTTCGGGCTCGGGCTCGAGTTCAAGTGCAGGCGCAGGCGTAGTCTCAGGTTCAGGTTCAGGTGCAAGCTCCCCCAAATCAGTCTCACTCTCACACTGATCCTCCACAACCCTTGTAATCAATTTCTGCGTCGCAGCAGCCTTTGCGCATGTAACACGACCCGACGCGAAATAAGGCGATTTCCTCTTCCCCGACGACTGCGCCCGTCCATTACTTGTACCATTATTACCTGTCTTCTCCGACGTATTTGCATTTGTAGACAGCTCATATGTAGACTCGTCGTCGCGCGCGCCGTCTAACCCTTGCATCTTTATTTCTTCTCCACCTTCGCCAATTCCCAGAAGACTTGATTTGTACTCATCAAAGCTGATATTGTAAGTATGTTCGTCGGAGAGGATGTTTTCGACCGTGTTTAGGTAGATCTCGTCGTTGAATGGTTGGTATGCGTCTGTGTTGACGGCAGCTGCCATTCTCTGCTTTTGGCTGCGCGTCTGCATTTTTGGGGGATTGGGGTGCTAGTTTATTATACGTTTTCTTCGATCAAGTTTGATTGTTCTATGTGGGTTATTCGTGGTACGCGGTATTCGGCATGGTAAGGCTAGGTCGCGAAGGTGTTGAATCTGCTGGAGCTAAAAAAGCTCAATGTCAGCAATATTTTCTTTCATAATTGGTATACTATATGAAAAATAAATAAAAGCAAACCAACTTGCAGGTGAAATCCTTTAAAGTGCCACCCAGCTATTCCAACGCCATCCGGGTCTTGTTTGAGCATACTCAGCATAGGGACATGTCGGCGGGTTGATAACACAGAATTCTTATAACACAATATATTAAGTGAATCTAGGGCTCTAGAATTGAGCTCCTATTGTATTCACCATGCCCAGTGGACTGTTTTGACTGTTATCAGAATCGGGACATGAATTGGAGGTCAGAAAATAGTGGAGAATGCACAGGCCAATTGCCATATCGGTACAGTTGACAGTACAGAGTAGTTGGGATGCTCTAGAACCATTCACGGAAAATATGCAGCAATATTCATTGGTATTCTCGTAAAATATATCTATTTACATCTGATCTATATCCAATCCCATAGCAATCATAATACAGCCCTTCAATCTACACGCTTAGAGCTTGCCAACCTTGTCGGGGAATCCAAAATCAACACCAAACGGAGGGAAGACGAAGCGCTGAAACGCTTGTTTTGCAGCAAGATCATCGCTATACTTAGCGATGGTCGCAATGTCCGAGTCATCCAGGTGGATCAGTTTTCGGTTGTCTTCGATGCGAGAGGGAGTAACTGATTTGGCGAGGACGGAGGAGCCACGGGCAACTGGAAATCGAGATTGTCAGCATTTCTCACACTTCTTTGGGCTTGACGAAGATGAGGATAGGTGTACTCACTGTGCCAGCTCAGCAGAACAGTAGCTGGAGTAACGCCCCGCTTCTGAGCCACTTCGACAATCGGTGCTGCCGTGAAGAGCGGGCTACCTGTGCTGCCTAGAGGACTGTACGCAGTAATAACAATACCCTTCTCCTTGCAGAAGTCGACGATCTCCTGCTGTGGAAGGGAGGGGTGGTTCTCGATTTGGTTGACAGCTGGAACAACAGTAGCTTGGGGCAGGAGCTCCTCGAGGTACTTCACACTGTAGTTGGAGACACCAATGGCTTTGACCTTGCCGGTGGTCAGGAGCTTCTCCATGCTCTTCCAGGTGGTGACGTGGGAGTGCGAGTGAACGATATCGCGGGAACCGTCTTCGTGCTTGGGGAAGAGAGGGTGGTTTCCTGTCATCGTCGCCTGTCAGAACTGCGCAGATATCGTAGAAAACTAGTTACACTCACCATTAGGATTCATAGCCAACGGCCAGTGAACAAGGTACAAGTCTAAGTAGTCCAAGCCTAGCTTCTTCAGACTCTCATCCAATGCCTCCTCCACGCGGGAGTGAAATGTGCACCACAGCTTGGTGGTCACAAACAATTCCTCCCGCTTAACGAGGCCGGCGTCAATGGCGTCCTTGATACCCTTTCCGACCTCCTCTTCGTTCTGGTAGCAGCAGGCGCCATCGATGTGACGGTAACCAGCCTTGATAGCGTGGAAAACGGCTCTTTCGACTTCACCCGGGGCTGATTGCCAAGTTCCTGTACAGAATTAGACAGTGTGAAGAACAATGAATTATGTTATCGCATACCCAGTCCCAAGGCGGGTATCTCAGCTCCAGTGTTGAGCTTGAATCGCACGTCCGCAGCAGCAGTCATTGTGAGGGTATCTTAGAGAATAGTATTGTGGAAGGGAAAATGAAGAATGAGTATGAAAAGGGAAGAGAAAAGACGCGCTGAAAAGGACCGTCTATTACCCCTCCATCCCCTCATCCCCGCTATTGCGATTCCCCATGTCGACCAGGATCCAGTACAACCCATGTATGTCTTACTCAGCATCCTGACTGTATCGGGTACCTTTCCTCCTTCTGGATAGCCGTCAAGAACCTCAGCAACACTCGCCGAAAGATGCCTTCTCGATTTGAAATCCGAGTCCTGATTGACCCGGCCCGTAAGTCTGTGATATCATCCCGTGCAACTCAAATTAAGATTCAAACTGATGTAAGATAGCAGAATTTCCCCTTTCGGCCATCCCGCGCCCTCGGAAAACAGAATCCAGGCGAAACCCGCCACTGCAGCCATGGAGAGACTTTCCCTCCGCGGTTGCACTGCGGCGGAATCTTGAATCCGGGGAATGAAAGGGCTGGTCGATCTGGAGGAATGAAGCCTCAAGGGATCTCCGGGCGTGGGATTCGTTACTCTAACGGATTCTAAGGGCCGTGGCGACCTCTGTGTGTGAAATTCTTGCATGAATCGTGCTTTGGTGGGAGATCTATTGTCATATATATGACCCATCAGACCCCAGGTTAACTCTGTCAACAACATCAACTATTTTACTAAACACAATTCATCAAAAGCCTTTCTCTTTTTCACAACCACAAAAGGAACAATGGCACCAGCAGCAGTTGACGCACCCCCCCTGGCTCCCGTCTTCTCCAAGCGGGACGGCCACGCCCTCGAGGACCTGTCCGACGCCATTGACGATGTCAACGTCCTCAAGGATACCCTGAAGAAGCAGCAAGCCGCTGAGAAGAAACAACAAGAAGAGAGGGATCTCTACGAACAATCCGAGTTCGACCAGGACAAGGACAAGACCCAGTTCCGCCAATACGAAGACGCCTGTGACCGGGTCAAGAACTTCTACAAGGAACAGCATACCAAGCAAACAGTGGCCTATAACCTCAAAGCTCGCAGCATGTTCCACTCCAAGACCCGCGCCGAGATGACCGTCTGGGAGGCCATGGAGAAACTCAACACCCTCATCGACGAGTCCGACCCAGACACCAGTCTCTCCCAAATCGAGCACCTTCTCCAGTCCGCAGAAGCCATCCGCCGCGACGGCAAGCCCCGCTGGATGCAGCTTACTGGCCTCATCCACGACTTGGGCAAGCTGCTCTACTTCTTCGATGCACAGGGCCAGTGGGATGTCGTTGGTGACACCTTCCCCGTCGGTCTTGGTTTCGACGACCGCATCATCTACGGCTCCGAGTCCTTCAAGGATAACCCGGACTACTACGACCCCATTTACAGCTCCAAGTTCGGTATCTACACCCCCGGCTGCGGACTCGATAATGTCATGCTCTCATGGGGCCACGACGAGTACCTCTACCACGTTGCCAAGGAGCAGTCGATTCTGCCCCCTGAGGCGCTCGCCATGATCCGCTACCACTCGTTCTACCCCTGGCACAACGCCGGTGCGTACCATGAGCTCATGGACGACCACGACAAGGATATGCTCCGCGCTGTCAAGGCCTTCAACCCGTATGACCTTTACAGCAAGAGCGATGGTATTCCGAGTGTGGAGGAGCTGAAGCCCTACTACATGGAGCTTATCGACGAGTACTTCCCCACGAAGGTTCTCAAGTGGTAGATGCTTGGTTTGAACTTGTTTTTGTATAGAGATTGTTTTTATTTTTATTTTTATTTTCATTTTGTTCTGATTACCGTTATTGTCCACGGTTTCTTTTTGCATGGTTTAAGCGATGATTTACGAGTTTCAATGAATTATTTCCACGATCACTTTATTCTTTGTGTCCATGAATTACGCTTGTAGAAATTGTATATTGATTGAGATTATCTTAAGTTTGAAGTCTTCTAGGGGTTCGTGCTATTGTATGAGTATCTGTGACGGCGACGGCTCTTGTGCATCGGAATCGGGTTCCCGACAGTGGCACCAAGTTTGGGAGCACCTACAGAGGACTTAGTGCAGGATAATCAATAATTGATGCTTTTTTAGATAGAACTAATGCATTGCAGTGAAATATTGCTATGCTCATGTGTAAAATATCGAGGCAGGTGGTGGTCATACGGTAAGATGTAGGGTATGGAAGGTGCAAAGTCTATCCACAGGTCTATTAAGCTTACAACCTCGACTTATCCGCCCGACTCCCATCCTCATCAAAGAAAATCTTCTGCCCCGTAATCAACGATTCCTGCAGGGCGGCTCCAATGCGAACAGCCTGCACAGCACCCTCCAATTTCAACGGCACAGGCTTATTCTCCAAACACGATGCCGTGAACTCATTCGCCTCAGTAACAAAAGCATACTCGAATCGGTCATAGTAATGCTGCGGAATCTCGCGGTGCACGCCCCCGTTATCATAAGTGTTGACCAGGTTGATCTGCGGCTGCGCATTGACAGTAACCTTGCCCTTCGTCCCGATGATCTCAGTTGTATCCTCTTGCCCCGCAGCCATCATCCGTGAAGCGTAGAAATACGCCATCTTGCCATTATAGAACTCCACCAGGCCGACAGCATTATCGCGGTCGTTGTGCTTGCGCAGGTCTGGCTCGACCGCTGTGATTCCCACCGCCGACACGGACTTGACCTTGCTATCTTGTCCAAAGAACCAGAGTGCCAGGTCGATGTCATGAATTGAGCAGTCGACGAAGATGCCGCCCGAGAACTGGGCGTAGGCGACGAAGAAGCCTGACGGGTCCAGCTTATCGCATGTTTGGCTGCGCAGGACGGAGGGGGAGCCTAGGGTACCGGTGGACATTTTGCGGTGGGCGTCGCGGTAGGAGGCGTCAAAGCGGCGGGAGAAACCGCACATTACTTTAAGATGGGACTTCTTGGCGGCTGCGTCGAGGACTTGTTGTGACTATTATCGTCTACCGTTAGTGGTTGATCAAGATGCTTTGGGATATAAGTGGAGGCATACAATCTCAACATTCGTCGAAAGAGGCTTCTCGCAAAGAACATGCTTCTCGGCGTCAATGGCCTTGATGGCCTGTTCAGCGTGGACGGCTGTTGCAGAAGCAACAACCACGGCTTCTAATCCCTCGTGCTTTAGCATGTCATCGTAGTTCTTGTACAATTTGACGCCGTACGGAGCGAGGTGCTCCTTGGCCCATTCGATCTCAGTATCATCAGGGGTACTGGCAGCAACCAGCTCTGCGCGGGGAGTGCGTTCAAGGAAGTTCAGAGCATGACGCTTGCCCATGCGGCCGAGACCAGCGCATCCGATTCGAAGCTTTGAGACGGACATGGTGGATGTAGATGTGATGAATGGAGGAAGGAGGAGTGGTGACTTGGGAGACTGGCTTGAGTAACAAAGAAAATCTCTCTCTATTTAAAAAATCAAGCACACCGCTTCGTCGGAAACCATTGTACAGAGCTTCAGGGATCGAAGCCATCCATCGCGACGTTGTCATTGCTACCCCGGAATTGGTAACGTACCCAGACCGCCAGCTAGTGAATTGCCTCGGAAAAGGGCTTCCACGACGAGGACTACATATCACGGAGTAGAACCAATTCTCCACAGGGAAGTGTTCAAGTCGGAATTCTCTTGAACATTTATCCTGGTTGGTTCTAGACGGTGAATGGTTCTTTTCCTGTTGAGTATGATCTGCGGACTATGCTATGGGATTTGCAGGGTCTCGAGCATTGACCATACATAGAGGATATTTGGAATGGATTACCCGGATAATGAAGCAAATTTGTTGCAATTATATAATGCTTTTGATTTTGCTCTATTCTTTCTTTGGGGGGGGGGGGAAGGGGTATCTGTTTAATAGTTGGCAAGATCAAGTTGTGATTCCAGTATATTTTAGTGACTATTTTAAGGTGAGTTATATAACGCTTACGGAAAAGACATTGTAGATTACCTTTTCCGGCATGGTGTAATGGTAAACATCGCCGTCTTTCACACGGCAGCTCGGGGTTCGATTCCCCGTACCGGAATTTCAGTTTTTTTTTTTTGTATTTCTATTTTCTTTTCGTTTCTTTTTTCTTTCCCTTCCAACGTTGGCTGTTTTTAAGACTTAAATTGATGTAAATGACAGGAGACACTTATTTCAAACCCGATATTGGCTGTCTCCTGTTGGAATATATATCTGCAATGTTGACCCTGGCTTCTCCCATGTTCTATTTAACTAGAGCATGCCCACGGAGTAGATAGAGGCAAACCCAATTCAGACCCGTTAAATCAGCTTTCCTGAACATAAAAGTTCATGAAAATGACAGCGGCAACTTAACGCTGAGACCTAGCAATCAACTAAGTCAAATTTCGACTGCGACAACGCCGACATTGATTCTACTACAGTACGAACTCTTTGATCTCTTTTATATAAGAATCTTTACATACTCACAAGTGATACGCAATGACTGACACACGATGACTGACCACTCAAGAGGATAATATGTATAGAATCACGGAGGAATAAGAAGCTTTGTGAAATAGCGATGATAACCTAAATGGCAAGCAAGACTACAGATCTTTGTGTATAACTGCCGCGTGCAATTTCGCGTTGCGTATATAATATACTATCCTAAATCACGCCTCGCACCTCATCGTCCGATTTGGTAAATCCTATCCCCAGTCTGTGCAACGAGTCTAACCGCTAATACTCGAGTAATAGTTACACAATTCACCACTACAACTACCACAACTACCACTTCTCTCCTTCCCTCCTTCCCTCCGTCCACAATAGGTCATGCTCGCAAAACCTCGATATTGGAACCAAGCGGCGTTCGCAAACTACCTTGGCGGATCCGAAGACGAAATCGCAACTGTGAGACGGGGTCTCGTGCAATTGATGAAATCCTACGACGCAATCCACAAGTCGTTCAAGACCAAAGCAGCGAAGAATGGATTAAAAGAGCTATTGTTGTTGAATCTCGACAAACTACTAGTGCTCGTCCGAGATGCACACACGAATGACGTTCGCTTGGAGGGGTTGATGGGTCTGGCGTACAAGGTCAACAATTCGCATAAGCAGTATGGGCGCGAGAAAATGGCTTTTATAATCACGAATAAACCGCCTGCGGTTAGGGATAACGATGAGAACGATGGCAATGACGATGGCGATGAAAGTAGCAGCGAGGAAAGTGGAGAGGAGGAGGATTCAAGCGATGGCGGTAGCAGCACTGGGAATGGCCCGGGGATACACAAGTTCAACGATCAACTAAAGCGTGAAGTCAATGATACCAGAAATCGTGACACGCCTTCAGAAAGCAGGGGTCATGAGCGGATCCGCGATATTAGAAGTGACCATAGCATAAGCCATAGCAGAAGCCACAGCAGGGCCAACCATAGCAGTCCGGCAGTCGTCCTGAACAGAGACTCTGCGGCAGAGCCCCCGAACAAGCGCATGAGACCATCAGAACCACTAGCACCACTGAAAACACTCTCTGGACCTTTCCCGTCTTTCCCTCAATATCAGAAACCCAGCTATAATCTCCCTGTTCGCAACATATGGGTGGTAAATGAGGTCGACAATGAAAGTCACGGCCTCTGTCCTATCATGGAACTCGTCAAGAAAGACACCGATAAGAACAATCTTCAACTCTCGGACCTGGACTTTGACCACTGGCTGTTGATTGTGCAGGCCCATTGTGGCTACGACTATAGTATCCACCGGTTGGAATATCGGCCGTCAGCTACCATCACCTTGCCTCTAATGATCGGTCGGTCGTTTACAGTCCCCATGCGCACCCCGAGTCAGTGGCGGGGTGCACTGAACTCACTGCTACAAGCTAAACCAGACCAGGATCCAGTTTTTCACCTGGTATCTCAATGTGAGTAACTCCAAGTCTTGTTGTGCTCTTCGTGGTAAATCCTGACAATGTCTTAGCAGAATCAGGACCAGGGTCAACACATTATTTACCTGAATTTGATTTTTCTCAGATATACCAGCCTGCTACCAGGTTGAGTCCTACCGTGAAGCAAGAGTACGTGGAATAGCTCTTAGAGCAAAGAGCGGGAAACAGTCCGCGCTAGATGCAGCCCAACATATACCAACAGCTACACGTGCAGCTGTGCGCATTCCATACTTATAGATTAATATAAATTAACCTAGCTTGACAGCCATTAGTTAGGCCCGTACTTCTGCTCTCACCGTGTTATACCAAATAGGCAATGCTCAATGCCCGTACTATGCAATTGCAGCCAATAGTCCCGCTTACTAAGCCCATACACCGGGATCGGCTCCAGCTACTCACCGCCCGGCAGATTCGGACCAATGCCATAGCGGCAAGACATTTACAGGACATGGGAGTCCTCAGTACGGAGTATCTTTCAGCTGCTGCTTTCTTTCGTGATTCCTATCGTGTTCTGGCTCATCCCATTCTCTGCTTCTTTTCCAGTCGGATTTATCGCGTCGAGTTTTGTCACACTGCGTGTTGGGACCCTCTGTTTTTGCTGAACAGAAGAGCTTCCGTCCCTGTGGGATTCGCGGAAGAGATGCGCAAAGTGCGCCGTAGCCACACGAAGTCCCGGAAGGGCTGTGTGCAGTGCAAGAATGGTCATGTGAAGGTCGGTTATATTGCATAGCTTCGTCTTTTTTTTTTTTTTTTTTTTCAGGATTGCACACGAATGAGGATGGCCGTGGCCCTTTATATAGGGACAGCTCCGCGGGCGCGGTTTCGGGCGTACCGAATACGGCGTATCCCATCCCGTGTACACCCCAGAAATACCCACACCGAGGAATGACAGACGGGCCCGTTCACATTCGCATGTCTCTGCTGCATATTAATGGCTCCGCGTATTTCGTGAATGCAATCGACTAACGCTCAGACAGTGCGATGAGGTGATGCCCACTTGTGGCTTGTGCCTGAAACGCAAGCAAGAATGTACCTGGCCGTCTGGCTCCGGAAATGACACCCACAGCCAGGAATCCTCCACTCCCAAAGATGGCAGTGATGCACATATTGGGACGAGTGAGTCGCCATCGTCCTTTGCTTCGGACCACATACGGTGTTTGGAGATGCGCCTGTTCCACCATTATATGGTCGAGACGTACCGCTCGATGCCGGAGGGTAGACTCACCCATTATCACTATCAAGTGATTATTCCAAAATTTGCAGCCAATCATGCGTTTCTGTTGGATGCTATGCTGGCCCTGTCGGCTATGCACCTTGCTTTCTCCGAAACCAACGAGACTCGTTACTGGTTAGAGCTTGGATTGAAGTATCAGACCAGTGCTTGCACTTCTCTTAGTCGACTATTGACAGTTGACGTGACGCCTGAATATTTTGGACCGGCCTTTCTTAGCTCTGTATTTATTATGTTAACTGCAACCGCCTATCCCAGTGTCTCGCGGGACAACATTGCCTTCAATGCGCTTTCTCAGGTGCTGGAGATGCGGCGGTTACTAGCTGGATGCTCACTTCTGATGGAGAGATTGCGAAATAGCCCCTCACCTGAAATGATGCAGTGGTTCAATGTTCAAGGTTCCGTCCGAAAGGATGATTCCCCAAGAGAAAAGTGAGTTGTTTTGTTCCCTGCGGATATATTTGCAGCGTAAATGCTAACAATTGGACTAGAATACAGGATCAAAACATGCACCGAATCCACGGGTTTGTTTCCCGACTAATTTTGTACAACGCACTGAGCTAACACATTTCAAGTGCCCTCAGTGATTCACTTCAACGATTATATCCGCTCATCGAGAGTTGCAGCGATTTCCGGAGAAGTCCCTACAAGAATACATGGGACTTGTTGAGCGATTCCGTTCATAGTTGGCCAATGTACGGTGCTCGAGGTGGTTTTATAGCATTGCCGATTCATGTCAGCGATTCCTTCCTCACCTTACTGCAGGAGGACGATTGGATGGCTCGTATCTTATTTCTACACTACGGTGTAGGTCTGCAGCTCCTCTCAGACCGATGGTATGTTGGCGATTGGGGACAACGTATGGTGGCTTCGATTGTGGAATCTATGGAAAGCGAGATCCCACCTGAATGGGTGAGCGTCGTGACGTGGGCGAGAATGGCAGTCGGGCTAGATGCTACTGTGCCGTGAACCGAGCCAGACCATCGGTACTGACAAACCGACAAACGCTATTATCAATCTGCCTGCTGAAAACCGGGTAGGTTCAGGTCTGACAAAGCACGATCCACGGGCACGTGATTATTGGGACCGAATTTCAACCAAATAATTGGGCATCCGCATATAAGCTCATACCTGCGCGAAGGCACGGAATCATACGCTAGGACTTTCTTCAACCACTGCCAGCCCAAAGGATGTTTTGAACATGACGCGGCGGCTTTCCGGTTGGTCGCGAATCTCTAGCACATGGTGTACTTATCATTGCGCTGTCACCGTCTTATCTTGCTCTTTGTCCGAGAACTGACCTTCCGGTATATCCAGAGTTGAGCCCTGGGTTCTTCGTCCCGCGAATTTTTTTTTTTTTTTTCTTTTTCATCTCAGCCGGTCGAATGGTTAAGTTCTGGTTATTTAACTTTATGATCAACAACCAGCCATAGCTAAACAGTGGTCGTCGTACCACAACAAGTTAGAGCCGGAAATCTGTGGGGCAAGGTCCATATCAACCAGAGGGGCATCGTCACGTTCGGGATTTAGGGACAATGGGCTCACTAGAGAAACAGAAGGTAATCAATAATTTTCCGAATATTTCAGGTTTTCTTGGTCATGGTATTCACCTATATAATCTGCGTAGCTCCCGCTGTATTCGGCTCAGCTTCCATCCCAGGTCAACGGCAGACGAAGAGGCATATCGAAGATGGCAATTCTCAGAGTTGCTACTGCGGTGATTCTATCGTTGGTATTGCTTATCGTGTATTTGCCGACCGTGTACACTTCGCCCGTATTCGCACGCGACCGGTATGATTCTGGAGAAGCATCCGGTGAAATCGAAGCCGGCAAGTTGGGAGCAGTCGCAAGCGAAAGTGCACTGTGTAGTAGTTACGGTACCGATATGTTAGAGAAGGGTGGAAATGCTGCTGATGCTGTGGGTACCCTGATCCTGTCCGTTGATCCGAATCGAGGCACTAATTGACTATGTAGTTGGTTGCAACATCGGTTTGTATTGGAACGGTAGCCATGTACCACAGCGGTATTGGCGGAGGCGGTTTTGTGCTTGTCAGGGCTCCAGACGGTTCATTCGAGTCCATTGACTATCGTGAGACGGCTCCGGCTGCGGCTTTCCAGGATATGTTCGAGAACAACACAGAAGCATCCACGAAAGGGGGTCTAGCAAGCGGCGTACCCGGTGATTTGCGAGGCCTCGAATATCTGCACAAGAAATACGGCTCTCTCCCATGGTCAACAGTCCTCCAACCCGCAATTCAAACCGCGCGCCAAGGCTTCACCGTCAACGAGGACTTACTCCATTATATAGACACCGCCATCACAGAAAACGCAAATGAAGATTTTCTCTGCAACGATCCTAGCTGGGCAATCGATTTCTGCCCGCACGGGACCCGCCTCGTCCTTGGCGAGACAATGACACGCAAACGCTACGCAGACACCCTCGAAGCGATCGCCAAGCAAGGCCCAGGCGTTTTCTACAGCGGACCCATTGCCGAAGCGACCATTCGAGCCGTGCAATTGGCAAACGGCATGATGACCCTGGATGATCTGCGGAACTATACCGCTGTCACCCGTGACACGGCGCAGATCGATTACCGAGGCTTTACGGTGACGAGTACGACGGCTCCGACTAGTGGTGCTATTGGGTTGAGTATATTGAAGATCTTGGAGGGATATGGGGACTTTTTTGCGTCGGATAGTGTTAATCTTAGTACGCATCGGTTGGACGAGGCTATTCGATTTGGATATGGAGAGGTTTGTGTTGGCCGATCAGACTCCGTGAATTGATACTGATTTGGTGCAGAGAACACTACTTGGCGATCCATTCTTCGTCGATGGAATGAAAGAGTACCAAGCAGATATTCTAAAGCAGTCGACCATCAATGAAATCAGAAACAAGATATCAGACCGTCGGACGCAGAATGTATCTGTATACGACCCCGAAGGATTCGAGAGTATCGAAACGTAAGTCACCATATCCCTCCTGGCCATTCTGTACATTAACCTAACAACTCTAGTCCCGGAACCTCCCACATCTCCGTAGTCGACCACACTGGCCTCGCGATTTCCACCACAACGACAGTAAATACACTCTTCGGATCAAAAGTCATGGTCCCCGAAACTGGCATCGTCATGAATAATGAAATGAACGGTTAGCCCTTTCCCCTCCCGTTACTCCCTTTAAACAACCATCTGACAAGAAAGCAGACTTTTCCATCCCTGGTTCCTCCTCCAGCTTTGGTTACATCCCCTCGGAAGCAAACTATATCCATCCACACAAACGCCCCCTCTCCTCCACAACACCGACGATAATAACTCACTCATCCAATGGAACCCTCTTCTTCATCGCAGGTTCCGCAGGCGGAAGTCGTATTATCACAGCCACAGTGCAGAACATAATCCACGTCGTTGATCAGGGTCTTTCGGCGGCGGAAGCACTAGCGCAGCCAAGATTGCATGACCAGCTTATTCCAAACCAAGTGGCTTTTGAGTGGACGTTTGATAATTCAACGGTGGCGGATATGAAAAGGAGGGGACATAATGTGACGTGGATGGAGTTAGGAAAAAGTACGGCGCAGGTTATTAGGGTGTTGGGGGATGGGGGGTTTGAGGCGGCGGGAGAGCCGAGGCAGAGGAATTCGGGGGGTGTTGTTGTGTAGTTGTGTTTATTATGGTGGTTTTGATCTAATGTTAAATAACGCCGAAAGAAGAGATTTATAGTAGGTACACATACATAGAAAAACATGGCACAGCACAGGACAATCTATTTTAAACCAACCCACACTCTCTCCAGTAGAACCTTGCCATTCTTCCTTGTAACAATCTCGCGATATCCCAACTCCTTCACCTCCTCATCACCTCCAACACCGCCACCACCATGATCCATCCGCTGCGTTCCCCAGACCCTCAACGCATACAATCTCCTCGCCTCTCTTTCGATGACAATTGTGCTCGCCTGGTTTTCATTCAACACTTTTCTCTCTACCATAATATCAAACGCCTCTTGTAGAAGTTTGTACGGCAATCCGATCAAAATGGCAGATACGAGAACCACCTCAGGGTTAGGTTTCTGTTGTTCCTCGACAGCACCGAAGGATCCGAACTTGACCTCTGCCAGTTTGGGATTTGAGAGGATACTCCCAGGCACTTTACGGAGGTGTTCGGGGATGCGGTCGGGAATGCCTTTGGATTGCGCAGAGACGTAGAGTGTGAACGTCTCCTGTTTCTCCTGGAGGTGCTGTAAGTAAGTGGCTATGAAGGTAAAGAGGTACGTCCTTAGACGAGGAATCCAAGTATCCACAAGCTCCTGTTCCGCTGAAAATGATAACGATAGCGGATATCCAGGGCAGGTAATAATGAACTTGGAAACGGACAGCGCAAAGTAGAGCACCATCTCGATGTTATCCCAATCCACGAATTCCATTACCAACTTCATGCCTGTTTCCATGATCTCGAGGAGGCCCAGAAACGCGCCAGAAATGGCGTAGCAGATTGCAAAATCAGCGGTTGCGGCGCTCATTCCAAACTTCACTGTTTTATGCACATCCTCGCCGGTATATCCCATCGCCATCATAGTGAAACGCGGAAGGTTCTGCCTGTCGAGCAACGGCAGGCCGTAGAGATTCTGTAGCGCGGTTTCGAACGCCTTCACCATGTAAAAGGTCTCGCCGACAAGGGCTTCGATGTCGACCTCGTCTGTGCTTTTACTGCCGTTGGAAGACGAGTGGTGGTCGAAGCAGCTGAAAATTGCGGCTAGGCGGGGGCTGCGCGCAAGCAGGGCTCTGTGGGCGGGAAAAGTGAGGTAGAAGCTGTTTCTCGGGGATTCGAGAATGATGCGGCTGTCGGTAAAGGATCCGGCTTCTAGGAGGGCTAGGGTGTGCGTTCTCAGGCTGATGTCGCTGGCAGTAGTGCTTTGTTCCAGGACAATAATAGGTTTCTGGCTAGCCGTCTCAGGCTTGGGGTCAGCTGGAGCAGACATTTCTGGGATAGCGTTTTCCTTGTTTCTACTGCCGCCTTCATAAGTCTGCTCTTTGGAGAAAGCACAGTAGCAACAATCGCCGGAATGATGAGCACAGCAACACGACATCGGAAAAGGACAATACTGGCAGTGTCGAGGTTTATGCACGCAACATCCAGGAACAAATTGGCACAGCATCCGTGTGTGTTCAGGACAGACAGTAGGAACAGGAGGTTGCTCTGGCACGTTGTAAGGCTGCTGCTGCGGCTGTTCCGGTGGTCGTTCCTGCTGGGCCGGTTTGTCGCCATGGATGCTAGCAGCGCGGACGGTAGCATCTGTCGTCGTGGAGGGGGTCAACTCGGTTACTGATGGACTGTCACTATCCCCTGCGTAGAGACGTTGGGAGCTGAGGAATTTCTGGAGACCATCTTCATTATTCTTGACCTAAAGGAATCAGAAACCATCAACCAAGTTGCAGGGCGAGGAGTGAACAAACCTCACCCACTTTATGCCAACTCGCGCTGTTGACGATGAACGGCGTAGGAGTACCCAGCGGCATTGGCTGAACTAGCTGAGACAGACTCTCAGTCTCAGTCTCAACAGTGCTGCCTTCAGTCTGCTCCAGCTCCAGCTCCAGCTCCAGCTTATCCTTTGCCTTACTCCGACTTTTGGGCTTCTTCTTCTTATTTTTCTTCTTCTTCTTCGCTGACGTGGCCTGAGAATTGTCTTGGGGCTGCTTCTCATGCTCGTTGTTCTCCGCAGTAGTCGTGTTCGTGTTCGTAGCTGGCTTCGCGGGTGTTGCTGATGCTGATTCCATCGTTGCCGTCATCATCGGAGTGGGGGATTTGCGTATAGTCCAGATGGTGGTATCTTCAGCTGGGTTTTCGTATTTGGAGGTCTGAGTATAGGATTCGCCCAGGGGATTCTGTTCCAGTGGATCTGCGAAGGAGGGGATGTCGGAGAGGCAGACTGAATGGCGTCTGAGCATGGTTGGTGTGGATGGAAAAAGGAGCGGAGAATAGAAAGAGGAAGAGAAAAGAAAGGTTGCTAACAGAGAAGAGTTCCGAGGGAAGATATTTATGAAAGGGAGAGAAAACAGGTCGCTAAATGGAAAGATTCATTGTGGTAGTGGTTTTATTTCAGTAAGGTATTACTGTGAATTTTATATGGTGATACTTCTTATATAAAATGTGAATAATTGTTATTATTATCCTAGTATATTGGACTGTGAATAGAGTCTTACTGTATAACACTATTTCCTTAGATCTCTTTGTACAAGGGAAAGGAAGCATTAGGGCTGTACACTGAATAATGGACTCACTAAGACAATACTATTGATATTACTACCATAATTGTCTCTTCTATTGTATCCTTTTGAGTCTGGTCCTTGGTTGTACACTATCTGGGTCCATGTTTCCTGCTACAAGCGCAGCAATCAAAGGCTCCCTGAACGGCGAGTGCCACCTCATCTGGAAAATCAACATCATTATCAATGAATGTACGCAATTGCATTCCTCCAAGCCATTGGGGATCGACCGTGGTTCAGGATGAAGGACTGTGGTAAATGGTTACCAAAACGTTGAGTAAGCAAAGTCGTGCAACCTCGACATGATTCCTTCCATCGGCCCTCTCGCGACAGGAATGGGCGCGTTCACCTCTCCAGTGCTAGATAAAGCCCAATGGTTATAATTTCCAAGGAGTTGACCGCATCTTGATAAATCATGTTAGATCTCCGTTAACTAAATGTCCAGTTTGAAGCACTCACCTCCTCAATCCGCACACCCTGGGACCAGAGCATTTCTCAAGCAAAACCTTCCTCGCATAAAACTCTGACATAGAGCTTGGACCCGCTATCTTCCTGCCCTCCTTGAATATATAGTAATGACACAGAACCCACTCCAAGCTCCCGGTCCCCGACAGGTACCCCTCAAGCACAGCAGTGACATTTGGGATATGCCCCCCTCCCTGTCCCTGTATTAGTCGACTTTCTAAGAGAAACTTGAGTTCCTTGATTCTGCGTTCCAAAGAAAATTATGGGGGTGACAGTTTGTCGAGCCCTTTTGAGTACGGCAGAACCGTTGTTAGGGTCGGTCGTGTCAGTTTGTATGTGCTTCGATAGCTTGGCAGAATTCTGGGGTAATGGGGCTAGAGGATATTGGCTAGGGACTATGACCTTGCTTTGCATAGCTCACTCGGAAGGGGCGGAGCGGGTTTTCTTTTTGCCATCGTTGTCAAGTGCTTTAGTATGGTGAGCGAAGTAGTGGAACAACTACGGAATGACAACCAGCTCATGATTGCTACTACATCAAAATCGCATACATATTGTCCCGCAGCATCATTTAGGCTGTATGCTTCTTGAATCATTCGAAAAGCTTGATCTTGTCACTCTAGTACCTGCCCAATCCTGCCGTACCATGTAAATCCATTGGTCCTGTGATCATATTTGCTTTCTGGAGAATATTAGATAGATTCGTAGTCTGAAACGAAATTCGAAACTGGATTGCCATCGGCTGCTATCTTATGGTCGATTGAAGCATACTTGGCGATGTCCAATTTTGAAGGTAATGTTTTTCGAATGCCAACACCATCCCGATAGGACCAAAAACAGCGGCATTGACAGCAAGCTTCCTTTCAACTATTTCCAGCTACTGACGAGAGGGCCCTCGACTCTGAGAAGATTTCGGGGTATCGGCGTCAATCGAGCCAGCTCGTCTGTGCGCATCGATGGCTTGGCGATAATTGGAGTTGCTCCTACAGTGCACTCAGCAACGATGATCCAGTGGCATGATTTCTGCTTGTTTCGGATGAAACTTACTCAGAAGGTAGGGGAGTAGCGGCGTCGGCATCAATGGAGCCGGAACGCTTGTCTGACTCGACAGCTTGGCGATAGACGGAGTTGCCTCTAAAGAGTGCTTAGCAAGGATGATCAGTGGCTCCTGTCTTAGATGACGCTCACTCTCTTTCTGCCATGGCTTAACTAGATGTTATGATAATTGGGATTGATTAAAAGTAAGTAACTTGAGAGTGCTTGTTGGTTTTCTAACAGCGAATATAAACGATATCCAATGAGGGAAGAAAGACGTAATGCCTACGTAGTAGGTGAGGACCCTAATCCCGTCTGACTATACAGTCTTTCCATTCTTCCTCCCTTCTTATCTCGATTTTCTCCAAGTATCTTATGCACAGTGTCGTGACCTCGTTGGCTGACTGCTGATTTCCGATGTCGGTCTCTCGGTATCCGCTTGCGATGCGAATTGACTATCAACCACGACGGTGAGGGGTGTACGAATATTTTACTAGGAAACGATTATTTGGATAGACGAGACCCATGGGAGGGGAATTGGCTGAGGTTGGAAGGAAATCATCCCAAATGGAAGCTTCACAGACAGGCGTGGAGTCCTGATTAGGGCTTACTCCTCGAGAAACAGGCTGATTGCAACCTCATAGCCTTTCGCAAACAGCCTAAGTAAAAGCATTATGGGCACCACGACTGGTATCCAAAAAGTATGCCAGTAGCATTGATGACATGTTTCTTAATGAGCGGACTGTTAATAAGTTTTAGCTTCTCGACTCTGGTTTCCACAAAATTTCATTGGAGTAGCTTGTAAAAAAAAATTTTTGGTGCCGGAAGATCGACATAAGATTAATTGTTCCAGCATATATGCTTCGATAGCTGAGTGTTTTCGGAAGTAGGAGTAGGAAACTACAGCCACCTATTCCAGATGGCGTATCCTATAGAGCGTTCATAATAGATGACCACAGCAGAAGCTATTTAGCAAGATAACTTGCTCAACGGCAATTCTCGCAGCAGGAGATATGTAGAACTGAGTTGATGGATTAGCAGAGAAACAGTAGTGAAGAGAAATCTTCGGACATAACATTTATGCACACCATGCACACCATGCACATCAATGACTAACCAGGCGCAAAACCACGAATTGCCTCACAAGACTACATCAATTTAACCAACACCTCTACTCTTCCCATCCCACGGAATTCATATATCTGGCTCCCTTTTTTTCTCTAAATAAACACAGCATATTCCATTTCCGGACCTCAACTCCGCCGTCCCGTCCATCTAATCTAGGGTCCAACCGCCCTTATCAATCTCTAACCCTACTGGGCAATCCGACCTACTCAGTTGAGTATCTTCCCCGACCCTGATACCGCACATCAGTGGACACCATGACATCTTCGTTAAGTGATAATCGGGGTCCCCTCGCCACTTACATTGGAGACAGTGCCGTTTTTTTGTGGAGGCCTGGACCCTAGACCCCTCTTGTCAGTTGGTCCGGCCTGTCGTTAATGGATGGACGCGCGTAGGTGGTATATATACCTTCGACAACGCAACTTTCTCTACTTGTACTTCATCTATATCACTTCTTTCTTGTTTTATACCTTACTAGGCCATAACAAAGCCATAAAAAAGCACAAGAAACGAAAATGGTCCTCCTCCGCTCCATCTATGCCACCACGGCCACCGTCCTTCTGGGCGCGCAGTCCGTTGCTGCTGCCCCCGTCGCTGCCGCCGCTCCCAACCTCGGATCGGACATCTCCAGCGGTTTCCAGGAAGCCGGGGACAAAATCAAGGGTGTTTTCGAACGCTGTGTCCCCGATGACCCGACCTCGTGCGGCTCCGGTAACGTCAAGCGTGAAGCTGGAATTGCGTCCGACATCAAGGGTGGTCTTGAGGATGCTGGCGAGAAGATCAAGGATACCTTCACTAAGCGCTGCATTCCTGATGACCCGACTTCTTGCAGCCCTGGTGACTTCAAGCGCGAAGCTGGAATTGCATCCGACATCAAAGGTGGTCTCGAGGATGCTGGCGAGAAGATCAAAGATACTTTCACCAAGCGCTGTGTCGTTGACGATCCGACTCCCTGCGAATCTGAAATTTCTTAATAGAAATATGGCAGTGCGATGCTATACTACGCTGCCTTACTATGCTGACATGAGGATGAGTTGACGTCGTGTATATAACGGAGGTTTTTACTTTGTCTAATGATAATCTATTCCTAATCCTGGACGGTATAAGCGAGTAAATATCATTACCATGTAAATACACGTATCCAAGAAAAGAGTAAAAGGAAAGACACCATTCCACCCGCTCAACAAATGCACTGGTATATAACTGAACATCATCAGATATAGAAAGAGAAATAAAAAAGGAAAGGAAAGGTATCAATCATCACTAAAACGGAATAAGGCAGAATGGTATATAGCGAATAAAAATCAATAGAAATCAAAAGATTAGAACATACTCCCATCAAAAGGAACTTTAGGCGGAGGATACGACGGCGGCGGATGCGGCATAGGTGGCGGCGCAGTACCACTCATAATCTCCTGTCTCGCCTTGATACTTAACGAGCCACCCTCGCTCGAGGTCTTGCGCAACCGGTTCCGCGAAAGTGGCCGCTCGTCCTCGAACATGCTGCGCTCGTTGGCCTGCGTTCCTCGTCCGCTGGATGCGTATTCGCTGGGTGAGGGTGTTTGGGTGTCCTGCTTCTCGCCCTTCAATGCGCCCAGGATTGTTTGCGTGGTTGTTTGTCGTCGACGGCGCGGGTTCATGGGTGGAACTGGGGGCGTTTCCATGCCGTTGGTTAGGCTTGCGCCTGGGGGGAGGCCGATCGTGGGGACGTTGGATGTGGATGAGAGTAGGGTAGGTTCTGAGATTTGAAGCTTGTTGATTGGGCGCTTTTGCAGGCCTGTATGGCCGGGGGCGCGCTGGGGCACGACGTGGCCTGCGGCAGCGGCAAAGGTTGGCGCTGGTGGGGACGAAGGAGAAGGTGTGAGGTCGAGAGGCGGCGTGGCGTTGGCAGAGTACGGCGCAATTGGAGAAGGTCGGGGCGCGTTTCCAATCATCGCCGGGTTAGGGCCAGGCACCGGAGGCAGGTGGTGTTGTGGTGGCGGTGGCGGCGGTGGCAGGTCGAAGTAGCTTGGGGTTCCTGAGCGACTACCGCTACGGTAGCGGCCAGAGCTGCGCGAGGAGGAACGTTCGTCACCCTCTACGGAGGGACGAGTGGACGAGGGAACCGAAGTGTTGGCGCGCGGGTCGTACGTGAAATCTGGGAGGTGGGTTTCGTGCGAAGCGACCGATCGTTCGTCCACAGTTCCAAGATCGTCGTTTCGCAATCGGCTCTTGGATCGGCAGGACGCGTCTGAGCGGGAGCGATCGCGTCGAGCCCGGAAACCTGTGAACGAATGGGGCGATGCATTACGGCTATGGCTCGACTCGCGAGAAGCGTCCTGGTTACCACGGGTGAAAGCAGCGACTCGCGACCGCACTGACGGTCGGTCACCAGGGACTTGTGAGGTGCCCGAATTCAATTGCTGAGTGCTCAAACTGGGAAAAGGAATCTTTTCATCCTCCTCGCGCCATGGATCGTTCTGGTCCAAGTTAACCAAGGATGGCGTAGAAGAGTTACCCGACTTCTGGAATAGATGGTGTTTGCCGGCGCGGCTCTTCAACAGTGCAAAGGCATTACCAGGCTTGACCTGGGAAGACGAGTCAGGAGTTCCACAGCGGACAGGACTTCCTGATCGACTCGCCGACCGACTGGCTGCTCGGCTAGGCGCTCGACTATTTGATCGACTCTCAATATCTGCGAAGTTCTGCAGTTTCTCTTGCACCTTCCTACGTCTCTCAGCCAGCTCATTGGCAAATTCCTCGCGTTCGCGCTGCGTTTCAGTGCTGGCGTTACGCCGGTGGCTGCTGCTGTTGCTGTCCCCTGATTCGTCGTCGAGCGAAGAGTCACTCGAAGTCCTCCCCTGACTCTCTCCCGGCAGCTCCTCGGGAATCGTGGATCCTGCGGAAATTGTACACTGGAATGACGGTTCATCGGCGGGAGGAGGGATGGGGGCGACATCAGCAGTGTCTTGCTTGGCCTCGGGAACGTCTCTATTGTCGGTAAGCTTGGGTGGAAGTCCCGGCGATGGTAGTTGGATAGACTTGTCGCTCTCCTGTCGCAAGTGTGTACGAACCAATCCACTAAGTCCCAGACCAGATGGTCCCAAAGTAGGCGAGTCAGGCTCCTGCGGTGCCTGGGCATTGTTTTGCGAATCGGCATTCTCCGCGATATCGTTTTCTGCAATGGGCTTAAGGTCTCCCAAGTCCGAAAATCGTACTTCGGGCAGAGGATGACGCTCCTGGGGCTCTCCAGGTGGGGCCGACGGCTTCGAGGGGGTGCGGGACCGGGAGCGGAACGCGGGATGGATGTCCTCTTCGTCCTCCTCGTTCTCCTCGTCACTGGAGTCACTGGGACTAGAGTTGCTGAAGAACGTAGTGCGGTTCATGCTTTTGGAAGCCTCGCTGTAGTGAGACGAGGCGGATCCTGGCCGCGAGCGGTAGCTGCTAGCGTTGGAGATACCACGGGGGCGTCCAACGCGTTCTTGCGGGGAGGTGGTGGGAGCAGGAGGGGCGTTGCGTGGAGGTGACGGGGGTCGCCGTAATGGTGGAGTGCTTCGACCCTGATGCATCTGCAGCTGGCGTCGGGTGAACTGTTGCTCGTCAAATGGCACTCGGGGCTTGTTGAAGAGACCTAAAGCAGTGGCTTTCCCATGGTCTTCCGGCTGCAGAGCAGCCGCCAAGGGCACGGGTTTTTCCTCAACTTCGCTGATAGGTGGGCTTAGGGGCGGAGCATTGTATCCAGACGGAACGGGATCTTTGGATTCACTCTCAGCCAACTGAGGCCTGGGCGATGCAGCCGACAAAGGAGGGCTCGCCGGACGGGAAGACGGGCGAGCAGCGTCAACAAGAGGGAGTCTCTGCAGACGATCGCGCAGGCTGGTTGCACTCCGGGAAAAGGCCCGGTTCATCTGAGGGTGTTCAGGGGTTCCTGGGCGCTGGCGGCTGAGACTCTCGAGCCGATTCAGTGTGAGATTTTGCTGGTTCTGGACCGACTGAGCCAGGCCCTGGCCGTAACGACGAGTGGGTTTGGGTGCACCGCGTTCAGGGAATGGGAATTGCTTGCCTGTCGAGCCGTCGATGGATTGCGGCGTAATGGGATCCCCGTCGACTGAGGTTGCTGCGGTGGAAGCATGACCAAAGGTAGGGGCCGGACCGGAAGCCGTAGAGGAATAGGTGGTACGGTTGGTAGACCCGATACTGGACAAGGCATCTTCGTTGGAGGAGAAGGTAGGCGAATTTAAGGCACCATCTTCAGCAACGGCGCGCTCTTCCTTTTCCTTCAGTCTGAGACGCTGGAAGGCGGACAGGGTCACGTCGTGTTCGTAGACAGCGCGTCCCAGGCCCGAGCGACCGGCCTCAGGTCCAGGATTAGGGGACGTGCCTCTAGATCTGGCGGGAACCTTGTAGACCTTTTGACGACCACCAAACAGGTTATTTCCTACTTCAGCACGACGAGCCCTGCTCATAATACTCCCCCCTGCCTGAGAACGATCGTCGTCAGTCCCATAGCCATCGTTAGACTCCGCCTGCCCGAAGGCGGAGGGACGACTGTTGATGGACATCTCATCAATATCCGCCAGCTGGTTGGGGTGACCAAACATATTCAATCGGGACGCGCGCTTCGAGAACAGGACGCTGTCATCGCTAGCTTTCCCCAGTAAAGACTCGGGATCATCCTGTTCCTTAAGCATACTGAAGCGCGCAGACAGCTTGGGCATGAGCAGACTGGTGCGGAAATCATCGGGGGCTGGGAGGGCATTGGCGAGGTCGAATTCGGAGACCTTGGGAGAAGTCGTTTGCAGGCCATCATCTTTCTTGCTGGCGGGCTCCTTTTCTTTTTTGGTGGGAGTGATCGAGGAGATGATGGTGGTGGTGGAAGAGGCGGCCTTTTCGGACTGGACCAACTCTTCCCTGGCAGCCTTTTCCTTTTTATGCCTGCGGAGGCGGTTCATAATGGACTGTTTGGCGGACAAAACGAAAGTGGTAATTGAAAATTCTAGAGAAAGCATCGAGTCAGTTCTGTGAAGAGGCCATGGGGAATGCAGTCGTCAGGGGGACGCACAGCGCAGGAGGAGGTTTATGGCTGCATGTCTAAAGTGACTGGTCGCACGCGTCTGTTGTGATCAGTGGCAAACGCGGGGGTAACGAGTGACTGCGAGCAACGAAGGACTGAGAGATGAATAGATGAAGAGACAGTGGTAGTCGAGCAGTGAAGAAGAAATGAAGAAATGAAGGAAATTGCGGAAAAGGATCTGGATCCGATCACTTTTTTTCGGTTTTGGTTCTTCGGGGCGGATCGACGCTGGTTTTTGGTTCGTTTGATTTAATCTCTTGAATTACATTACTCCGTACAGAGTTGGTCAATAATATCTTGTTTAATAGGCTATATAGGCTCTACATCGAGGACGGTGTTATCGGTACCTGAATAGGTACCGAGTAGGTATTTATCTGGACAAAGAGGCATTGTGGAAGTACTTGTCTGTTTGTACTCTGTATCGTATGTTTGTATGTAATGTTTGTATAATACAGCTAGTAACGGCACCCCTTGCAGACCCCATTACCACCACCAATAAGAAGAGGCTATCTCCACCAAGGCGGTTAGTAATCTCAGGAACCGGTTCCGTACCATGGGATAGGGTCAGCACAGACCGTATTCAATCCTCGAGTAGCTTACTGTATACAGGTACGGAATACAGAGAGTACATAGATTGATGGAAAGAGATTAACATATCGAGTATGTGGTACTATACTTGCGCACAGGAATGTAATACAGGCTAAGACAAGACACATAAGCGCTAGGTCAAACATGAGACGAACAAACTTTGAGTCTTCGATTCATCAATCTCGACTGTTTCACCTCTGAATCGTCTCACCAGGCTGAAATCCAGAACAAGATCATAATTGGAGTAAGGCTGTCACCAAAAACTAGCACTATCCTCACTGATATTAAGGACTTCAATAAAGTAATCTCGGGAGTAATACTCTGCACTCCGTCCTCGTATCCCTGGGCAATATATTAATGTATTTACTCGGTGAAAGACACGTGACCTATGGCCCCCTGACCAGGGGTTGCCCTATTGATCCGCATTGATGTGCCATGCCTTGCTTGGTGATCTATCATTGAGACAAGGCAAAGGGTGCGCTCGCAGTCGTGACTTTGTCGACAACCGCATAATGCACAATGCACAACAATGCGCAGTGCAAATGACGTGACGCCATACATAATTATTCAGCAACCCCTCAGCTGAATATACAAAGGGCTGCCCCTCATGGATACCACAACCACAATCTACTATAACCATTTATACTACTAGTATATTATACTCCGTACAATCGCAAAATGCACGTCCTTCTCCTCGGTGGCCACGGCAAAGTCGCCCTCCATCTGACTCCCCTCCTCCTCTCCCGCGCCTGGAACGTCACCAGCGTCATCCGCAACCCTGATCACGAGTCTGAAATCCGCGCTCTCGGACACGGTAAGAAGGGCTCTCTTGACATCCTCCTTTCTAGCCTCGACGATGTGAAGACAGAAGCGGATGCAAAGAGTATCATCGACCGTGTCCAGCCGGATTACGTCGTTTGGTCTGCTGGTATGTCCCCACCCTCACTCAACGTTACATCCGTACACAAGTGCTGAATGATTGTAGGCGCCGGTGGAAAAGGCGGCCCAGCACGCACCAAAGCCATTGACGAAGTAGCCGCCAAGAACTTCATATCTGCCTCCTTCGCCAACACCAAAATCACCAAGTTCCTCCTCGTCTCGCATATCGGCAGCCGCCGTAAGCAACCCTCTTGGCTCTCCGACGACGAATGGGCGCACCTCCAACACGTCTCCAACAACGTCCTTCCCGCCTACGCGAAAGCCAAGCTCGAGGCGGACGAGTACATGACTGCCCTCGCGGCGAAACAGCAGCGGAAGCCGTTCCAGGCGATTAATCTGCGGCCCGGTACGTTGGCGGATACGCCTGCGACGCGGAAGGTGCAGTTGGGGAAAACGGCAGGGCGGGGAACGATTACGAGAGAGGATGTGGCTATTGTGGCGGATAAGTTGTTGGCGAGGGATGATACGAATGGATGGTATGATTTGTTGAATGGGGAGGAGCCAGTGGATGAGGCTGTTGAGAGGGTGGTTAGGGAGAAGATTGATACGGTTGAGGGGGAGGATGTTGAGGGAATCGTTAAGCGGCTCTCTTGAATTATGATTGATGAATATATGCGTACAAAATCTATGTACAGATGCAAATGGTAAATGGTCACAGCTTAGCCTTAGGCTTAGCAGCCTTGGCTTCATCTTGGACCTGCTTCTTCAACATCCGACGGAGAATCTTTCCACTCGGGCTCTTGGGGATTTCGTCCATGAACCGTACACCACCGCGCAGACGCTTGTGGTATGCCACCTTCGCATCTAACCACTTGACAATGCTCTCCGCCTCTTGCTCAGCGCTTGCGCCAGAGGACTTGCTCTTGCCACTCCTGACGACAAACGCAATAGGCACCTCACTGCCATGTGCCTCGCTCTCCACACCAATCACCGCAACATCATCTACGGCCTCATTGTCAACCAGGATACCCTCCAATTCCGCAGGTGCAACCTGGAACCCCTTGTACTTAATGAGCTCCTTAACCCGATCCGTAATGTAAAAATTCCCCTTAGGATCCTGATACCCAACGTCACCAGTCCGGAACCACCCATCTGCCGACAGACATTCTTCCGTCGCAGTCGGATTCTCATGGTACCCCTGGAACACATTTTCACCTCGCACATATAGCTCCCCGACCTCACCAGCGCCGACCTCGCGCGGTTCAGACCCATCCTCCGGCATGGTCATATACTTCGCCTCCATGTTCGGCACCATCTTTCCGACAGACCCAACACTGCTATGCCATTCGCTCCAGGGCTGGGTGTGCGTGACGGGGCTAGTCTCACTGAGACCATAGCCCTGCTTGATACCGACTTTGATGCGCGCGTAGACCGCTTCGACAAGTTCTTGGGTGAGGGGTGCGGCTCCGCAGTTCATCATGCGCAGGCTGGAAAGGTTGTATTTGTCAACGATGGGGTGTTTGCCTAGTAGCAGGACGACGGGAGGAACGACATAACTGAAAGTGATGCGGTAGTTCTGGACGTGGGCGCACCATTTCTCGATGTCGAATTTCTGCATGACGATCAGGTGGTAGCCGCGGTAGATTGTTTGGTGAAGGAGACAGTTCAGGCCGTAGATGTGGTAGAATGGGAGGAAGGCCAATATCCGGTCTCCTTTTCCATCTTCGCCTCCATTGCAGGATAGGTTTCCGCCGTCCCCGGCTTCCAACTGGAGGCTATTGACCACGATATTCCGATGCGACAAGCGCACTCCCTTTGGCAACCCAGTCGTCCCTGACGAGTACACCAAGAACGACAGATCCTTTCTCGGATCAATCTTGGTCTTACGGAACCTCGTCGCGCCAGAGATATTCCTTACAGATGTAAAATGCTTGAACCTCGCCTCAGGATGTCTCTCGTCTCCAATAAGTATCACTCTCTCCCTCGAAATCCCAGCTTTAGCCGCTGCTTTCTCCGCAACGCCCAACACAGACATCTGCGTAACCAACGCTTTCGCACCCGAGTTCTTCAGCTGGAATGCCAATTCCTCAACTGTGTAGGCGGGATTCGCGGGGGAAACGACGCCACCGGCCCAGTGGGTGCCCCAGGTGACGACGGGGGTATCGATGCAGTTGGGGGTGAAGAGGGCGAGGACGTCGCCTTTGCGCCAGTTGTAAATTGCCTTCAGGCCTTTGCCAAAGGTAAGGGCGCCTTCTTTGACCTCAGCGTAGGTGTAGGTGCGTTGTGTGTCGGCATCTTGGTATATGACTTTTGGTTGTTAGTGCCTTCTTTTTTTCTTCTTGTAACGTAGACAGAGCAGGGAAGCATACCCTTGTCATCTGGGAACGGCTTATTCTTCCTCTCAAACAGAAAATCCCAGATATCAACATCCGGTACCTGGATTGGAGCGTATGACGATGTAACAGGCATGGTGATAAGCAGACAATCCTACTAAATGGTCCAAAATGTTCAATCACAACCAAATGCAATAGAAAAAAAAAGCAGAAACGAAACACAAGCTCTTTTGAAAGCTCCCAGGAGACAAATAAACCGGCGCCACTCACACTTTACCCCATTTTGCTTACCTTGCCTTCTCCAACTACTGGTGGCGTCGGTTATGTTGCGAACACGGGCCTCGGTTCAGAAAGGTGCAAAGAGTTATGGTTCGGCTATGGATGGACCGGATTGCCGAGTAGGAGGAGCACTGGCCTAGTGGTAGTAGTAGTACGGAGTAGTACAAGTAGTTACTCACCATGTAGGTACATGGTTCTTTCCAAAGTGGTGCTCTAATCCCATGTCCCATACCCCGTATATTGAATTATATATTATCCGTTCACGTACCCCGTATGCCAAGCACTGTTGGCCGGGGTACAGAGAGGCGCATTCTGACATCCAACGTCTTGACAGCTAACCTCGGGACGCATTACCCTGTTCGGAGAGTGTGGGGGAAATATACACCAATTGGATGCGAAAATTCAAGCCAATTACAGGCCTCATTGGGATCCATTGTTGACAAGCGTTCGCCAATTTTGCGCTTTTTCAGGTTGTGTGGGATCCTGTTTCAACACAATTCTGGAGTGTTTCGATCGATATTCTGGGATCAAAATTTTGGTTGTTATTCTGCGACATATCCATAACTTTATCATACGATCTACTTTATGCTCAGTTTTATGCACACTATGCCTCGCACAGACAGAATATGGCTGACCCTACCACCTCGCCAGATCAACCAATGGGAGCCCCCCATTCCCGCTGCAAAAAGGCGTATAAACCATTGCAAGGACCTTACTGTTGCCTTCGGGCATTTGGTCAATTTGAAACGATACAGAGAAGATTAGCATGGCCCCTGCACTAAGGATGACACGCTCAATCAAAGAGAAGCTACCAGTTTTTTTTTTTCTGGTTACAGGGCGAAATTGAAGATTTTGCCTAATTGGACCTAATAGGCTTCAGCGGCGGGTGGTGCGTTCGAGACACGGGGGGCGGCCTTTTATTTTTGTCGGGTTTTATAGTAGAACGTCGCTCACCACTACTACAAATTACAGCGACACGATGTATTCCAACTACACAAGAAATAGCTTAATTATTAGAGAATGTCTCTATATGCAAATATATATATATTCTACTTATTCCGCCGCCCAGAAATACAATAAACCTACATCAAACTCGTCCTTCCTCCAACTTCTCTTCCTCCCTCACCATTAGGCATCTCTCCATTCCGTCCCATCACAAACTCTCGATAGATAGCCAGCAAGCGTTTGTATTCAGGCTCACTCAGCGATCGCCGCGTGTTATCCAGCGATCGCTCAATATGCTCCCACCGCACGATGACCTCCACACGCGGTTCTTCTTGAGATGCGTTGCCGTTAGTCATGGGTGTCGACTGTGCAGCAGCGCCGACAGTACCCTGCTGTTCCAGCTGGCGCTGGCGACGGCGCGTGCTCTTTATTGTTTCGAGCTTGGAGGCGACGATGGCCGGAGAAGGCATGGGGACTGATCCTGTTTGTTGCTCGTTGGAGTACAGAAATTGGATGAAGGATTTGCTGCTGACACTGGTGGAAGACTGTTTGGCGCTGCCCCGGGTGGGCGCTTTGTCGTTGGTTGCGGTGTGGTCACCCAGAGCATCGTGCACGGCTTCAAGATGGGCGTTGTATACTACGGCTTGGATATCAGCTCCTGAGAAACCCTCGGTTCTGGCGGCAACCTCGTCCAGACGGCTGACGACTTCTTGGTTCATCTTCAGCTTCTTGCTAACGGCTTCAATGATGTCGACTCGATCTGAATGCGATGGCATGCCACAGAGGAGGGACTTGTCCAACCGTCCCGGACGCAACAAAGCTGGATCGATTAAATCAGGTCGCGAGGTTGCCGCCAGCACGTAGACTCCAGAGAGACCTTCTGCACCGTCCATTTGAGTAAGGAGCTGGTTGACAACACGATCTGTGACACCAGTGGAATCATGTCCACGTTTTGGTGCGATACTGTCAAATTCGTCAAAGAACAGAATGCATGGCCTTGCAGCCTGTGCTCTTTCGAACAGATCTCGGACGCTCTTTTCACTGGCACCGATGTACTTATTCAAGATCTCGGGTCCCTTAACACTGATAAAGTTCAAGCCGCATTCGCCCGCTACTGCACTGGCCAACATCGTTTTCCCACATCCGGGGTAACCGTAGAGAAGCAATCCAGACCGCAGACGCAGAGGACACTGCGCAAAGATAGGCGCATACTTAGTGGGATATTGCAGCGTCTCCATAAGAGTTTGTCGGGTCGAGTGCAGGCCACCGATTGCAGAAAAGGTCGTCGTAGAGGAGGTAAGTGTGACATTACGCAGAGATGCTGGAGTGAAGCCTTTGAGTGCATTCTCAAAATCATCAGCTCTAAGAGCAACCGCTTTCGAGGCTGCTGATGGATCTTGCACCGATCGTATCAAAGCCTCGTTCCGAGCACGGGAAATGAGTAGAACGAGGTCCCCTGGCATGTACCCATCGGTTTTTCCAGCCAGCTCGAGGAAATCAATGTCTCGTGCAAGAACGAAGCCATCATTCTCAGAGGAACCAGGTCGACTCTCAGGATTTGAAGGGTCTAACCATGAGTCATGGGTAGACTCGCTAACGCTCCGTGCGCGGCCGTTGATGCTGTCAGCAGCCTTATCCTGGCTTGTGAGTTTCTCCAGAACCTTGCGACGTCCATCTTTGTCAGGTGCCCTGAGATGAATAACTTCGCGTGCCACATGCCCACCAACGATGACGTTGTTTAGGGACTCTTTAGATTGCGCAGTAGCCAGGAGGACAACCGGAGAATTCATCGAGCAATACTCTCGGACCATCGAGCAGATGACTTCACTGTTTTGGCGACTGCGGCCGTTGTCTCCTCCAACTTGCAATTCTGTTTCCGCAGGACATAGTTTATCGAGGTCGTCCAGAATTACTACTGATTGCCCACCCAAGCGGGCGCACCAAGCAGCAGACATAAAAAGGCGGTTCAAAGTTTCTTTGATGTTCGAAATTCGAGTTTCATCAGTAACCAGCTTCCGACAAGAGAAGTATTTCACATTGAACAGATAGTCTTTCTGTACCCGGTGCGCAAGGAGATGAGTAAGAGCTGTTTTCCCGGCCCCGAGACCGCCAGTCAATAGAATAGAAGTTGATTTGGTCAGGCTGTCAAGAGATTGCGAGATGATAGAGTCAATTCCCACCAGTTCGTGAGCAACTTCTGGGATTGGATCATCGGTGGGTAGTGCAGACGAGCCTTCCGACAGTCTAGGTATTTCGGACTGCACCTCTA